AATGAGATCAGTGATATTGATTCTGGAAGTTTGTTGTGAATATTAATGAAGACATGTTTGAAGTGCCCAGCACGCTGCCAAACACAAAATGGCCCTCAATAAATGTGAGCTTACTGTTTGTATTAATAATTATCATTGCACTCCTGGTGAAGCTAGATGTTCAGGATCATGATCCCCAGGGCTGTGTCAGGGACAAGGCCTGAAATGGAAAGACATTAATGCTTCGACTACCTCCAGAATCCACATGGGAAGCTGGGGACAAGGCCAGGACCTCTTGGTGCCAGGCTGGACTTGGAACTTTCCCACTGGCTGCAAACTAGCAGCTCCTGATACTGCGCAGCACACTGAGGCCAAGTGCCCTGGACTGCCTCTACACGGAGATTGTCTAATTTGCTGCATAGAAGTGCTCCCTGAGTAAGTTCAGGGCAGAAATTTAATTCATTTTGCCAACAAGCAATTATAGTAAGACCAGAGGCGACCCTAAACGATAATAGGTGTTTGGTGGGTGTGGTACAGGCTCATGAAGAAACCTCTCCCTAGTTCCAACCATAAAAATAATGTATTTTTGCCAGGAAGCCAAGGCAATTATAGGCCAACTAGTCTATGCACCAGCCATTCACGAGGGCTTCACTTCGTCATATCCACACACAACTGGATGATGACTTGAAAATATTATTCTAGAAAATGGCGTCCAGTTGTTCTCTTCCTAATAAACTATTGTTTTCAAATCTCTTTGTCTTCCCTCTTTCCAAGTTACAGTCTATGTTCAGAACACAGCATTTCAGGTTGTTGCTACATAATGTTTACACTGTCAGGATTGACCCAACCAAGAGCAGAAAGTGGGAAGTTTAGGCTGATTTTGTGCAAACTCTATTTTGTGCAAAGCCCTGGGGATGTGTTAAGGAGGAGGCTAATAGTCAAATGGCCTACAGCAAATCATGAAGGAGTCCATCATTCTAAAGAGAAATGTCTTTGGCATGTGACTAAGAAAGAAAATGATAACAGTATAGGCAAAGTTTCGCCATCAGCCCACATGCAGTTCTTCTCAAGTCAGAGGTTGTAGGTGTGTCCCTCCAAGATTGGCACATAAGTAGAGGGCCATCAACACACCGAGGGAAAGTATTTTTCAGCTATAATAATGGAAGCAGTAGGGGCTGGTTCACAGATTAAATTTCTAAATAAGATTTCTTCTATTAAGGATTCTCATGAACTGCAGTTGCCTTTCATGCCCGGTCCCACAGCTCCCCCTCCTGGCTCTTTCCTTCCCTGGTACTTCCGTGCACACAGGTGACGGGCTCACACAGCCTTGAGCTTGGCAGCACTCAACCCGAGTCTCAGCTTCCTCATCTGCAAAGTGAGCAGATTTGTGAGAAGGTCCTAAAATACCTCTCAGCTCTAACATTCTAAAATGTAAAATCTTGAGGGACCTGAGTGGCTCAGTGGTTGAGCAGCTGCCTTCAGGTCCTGGGGTTGTCCTGGGATGAGTCCCACACTGGACTCCCCACAGGGAGCCTACCTCTCTCTTTGTGTCTCTCATAAATAAATAAATAAAATCTTTTTCAAAAATAAAAAAAATACATAAAATGTAAAGTCTTATATAAAAGGATAAAACAAAAAACTAAAGCAATTAGTTGGGCTGAAATTCTTAGTGCTGAAGATTTTAAAGGGCCACATTGATATTTGTTGAATCAATGAATGTTGTCTTCATACCAGGAAAGTACACACGGCAAACAAAAACTGAGCTCGCTGATTTGAAGTCTCCTACTTCTCTGTAGACAGATTCTGGATGAATAACATGGGGAGAGCCAGTTATCTATAAACTAGGTGCATTTGTTCTTCAAATATGTCTGATCCAGGGCTCCCAGATGTGGATACACTTATTTCTCCAGTGTTGCTTTATTGTGTTCCGTGCAGCTTTCCTGGTGCCTAGACAATGCCTGGCTGGGCCGAAGGAAATAATAGTAACACAGTAATTTTTTTTATTTTTTAACATGAAACTCATTTGGTTATCACACATTTACTGTAAATCCTCAGAGGGGTAGGATCTGTGCATTCCATCAGCTTCCTTAGTTAATACCATTCCCCACTGGAGAGAGGGAAATGACCCTCCCAATTACTCCCCCTGATTTCCATGATCAAGACTACAAGTCTTGGGATCCCTGGGTGGCGCAGCGGTTTGGCGCCTGCATTTGGCCTAGGGCGCGGTCCTGGAGACCCGGGATCGGATCCCACGTCGGGCTCCTGGTGCATGGAGCCTGCTACTCCCTCTGCCTGTGTCTCTGCCTCTCTCTCTCTGTGACTATCATAAGTAAATAAAAAATTTAAAAAAATTAAAAAAAAAAAAAGACTACAAGTCTTGAGTGTAAAGTTGCTGACAGCTGTTATTTATTATACCAGGCCCTGGATATGAATCACCTGGGTTGTCAGGGTAAATTTGACAGTGACAAGGATCCCATAACATGGCCAGCTTTAGGAACTTTCAAGCAGAAGAAGCAAGTTCGCTTTAGTCAGGCCTGCTTGTCCATAAGGGATCCTCAAGCTGCAGAGAAATATAACTTCACCTAAATTCTCACCCCATATTGCGGGCCCCCTGTGTGACCCTACACAGAGATTTGTGGGCAGTGAACTTGGCATAGCAGCTGACTATGTTCTCCACTTGAAGATTCACAATAGGCCTTAGCTTATTAATGACCCTAAGAAATTTTTTTTAAGATTTTATTATTTATTTGTGAGAGTCAAAGAGAGAGAGAGGCAGAGAGACATAACAAGCAGGCTCCCAGTGGGGAGCCGGATACGGGACTCAATCCCAGGACCCAGGGATCACCACCTGAGCTGAAGGTCAGATGCTCAACCACTGAGCCACCCAGTGCCCAAGCCTAGGAAATTCAAAAATAAAAAGAGAAGGTGGTGAGTTTTTGGAGAGAAGAGGGAGAAAGAGAAACGAGGGAAAGAGAAAGAAACCTGTTACATTTATTTCACCCCGGATTTGGAGAAAAAAATTTTTTTCGTTATTTAGCCACCAATCTCTTCTTATTATAAAACCTATTAAGTCCTGCTGAATTAGAGTTCTGCCAATGTTCCCACTTGGGAAATACGGGACCAGATGATCACTCAAAATCATCCTAATTCTGATGATTCTATTTACATATCTTCTAAAGCACAATTCTGATGATATCCTTCCCTTGCCCAGAAATCCTCCACGGCTTCCATTTGACTAGAGAGTCCAAATTCCTTAGCATGGCATTCAAGACTTATGAGAATTTGGCCTTATCTTTCTAGTCTTCATTCCCTTCCTTCCTGTCCATGAGTGTCTGCTGCCTCCAAAGTACACTTCCCTGACTCATATCTGTTGTTTTCCCACCTCTGCCTCTGTTCAGGCTGCTGGGTCCAGTTGGGATGCCTTTCATAGTCTTTGCATGTCCAAATGCAACTCACTTGAAATAACTGAAGCAGTGATCTCTTCCCTAACTTATATTTATGGCTCATATTTAGACCTCACTTTTAGAGCTCTTATACTAGACAATGTACTGGGCTTTTCACATAGAAACATCTGTATGTATTTCTTACCCACCCCTAGGCTTCTTGGAAGAACAGCTTTACGCATGGCTACCTGTGCCCTAGCTCCTTGCACATAATAGGTTCTTATTGAAAGAATAATCTGAAGGATAAATGACTGCTGTGATTCAAAAGGAAACCCTTTCAGGGCAGAAAGAGCAGTGGTCTGAGAACTGAGAGGCCTGTTCTGGTTCTGCCACCAGCATGTGGGTACCCAGGTCATTCACTTCTCTGTCTGAGAGCTCCATGTGCTCACCTCTATAAAAATGGGAAAGCTGGCAGGGGCCACAGGCCTCCCAGAGCTAAATATTCTGAGATTCTCTTGATTTTCTAATCCACTTTACAAAAAATCTGTGACAATGCTACAGAATTTAGAGTGTAAGAGAACAGTCAAGACGATAACAACAATCAAAACAGGGCAGCCCCAGTGGCACAGCAGTTTAGCGCTGCCTGAAGCCCAGGGTGTGATCCTGGAGACGTGGGATCGAGTCCCACGTCGGGCTCCCTGCATGGAGCCTGCTTCTCCCTCTGCCTGTGTCTCTGCCTCTCTCTCTCTCTGAATAATTAATTAATTAATTAATTAAATATTAAAAAACAACCAAAACAGAGACTAGATATCTATTTGAACTTTAATAGGGGGAAAAATGATTAACCCAAAGGAAAGATCTCGAACATTAGGACCCAGGAGATCAGCAAGGGACTAAGAGAAAAGAAATTGTCCCACATTAACTACTTAACTACTTTATAAGGTATACCTAACTTAAATATGTACTTTCACGGCTCATCTCTGCAGATAATGCTCACCTTAAAAACCTAACAAATTGGGGATCCCTGGGTAACTCAACGGTCTGGTGCCTGCCTTCAGCCCAAGGCCTGATCCTGAAGACCTGGAATCGAGTCTCACATCAGGCTCCCTGCATGGAGCCTGCTTCTCCCTCTGCCTGTGTCTCTGCCTCTCTCTCTCTCTCTCTCTCTCAATCTGCCTCTCATGAATAAATAAATAAAATCTAAAAAAAAAACCCTAACAAATAAAAAATCTTAATTCTCTCATACGGTAGTTATCAAAATGTGCTCTCTCAATGTATCAGCATCATCTAGGACCTCCTCAGAAATGCAGGCCCTCAGTCCCCATCCCAAACCCTTTGCCTCAGAAACTGAGGCTGAGACCAGGAATCTGTGTTTTAACAAGGCCTCTCATTGATTCTACTGCACAGCCAAGTTTGTGTATGATTATATTTAGAGTAGATATGTTATCACCTATGTTTATAAACTCAAAGATACAGAAATGTGCATTTCACTTTTCTCTCCAGTCTGTTCTCACTATTGTGTAACCCACTCCAAAACGGAGTGATGGTAAATATATTTGGTCTCTTAACTTTTGGTTTCTACCGATTCCACTGCTCAGGCATCCATGAGTTCATTAAAATCTGCCCCATCTCTTACAGCTGATCAAGCAGATCCCTGCAAATTCCTGGCCTGTGGCGAATTTGCCCAGTGTGTAAAAAATGAGTGGACCAAGGAAGCAGAATGTCGCTGCAGACCAGGGTATGAAGACCAGGGGCACCTGGACCACCCGGCCCCGGGCATCTGTGCACCCATAGAGGAATGTGAGGTCATCCAGCGTAAGGGAGCTCCGTGCAGGTAGGTCGAGCACAGTAACTGTATATACCCCCAAATTTGTTATTCTTGATTTTGATAAACCTATCATCAGAATGAATGCCTACATTCCTTTAAACCCATGGTTCTTGATCTCCAGTGATCATCAAAATCTCTCAGAGGAGGACTCATTAAAACACATGGCCGGGCCCTGCCAAGCTCTTTTTTGATGCAGTAGGTCTGGGTACGGCCCAGGGAAGGCTACTGCTGCTGGCCCAGGGACCACACTTCGAGACCACTGTTCCAAACCTTTCAACAGTGTTTAATTAACACCAATAAGGGAAGAAAAAAGAATGTGTGTCAGCTCTAAGAAATAATACCATATGGTCGACTACGTTAATTGGTGTTGAGGAGTGTGTGTGTGTGTGTGTGTGTGTGTGTAATATTTGTTTTTTTCCCTATTTGTAAATTTAGCTCTCATTAAAAGAAATTTGGAAAATATAGATAATTATGAGAAAGGAAAATCATATGATATTCATATTAACTGTTATTATCTTTTGATGTACATATTTATACAGAAAGTTTACATAGAATGTTCTAAAGCAAAATGGAATCAGACTGACTTCTGTATACTCAGCTTTTTTATAGAACATTCCCTCATGTCATTACATATTTTCTGTACCATCATTTTTAATGATTACATAGTAATCTATTCTATAGATATAATATGTTTCATCAATCCTTTATTTCTAACAGAAAAGGTTAAGAGAAGCTCTTAAGAAGAGGGAAAAAGAGGCAAGATATAATTGGCCTTCTATTCATGAGCCAGATTTTAGGGTGTAGATGGTGTTATGAACAATCAGGAAACACAAAAGCTCCTAATTCTTTTCGAAGTCCTGTGACACCCAGATAAAGTCCATACTGTGCACTCTGCCCTTAGAGAGCTTCATTGTGAGCCCGTCTCACCTTTCCCGGTCAACAGTTTCCAATCACACACCTGAACATTTCCTCAGTGGTGATCACCTTAGACCCTTATCTTTAGTAGATCATCCTGGGTTGATTTTACTGTCCTTTCACTCATTCTAGTGGGCACAGCCTCTAATTTCCCACCAGGGAGCTCATGACCATCTGCCTACTCACTCAATCAACAAGAAACTAGAGAAAGATACCATTCTTTTTTTTTTTTTTTGAAAAAATACAATTTTTTATTGTTTGAACTCAAATCACCACCCAGCACTTTAAAGCCTACCCTAAGTCGCACCTACAATTTAAACGATTATAGCACAAGCAAACTGCTAATTCAACAGGTAAGCAGGTTAGTGCCAGCAGAGACCCCCCCTCCCCAAAATAATGAGAAGACAACACGCTAGAAAAGTTAAAGCACACCATTCCGTGTTAAATAGTTAACACTACCCCTCCAACAAGCCACAAATACTAGATAACTCAGTACGGTTAACTAAGGGGCCCTTGGCAGCTGCATTCTCTTCCAATGAAGTAAAAGCTTAATTCATGCCTTGTTCCAGAACACAGAAAGAAGAGCAGCTGCCCTTCCTAAGATTAAATAGCTGTATCTTCCTAAGAAAGCCATGTCTTGACTGTATGGATTCCTCTCTTGGCATAATTATCCCTTAAAGACTTCTTGGAATCATCTGCTAGTTTCGGTGAACCGGTTTATCATGGAAGCTTGATTTCACCTAAGAACACCTTACCTTCTGGCTTGTATGAGGCTTTGTTGAAGAACTGGACATTAAGATGAGCTGTCAAGCAAAGCACCCCAATTTGTTGTTTTTCTGGCCATTATCCCTTGATAATAAAGTATAGGGTAGCACTATTTCATGTTGCTCTGGGCCTTCTGGGAACTGACTCCATTGCAGATGGAGGCCCTGGCCTCAGATCGACAAATCCAGGGAATCCCAAGAGATTGGGGCAGGGGGAGAACTTGTGAGCAGATGGGAGATATATTTTGGGGGATAGGGGAACTGTATTTGTCCTTGCTGGATTAAGGAGACTTCCTTTAATATTTCTTTCCAATAAATAATGTTTTTCAGAAAAAAAAATGACCTACCCTGTTCTTTTAAAATATTAACACTTTAAAGACAGTGACTTAGCCCAATGGTGGTTCAGATGCAATATCCTGGAGTCAAATTGTTATTAAAAATTTGGCTTAGCAATTTACTAATCAGGTCACCTTGGACCAATTACTTCTCAAAATCTCAATTCCCTCATTGAATAATGAGACTAATAAAATCCATCTATTGGGTTACTGCAAGCGGTATATGAAATTATGTTTAAAAAGCATCTTTGCAAAGAACATGAAGCACAGAGTATCCATTCAAGTGAGTGAGGGCTATGATAATGTTGCCAACGTTCTCCAAGTTAATCTCAACAGCATTCAATATGGAATTTCACATTCTGGTTTTAAATTTCCTCTGAAAATGAGAATGTACAACATTTCATTGAAGAACAATGAAGTACAATGATGGAGAGGTTGCTCTGTAGAATAGTAATACATTAAATATTTAGAACACTAAGGCAGACAATAAATACACAGAACAAATATATATAAACCCCAAACAGACCTTTATATTTAGAGAATTTATTTTAACAAGCCTTTCAAATCAGTAAGGAAAGCATGGACTTGTCAATAATGATTAGACTACAATTGGCTTCCATTTAGAAAAAAATAAAATTAGTTTTTTACTATAGACAAATCAATTCCATATCAAAGATTGAAACCTAAAATCAAAACTTTGAAAGTATGAGGAAAACTATTTTTAAAACCATTTCTATAATCCTCAACTAAAAAATGACTTCCCTAATTAAGACACCAATCCAGATGACAGTGAGAGGATTTCCCCAGGAAAAAAGTCACCATAAATAAAATTAACATATTAACAAGGTGGGAGAAAAATATTTATAACCTATCTTATATCATAAAGTTTGAACAGCCATAATAATAAGAGCTCCTACACATCAGTAAAAGACAAACATGCTAATATTAAAATGGGCAAAGAATACAGAAGTACAATTCATGGAAAAAATCCAGATGACCAGGAAAACATAGGAAAAGATGTACTCAGTCTCAATATAATTAGGGAAATCCAAAAGCAATAAAGAGATAACATTTGTTATTCATGAGTTTGGTAAAAAAAAAATATCAAAAATATCCAGTGTGGATAACATCAGAGAAAACTAGTTTTGTTTTTTTTTTTAATTTAAGTTCAGTTAATTAACATATAATGTATGGTTTCAGAGGTAGAGTTCAGTGATTCATCATTCTTATATAATATCCAGTGCTCATTACATCAGCTGTGCTCCTTAATGCCCATCACCCAGTTACCCCATCCTGCACTCCACCCCCTCCAGCGACCCTCAGTTTGTTTCCTATGATTAAGAGTCTCTTATGGTTTGTCTCCCTCTCTGATGTTGTCTTGTTTTATTTTTTCTTTCTTCCCCTATGATCCTCTGTTTTGTTTCTTAAATTCCACATATGAGTGAGAACATATAATTGTCTTTCTCTGATTGATTTATTTAGCTTAGCATTCTATCCTCTAGCTCCATCCATGTCACTGCAAATGGCAAGATTTTGCTTTTTGATGGCTGAGTAATATCCATTGTATACGTATACCACATCTTTTTAACCCATTCATCTGTCAGTGGAGATCTAGGCTCTTTCCATTGTTTGGATACTGTGGACATTGCTGCTATAAACATGGGGGTGCAGGAGCCCCTTCATATCACTACATTTTATCTCTGGGGTAAATACCCAGTAGTGCAATTCCTGGGTGGTAAGGTAGCTCTATTTTCAACTTTTTGAGGAACTTCAAACCACCCTACTGCTTTCTGAGTGGCCACAGCATTCTGACCCACGATGTACAAGGGTTTCTCCTTTCTCCACATCCTCACCATCTGTTGTTTCCCAACTTGTTAATTTTAGCCATTCTGACTGGTGTGATTTGATTTACATTTCCCTGATGCTGAGTGATATGGAGCATTTTTTCATGTGTCTATTGGCCATTTGAATGTCTTCTTTGGAGAAATGTCTGTTCATGTCTTATCCTCATTTCTTTTTTTTAAAAGATTTTATTCATTTATTCATTAGAGAGAGAGAGAGAGAGAGAGAGAGAGAGGCAGAGACACAGGCAGAGGGAGAAGCAGGTCCCATGCAGGGGAGCCTGATGTGGGACTCGATCCTGGGACTCCAGGATCACGCCCGGGGCTGAAGGCAGGCGCTAAACTGCTGCGCCACCCAGGGATCCCCAATTCTGCTCATTTCTTGATTGGATTTTTTTCTCTGGGTGTTGAGTTTGATAAATTCTTTGTAGATTTTGGAGACTAGCCCTTTATCTGATAAGACATTTGCAAATATCTTCTCCTATTCTGTCAGTTGTCCTTTTGTCGATTGTTTCCTTTGTTGTGCAGAAGGTTTTTATTTTGATGAACTCTCAATAGTTCATTTTTGCCTTTGTTTCCCTTGCCTTTAGAGACATGTCTAGTGAGAAGTCGATGCAGCCAAGGTCACAAAGGTTGCTGCTTGTGTTCTTCTCTAGGATTTTGATGGATTCCTGTCTTACATTTAGGTTTTTCATCCATTTTGAGTATATTTTTGCATATGGTCTGAGGAAATGGTCCAGTTTCATTTTTCTGCATGTGGCTGTCTAATTTACCCAACACCATTTGTTGAAAAGACTGTCTTTTTTCCACTGGATATTCTTTCTTGCTTTGTTGAAGATTATTTGACCTTAGAGTTGAGGGTCCATTTTTGGGTTCACTATTCTGTTCCATTGACCTGTGTGTCTGTTTTTGTGCCAGCACCATACTGTCTTGATGATTACAACTTTGTAATAGAGCTTGAAGTCCAGAATTGTGATGCCACCAGCTTGGATTTTCTTTTGCAACAGTCTTTTGGCTATTTGGAGTCTTTTCTGGTTCCATATAAATTTTAGGATTATCTGTTCCAGCTCGGTGAGAAAAGTTGATGGCATTTTGATAGGGATTGCATTGAATGTGTAGATTGCTGTAGGTAGCATGGACATATTAACAAGATTTGTTCTTCCAATCCATGAGCATGGAATGTTTTTCCATTTCTTTGTGTTTTCTTCAGTTTCTCTCATGAGCGTTCTGTAGTTTTCTGAGTACAGATCCTTTGCCTTTTTGATGAGGTTTATTCCTAGGTCTCTGATGGGTTTTGGTGCAATTATAAATGAGATTGGCTCCTTAATTTCTCTTTCTTCTGTCTCATTCATTAGTTTATAGAAGTGCAACTGATTTCTGTGCACTGATTTTATATCCTGCCACGTTGCTGAATTCCTGTATGAATTCTAGCAATTTTGAGGTGGAGTCTGTTGGGCTTTCCACGTAGAGTATCATGTCATCTGTGAGGACTGAGAGTTTGACATCTTTGCTGATTCAGATGCCTTTTATTTCTTTAGTCGTATGATTGCTGAGGCTAGGACTTCTAGTACTATGTTCAACAACAGTGATGATAGTGGACATCTCTGCCATGTTCCTGACCTTAGGGGAAAAGCTCTCAGTTTTTCCCCACTGAGAATGATATTCACTGTGGGCTTTCCATATATGGCTTTTATGCTATTGAGGTATGTTCTCTCTATCCTTACACTGTGAAGTGTTTTAATCAAGAAAGGATGCTGTCCCTTGTTAAATGCTTTTTCTGCATCTGTTGAGAGGATCCTTTGGTTCTTGTCCTTTCTTTTATTAATGTAGTGTATCACATTGATTGATTTGCGGATGTTGAATCAGCCTTGCAGCTCAGGAATAAATCCCACGTGGTCGTGGTGAATAATCCTTTTAATGTACTGTTGGATCCTATGGGTTAGTATTTTGGTGAGAGTTTTTGCATCCATGTTTATCTGGGATATTGGTCTGTAATTCTCCTTTGTGGTGGGGTCTTTGTCTGCTTTTGAGATCAAGGTAATGCTGGCCTCCAAGGAGTTTGGAAATTTTCTTTCCATTTCTATTTTTTGAAACAGCTTCAGAAGAATAGGTATTACTTTTTCTTTAAATACTTGGTAGAATTCCTCTGGGAAGCCATCCAGCCCTGGACTCTTGTTTGTTGGGAGATTTTTGATTGCTACTTCAATTTACTTGCTGGTTATGAGTCTGTTCAGGTTTTCTATTTCTTCCTGTTTCAGTTTTAGTAGTTTATACGTTTCTAGGAATGCATCCATTTCTTCCAGATTGCCTAATTTATTGGCATACAGTTGCTCATAATGTGTTCTTATAACTGTTTGTATTTCTTTGGTGTTGGTTGTGATCTCTCCTTCTATCCAGCATTGCTGGTGGATGTGTAAATTGGAAAAACCTTTTTCCAAGAAATATTTGTTAGTATTGATAAAATTTTAAATTTGATTCAAATACTCTACTTTTAGACAATTATTCCTAGAAAAATAGTTGCATTTGTGCAGTAAGATACATTTACAAAAATGTTCACAGCATCATGCTTTGACTGGACATCTCATTTATGGAGAAATAGTTAAGTCACACATAGTGTGGTATATTAGTCACTATGGAACATAACAGTTAAAAGCAATAATATAGCTCTACTGGAGCTGCCATAGAAATAAGACATTTTAATTAAATGAGAAAGTAAGTTGCAGGATAATATATCCTGTTTATATAATAATTTAATATTAAAACTATGTACTTATAAGTATATTAGATTCAACGATATGGCATTATCATTTTTTCAGTAACCAATCATCAAATATTGACAATTTTGTATGATTCAAATATGTAAGGAAGAGCATAGGAAATATGTGGAATGACAGATACACTCAACTAGAGACTATTCCAGTTAACCATAGAAAGGACAAGAATTGCTCAATGTTAAACCCTGATCTTTCACATGAGGACAAATGCCTTGCCCCCAGGAGCTGCCTCAGACAGACTCTAGGCAGAGGAACAACCAAAGGACGGTGGTGCTGAGGACCCCGCCCCCTGAATCCCTGCCACCTCCTCCTTTGCCTCAAGATGCCATCATTTATGTGTCTCTGACAGTTTACTTAAGTGAGGATCAGATAACAGTTTAAGACCTTATCAACCATCGATGAAGACAGTGATTAAGACTGGAGGCTTTAGAGTTAGAACAAGTTAAAATTCAAGCAATACCCCAAATAGTTGCAACCAGAACAACTTTAAGATTCAAATTTCTTGCCTATATAATGGGGAATACATTCATGGGTTTAGATGAGGAACAAATCAGATAGTGCTCTTCAGGGTAAACTACTCTGCTGCTAGCATTATTGGAGCTGTTTGATATCAAAGGGCAGCCCTGGAAGGAAAAAACTGAGAGTCCGTACTGGCATTTAAACCTAAGCTCATGGGATGCCTGAATGGCTCAGCGGTTTAGCTTCTGCCTTTGGCTCAGGGCGTGATCCTGGAGTCCCAGGATCGAGTCCCACGTTGGGCTCCCTGCATAGAGCCTGCTTCTCCCTCTGCCTGTGTCTCTGCCTCTCTCTCTCTGTGTCTCTCATGAATAAGTAAATAAAATCTTCAAAAAAAAAAAAAAACCCTAAACTCAGAAACAAATCAGCTGACGACACTGAAGTCACAACAAAAGCAGGATTCTCTAAAGCTTTGTAAACTGAGCTGTGTTTTTGTCATTCCACCTGAAAGTGAAGAAAGAGATGGGAAAACTATATCGAAGGCAAATGCCTTACTGATGAGTCCATTGATACACAATGAATATTTCCAGTTTGTTTTCTTTGTCATTCTACTGCCAAGTCATCATTCAATTTTTACTTTTTGGTTTTCCTTCTATTCTTTTCCTCAGTTCAGTGTTTACAAGTATACCCTATACAGTTTTCATTTCCTTAAATTTTGATTGTCCTATATACATAGGTTCGGTTATATTAGGGACTTGGTAAAAATTCTTCCAAGAGTAAACAAAATTTTCATTTTCAGAGGTCCCTTTTTTAGCTTAATGAGTTTGACTTTTATTAATTACAATTATCATTATACATATGCAGAAAATGCAAATCTACATCTAATAGAGTAAATTATGACTTTTCCTCCTCAGTCTAAAAATTTTCACTCTGTCCTTTAATTTAATAGGTCTAATGTGTCCTCCATGATGTTTTTTATGAAATGAAAATTATTTCCAAACATAGGAGCCAGATAAAAGAAATGATGATGCAAAGTGGCATCTATGAGGAGATTTTAATGAGAAAGTACTTGTCTTAACTACAATATGATCCCAGATTTACTAACTTGCTAAACCTCAGGCAGGAGAAGGATCCATTTTTTATCTTTAGTTCCTGACTCCCTTCTGAGCACTTTCTCCACTGGATAGGGAAGGGTTGGGGGTGGGAGGAAACTAAGCAGGGAGGGGTTAGAGTAATATAATCCAATCCAATTTTTAAAACTTCATCGGATTAACGGTTGAAGCAATCACTTTAGGCAACTCTGTTCCCTTGGAATATAGAATCAGGCTCAAAATCCTTTCTCTTCCCTTCCTTTCTCCAAGATGGTGTCTAAATGTATGGGGGTTGGAGGCAGAGGGCTCTTCTTGCCTCACCAGGCCCTTTGGAAAATTTCTATCCTCCTAGTTTCCTCATCTGTGATCTAGTCTGACCCCAGGCACCAGCCCATGCTTTAGGATTTTCAGATCCTCCAAATTACCCAGCCAGGGTAAGTGGGAGCTAAAAATGCTCCCTTAGCTGGTGGTAAACGGGAACAATGAAGTCTTCTCCAACTACACCTCCAGGAGACGCTCTTCCTTCCTTCCTATAGTGATACCCTCTCTCCAGCTTTCCCTGGAATTATAATGGACAGCATGTCGAGAGAAAGAAAACAGTTTACTGATAAGGGAACAGAAAGTATTCCCAATATTATGTCCATTTTATAACGGAAAGAGGGAAAAAGCAAGGTGCAAAATGTGTATACACTATCATTAGAAATGATATAATATGTATATTAAAAAGTCTTGAATTATAAATGTCAAATTTTAAAATAACTTTTATTTTTAAATTGTATGAACAAATGTCCTTGCACAGTTGTTTTTCAGCAACCACGACTCACAGCTTGACTTTAAAAATACGGCAAAAAATAACTCCACTTTTGCAAGGTGAAGTTATCACTCATCTTTCCCATGAGCTTTGCTCAATCCTTCTGACACCATTGCCTAAGAAACAGTAAGCCAACTGGAAGGCAAAACTCAGGAGCGGATGCAGAAGGCATAGTTCTCTAGCTGTAATGGAAGGCCCCTGAAAAAACAGGCTATCCATTTTCATTGTCATAGTAATTTTAAAGCCAAAATAGTAGAAGGTTAGAGTGGCTATTAATATTGATAAGCCCAGGAAATAGGATACCATGTTTTTGCTTTCTTTTGTAGGTCACCAGGTCACTCTAGAAATCAAGCATACAAAACTCGTGTTAAAAAGTTCCAACAGCAGCAAAATAACAAGGTAAAATACTACTTTTATATGTTGGTTTTAATTACTGAATTTTAAAGAAAATTTAAAATATTTCTAGGTCTGACTCTTGTTTTAAATAGAGATAAGTAAGAGCACTTTCCATTTATTCACCTAGCTTTTTAATTTAGTATTGTAAGCAGGGGGTGAGAGGCGGATGCATTTCTTAGTGCAAGGAAGATAGAGACAAGGCTGGCATTGACTGATGTATAGGGCAGCCCTGGTGGCGCAGCAGTTTAGCGCTGCCTACAGCCTAGGGCGTGATCCTGGAGACCTGGGATTGAGTCCCACGTTGGGCTTCCTGAATGGAGCCTGCTTCTCCCTCTGTCTGTGTCTCTGCCCCTCTCTCTCTGAATAAATAAGTAAATCTTTAAGAAAAAAAACTGAAGTGTATAAACAAAACAATAAAATAACAGAAATGATCCAAGTATTTTATTCACTTTTTCTAATAAAAGCATATGTGCAATTTAGCAACTGCATTGCAACAGGTAGAAATTTTCATAATAATTTATATTCCTGGAACTGAATAATTTTATGCATATTCTTATAAAGTATCTTCTTTAGATTTCAAATAATGAGCTAAAGCAAAATATGTAGAAAAATCTATAGGACAAACATGATTTGTGAACAGTGAGTAAATTGAAAAATTCCTAAAGGTTCATCCTCAGATAAATGTTCCTTCCAGTGTCCTAGGTATCCCTTTCAAATTATTCATCCAACTTATTTTGCTAAAATAATTTTCTTACAAAGGGAAATAACCTATCTATAACCAGTTTAAATTAGATAGTTTTTAAAAATAACTTTTGAGAAAATATCTTGAACAACTTTTAGTCTAAAATTAAAAATTTCAAAAAAATTTACCACCTCTGATGGTAAAAGTGAGTGATAATCAACCAGTGCCCACTCTACCTGAGATCTAGAGTTGGGTGGAAATGAACGCATCAAAGCTTGTACCTGAAACAAGTTATTACTATCAATATATAATCAAGGATACTGAGGCAACCAGACCAAAGACTCAATTTCATGTTATCTAGGTGCACACTGGGAATAACGTGTGCTATTTTGATTTCCTGAAGTAAAGGAAATTGGAAAGACAGAAAAAATTCAGTCTTAGAGCCAAAAAATGACAATGAAACATCAGATCTGATATTAACAAAATGTCCGGAAGGATGGAAACACCAAATAAATCCTAAACTACTAGGTAAAATTAAGGACCACATTTCAAACAAGGAAGCAGCATAGAATAATCACGTCGGCTACGGTTGGGAATGTGGTGACTGGTCATGAACTGTTTGTCCCCTCTGCTTCAAGAGATGGTTCAGCCTGAGAATCTAAATGGGTTTAAAAAGAGATGGAATATATTGCTACTACATGATAAAGGTAGGAATATGTTGGAGGGCATCTCCAAACCTTTCCAAGAGGACACCCTAAACAGCATGCATATCCTTTCTAACACCAGCAGAAGTGACACTGGAGTGAAATACAGATTTGACCTCAGGTGGCATTTCTTAAGCTCTTAAAACTATTTCTCTTCCAGATAATCAGGAAAAGAAATTCTGAATTACTGACCAGAGGATATGAAGAATTTAACTATCAAGACGGGGAAGGAAATTAAAAATTAAAAATGTACAGATTGTAATTTAATCTGTCTCAAGAGAAATGGCTTGCTTTCTCAAGGAAAATTGTATCCACTCTTAAAGTCCTGAAAATATAGGCAGGCATATTCACCAGTCATTGGAATCCAGGCATAGAGTCAACCTTGAGAACCAATACACACCATGTTTCAAATAGAGAAGAATTGTGTACTTGATGACTAGCACATTCTGCGGAAAAATATGCTTATTATCAAAACCCAAAACACAATCAGTAAAACATATTTCAGCTACTCCTGACCCATAGTCAAAGTGAGAGCAAACCAAGTTTGCTTCCAGCTGCCCTTAAAATACTGCTCACAGATCATTTACAAGTGCAGCTTACTTATTGTTTGGGGGAGGTTGAACAATACAGAAGGGAGCAAAGCTGACTTCATGGGTTACATTGTCCATAAAAGATGACTACTTGTACAAGGAGACGCAGGTCTCTCTGAATCATGAATGTATCCAGTATGTAAATACTGGTGGGGGTGTATTTGTTCCACACTTCAATGTCTGTAACACACACACACACACACACACACACACACACACACATCCCTTTAATTCTTCAGGCACACTAGTTTTGGAAATTAGTATTTGCACAGATCATTTTATTGCCAATAATTTCTGAATTGTTCTTTTTTTTAAAAAAAAGGAACTGGGGTTCACACATACATACCATGGGAAATCTAACTTTTCTTGTGACCAGTCACATAAAGCTGTATATATTAAGGCCAGACCCTATATTGGGGAGAAAAAGTGACTTTGTACTTTGTAACATAACCAACTCCTGTTTTCCATCACAGATGAACTATGCCTTCCTATAATTTAATAATGTCATTGAATACTCGACACTAACTTTCCAATGTGCATGGGTAGATTGGTATCAAGGTAATCTATTTTAGCCAGTTTTTAATGTGCTACTTAAAGAAAAATGATTCCTCTGTATCTATTTCAAATGTTCCACTATTAAAATATTTGCTGCAAAACATTAATTTCAATAAAATATAAGCAACATATTCATAGATTTATAATAAAATGGATGTGTTTTACTAGCTATTCCCTGGATTTTCTTTATGGATTATGATAAATGATTTTCATGCTACCAAAAGATAAAATATTCAACATTGATAGCAATATTTTAGCAGTAAAACTTCAAGAATAAAAACAAATATTTCCTAATAATAGATACAATCTTTTGGGAAGTGGTATTTCTCCCCCTAGTTACAAACCCTTGATAACCCACTCCTTTGGCCTCAGAAATACATAGCATTCATCCTATTCCCACCCCAATCCTATCCCAGAGTAAGGAATTGTGATATAGGATAAGGACTTCAAATTGTGATATGTTGATCAAGTGCCACAAAGAATGGTGGCATGAGATATACCTACTCACTTCCATGTCCCTGGAACACAGAGGAAAACATGCTTGTTAAGAAGCATGATAGGCCAACCAAAAACATATGAGAACAATTCCATCAAGACAGAAAATGAGGAGCACCTGGGTGGCTCAGTTGGTTAAGAGCTTGCCTTTGGCTCAGGTCATGATCCCAGGGTCCTGGGATCAGGGCCCATGTCGGGGTCCCTGCTTAGTAAAGGAGTCTGTTTCTCCCTCTCCCTCTGCCTCTCTCCCTGCTTGTGCTCTCTCTCAAGTAAATAAAAACTTAAAAAAAAATGTCAGAGAGAAAATGAGGGGCATCTGGGTGGCTCAGTAGGTTAAGCATCTGACTTCAGCTCAGGTCATGATCTCAGGGTGCTGGGATCCAGCCCTGTGATAGGCTCCACACCCCACAGGGAGTCTGCTTGCTCCTCTGCCCCTCCTCCCACTCCTGCTTGCATGCTCTCTCTCTCTCAAATAAATAAAAACATTTAAAAAAAATAAGTAAGAGAAAATGAAAATCCATGGTCACATCTTCATAACATGCCCTCCATCCTCTACATTTCAGTTGTGCTCTAACAAGAGTAGGGAATGTAGTTTTTTTTTTTTTTGAAGGTTTTATTTATTTACTCATGAGAGACAGAGAAAGAGAGGCAAAGACACAGGCAGAGGGAGAAGCAGGCTCCATGCAGGGAGCCCGATGTGGGACTCGATTCTGGGACTCCACGATCATGCCCTGGGCTGAAGGGAGACGCTCAGCCACTTGCTGAGCCACCCAGGTGTCCCGGGAACGAAGTTTTTGATGGGTAAAGAGACGTATGTAAACACTCCATCCTCGGTTAGAAAGGCCGCCCTTTGAAGCCCGAGCCTCTCACTCATTGGATTACCCACATTTTGAATTGGTCTTTCCCAACCAGCTGGAGAAGAGTCGTTGACCTGCACTCTCAGAAGACCCACCTGCATCATGGTAGGTTCCAGATGCGGGCATGAAGTAGCTTCTAGAGACTGCCTATATTCCAAATTTCAGCAAGAGCTCTTCCTTGGATCCCCAATTTTTACATCCCATCATCTCAACAACAGATTGGTAAAGGCCTGGGGAAAGGCAGCCAAGGTTTGGGTTCTCTACAATCTAGTCAGTGTGAGTAGTCGCAGGTCACACATGGTCCTACTTGTTCCCTGGACAAAAACCCATAACAGTTTGGGGCCAATACTCAAGGACGTTCTGGTCACCTGAGTTCCCCTGGCTCTTCTGCCAGCCAACTTGCACAGGGTTTCCAGCCCTGGTGACTGGGTAAGGCTCGGGACCCCAGCCTCTGCAACTTACTCCATCTGAAACCTGGAACAAGTGCCGTGTTTACAGCTGTTTTGTTTGTAACACCCTGTAACTGTATGAAAAGCACAAGATGCAAGAGGAAATTCTACACAGACAGCATTTATTATTTCTGTTTCCAGTACATCAGTGTTTTAAGAAAGAATCAAATATACAGTTTTTAAGGAAATGAGGAAAAATTAAGTATCAGTTGCAATTACACGGATTTTCAAAAGTGAAAAGAAAATGGCCAATTAGTAAGCCTATTTGAGGTCTGAAGGGGAGATGCTGCATAGATACAAAGTAAAGATTCTTTTTGTAATGCACATTTTTTTCCTGATTATCTTTTGAAAAATTTCTTGAAAAGTATGACAACCAAACTTACTTCATACATTAAATTAGTGATGGGGAAGTCTACCTGTTGGGTAGACTCTACCTTTCAAAGTCTCTCCAGCTTTATCCCTTCATGAGGCTGATGCACAGAATGTCTCCTTACTGCTGGCCCTCTCCAGTGTGGCACTGCCATTTCTACATGCTAAGAATTTATATACCAGTTCTCTCTTCATCCAAGTATTAATAACCATAGTTTCTGCTTCTCTATTACATTCAATTCATTCTAAAACTCAGCTAAGATCTCGGAGTGCTTTGTCACCTAAAACATATCAGTGTTCTTCAACCTGGGGATATAGAGTCTTCAGGGGCAGACTGATTTCTCTTCCACCATTGCTTTTCTTCTTCCTTATTGTTAACATTTGATCCCCTCAACTTATCCTTGTTCTCATTTTTAGAGATCTTCTATCCTCCCCTCCCTTGTTAGTTTTATTTCTTCTCAGAGAACTAAAAACTCTCAATACTTGTTATTTCTGGTAATGATATATAGTGAAAATGTCACATCTTCTGAAGGTGTGGAATGACAAAATCAACAGGGAGCTACTCAAAAACATTTGCTTGATTCTTTTTGCTCCACATGACTGGAACAAAAGCATTTATAATCTCTTTTATGGTCTAGAACTAAATTATTTGACCCCTCTTGATCTCTTTTACCTCGTCTATAGAAGGAGGCAGACCTACCACTAATATTGGATTATTGACTGGCTGATTCATTCAATAATATTTATTCTACTTATCCAAGTATTCAAGGTACTTCATGTAAAGAAACCAAAGATCTATATATCTGGATCCCCTGAGAACCATAGTAATAACCTGTGAATGAAATTCTTAAAAAATTTTTTTACTCCAATAAAGTTCTACAATTAATCTTCATTATTCTTGCCTATAAATTTCTGTTTTCTAGCTAAGCTGCCACAAAGACCATCTATCTTCCATGTAAGGTTGTATTTTCTTACAAAAATGTTCACTGTGTTATAGAAAAGAATGACCTATTAACAAGTCATTATAAGAAGCAGGATGTGAGTTACAATAGAATATCTCTTGTGTGGGCTTGTCCTCCGTGCATTATTTCATATTTCCTCACATAATCCTTTGAGAAGGTGCCATCTACTCAACTTTACAACTAAGAAAATTCATTGTTCTCTTGACCTATGTGTATTCGAGAAACATTCCTGCTCTCCGAGTATACCCACAGCTCACAATACATACCTCAAATATGTTAGTGGAATTAGGAATTATACTATAATTAAATGGAATGTGAAAACATTTTTCCTTCTCATTTTTAATATTTTATGTATGTCTACTTTTGCAAAGTATACACTAAGGAAGGAACATGTATTGAGTAAGACAAGCATTAAGAAAAGATTAGTTCTTAATATGGTTTAAATTTAAAATTTTAAATCTTAATTAAGATGACATTAAAGTAGGAATTTACTTTTGATTCCTACAGTTTTCACATAATGTTTATGGGTGTGATTGTGAATACTGTAAAGTGGCTACATCAACATCTTTTAGAACACCATTTCTGCTATTTTCCTTAAAGGCTGGTAGGGTCCCAAATTTTTCCAGCAAAGGGGCTTCTGTGTGTGTGTGTGTGTGTGTGCGCGCGCGTGCACGCACACATCTATTATATGTAGGTTATCATAAGTCTATCTGAATTAGGGCAATTCTCCTGGTAGCCAAAATTAACTCAGGAGACTACTTTAAATAGATAATAAGTTCTAGGACAGCTCTGTGACATAATTAGCAACAAAATGGCTTAAAACTATAATTTTATTACCTACTAAAGACTTACAAAGATGGTTTGCTGTGATAAATGTCTTACAAATTCTTCAAAACATTAAGTTCTCTCATTATAATAATCTTAACCTGTCTGAAGAGTTTTCTGTCTAGAGCTTACATGTATCTGGGAGATATGTAAGATTCCTTCTGAAAGCAGCACTAATGGGACAACTTACTAAAAATCAATTTGGTTATTAAATTGTCTTCAAGGACTTTACTTGCTACTAGTTAAGTTTATCATTCACTATCCTATCAAATAAAAACACCAATTAAAGGCGAGTGATGAGAAGAGAGAATAGGTCATTTATTTTCAGTAACCAGACCTTCTGTCAACCAATCACAGGGACCAAATGACCCAGGAGTGGGTGATTTTCTGCAGTAATACAGCCTTCAAAAGATAATCATATTCACATTCTCAATAGCACAGACAGGACCACTTAATTTCTTTAACAGGAGACAATCATTTGCATAGTATCATAATAAATAAATATTTCTGTACTAAGACACATATTATGAGAGAAGCAACTCTGAAAACTGTGGCTCACAAGCACTAATCTAATCAGCTGGGAAATATTTTCCTAACTGAGGTACTCTTTCTAGAAAAAAAAAAAACACTAGAAATCCATTTCAAAGGTTAAGGTATTTAAAAATCAGGGAAAAAAGTGCAAAGAATAATTTTATTTTTCTAACTTTATTCTAAAATACAAACAAGACTCATTAAGATTATGCCAACATAACTCCTTGATGTATCTTTATCTCCAAATTTCTAATATGAAGTCATAAATATTAGGCTTGAAACTGCTGACATTTGATCAAAACTAACACCACACAAAGAAAAAAAATTAAATTATCAGTTACATGAAATAAGGAATTATTAAGTACTGGACTTTTGAATCACAAAGCTTATAAAACAGTTCTACAATTACCAAATTCTCAAGACCAAAAGATACTAGGAACTTTTTAAAAACAAAGATGGTTTGCAGCAAAACACTAGCTTAAATCATATGAAACAACTTGGACAAGATTCTGATACAAAAATCACAATTGAGATGAAGTTGAAAGAATATCTGAATTCAGTCCAGTTAAGCCACAGTGCCACCAAAAACCTTTTTCCTTTTCTAAGCGAAACAAGGTATCTCCAAACTTTGAAGCATTTAAATGCTTTGAGAATTTCCTTTATTTGTCCATGGAATAGAAAAAAATATTTTCCATAGTGACACAATGTGATAGAAAAGAAAAATTAATCCATGCAAGATACTGTAAGTACCTTCTTTATCACAGAGTACATCACATGCATTCAGGCCCTTTCTGGAATTCTAGAAGTTCAGGTAAATTGTTTTACTCAAATTAAGACACTGCAAAGGAGGGGGGGGGGAATTAAAATTTCCACCTTCAATGCAAATTTCCATTAATTTCTGAAAAAGTAACGTATACAGTTTTTCAGATCAAAAAAGATCAGTGCCTTATTTTAAGTGCCTTAATTTTTGTAAGAAAATTTAAGCTAAGGTTTCATTATTCCAGTTATATGGTTCTGTGCCTCCTTCCAAAGTTAGTATTTTGAGTTTTTTAAAAAAATCTCTTTTCCTAAAGAACAATTATGATAGACTTCAAGATAGTCTGTTGGCAAAGAATGAGAAATGTCAGAATCTGTCCAAGTGTTAACAAGTGTTAGAATGAGAAGGAATTGAACAGTTACAGCTGGATACAGGAAAATAATTTTCAGGCCCCAAATTCACTACCATAATTTACCTTAAATTAACAAAAAGCCATGATTACTAAAATCTGTTCCCTTTGTAGAAGCAGTTCTAACATGATCACAGAACCGTTAAATCTCTGGGGCACAGACCCTCCTTGCTACCACGGCAAGGGCTCCCAGCTGTCAGCTAAGGCGCAACATCTACTTCAGCAGATTCTGCAGCATGGCCGTTGCATACGTGGGCCTAGCCTGTCTGCTCTCAATTGCATTCTGGAGGTACTGGATGCCTCCACAGCGTTCCCAAATTTCTTCAAACTGTCTTGGCAAAATCTCAGCACCACGCTTTCGAGTCAGGCCCGTCTCTTCAAGATTCAGCTCACACATCTCCATGTCATCCTTACCTGCACAGGGGAGGCATCAGAGAATAAACCATCTCTCTTTTCAGAAGGACTTACTATAAACTTTACTCCTGAAATAGTTCTCAGTTCTCATAGATATAAAAACTTTTAAACCTTTCTTTTCCTCCTCTGTGACAGAAATCTGCTTAATAAATTCACCAGAAGCAACTTAAATTTGTCCTCCACCAAAGACCCTTTCAGAAAGTATTAACACCACAGCTGATTAAACAAGTTATCAGCCTTAATAAAAAAAATGCTACATTTCTTTAAACAATTATAAATTAACTGATATAATTAAACACCAATGAAAAGGTTCTTAGGACACAGGCAAGTTTCTATGTGCTCTCTATGAGGACATAATTAATCCAAGCGATTTCACATCATAAATAAATTAATCCTCAATTAACTGGAAGTGTGATTTAACTGCAAAATTCCATCCCTCAAACCTGATATTTAATGAACTATTACATTATATGTTAGACAGTTTCATTCAAAGGGTTTATAATCCTTTTTTGCTTTATAAGGTTTTTTTCATGTGAATCATACACACCAGCCACAAGAAGGATGGGTGGCTTGTCAGGATGGAGTTCCATTTGCCGGGCAATCCATGGTCCATCAAAATGGGCATACCACCAGCCTTTTTTCTTATTCTGCGGGTCTTTGTACTGGTCGGCAGGGCGGATGAACGGGATGCGGAAGAAGCGCTGCTGTCGGTTCATTTCCATCTCCTGCTGCCTGGCAGGAAGCTGAGACGCTGGGTTCTGCTGAGCTATTACAAAGAGCAAGGAAAGTTACACCAGCAGCCCAGGGGATAATGAAAACAGCCTTTAATCCTAAAAAGCACTACACATTTTTTTTTAAAGAAGAAGAGGGTTCCTAATATTAGTAACTTTAAAACAAAATATAAATATTAATTGCTTATAACTGAATAAAACTTAGATTGTAATCTTAGAATTTTCTTACCCTAAAGATGTTCCTTAACATTGTACACACACACGCACACACATTCCACAACACCAGCAATAATAACAAACAAGCCCAAGGAAATTCCCACAAATGACTGTATCAGTAACCTAAAATTCACATGGCAGGAAAGCAAACTAGTATTATTTGTTAGGATTTATGTTATCTCCAAAGAGTTCAGAATCAAAGGCCACAGAATAATTTTTATGAGACTGTTTATGATAAAACAGATAAATGGTAATTTCACAAATGTGAAGAATTCTAGCTGTCAATTTAATCACTATTTCCTCAGAGAAGTGGAAGACAAAAGTTTGCTCTTTTGCCAACTGATTTTGGAATTTAAAATGGCCAGAACAGGTATATTACTAATAATATTTAGACAACTTCATGACAACAAAAAACTGTAACCAGTAAAAGCATGAACTTTCCCTCAGAGTTATTTACTTACTCTGAAATCAGATTTCTCTTGGAATAAAATCTACTGAGATAAGTGGGGAGTATATAATATTTGGTTCTCTTTGTTACAGAAAAGAAAAACCCTTGCTTTTCTGCTAGTACTAGACATTGCACTCATCAATTTTTCCCCCTTGCTCAATTTTCATTTCATAAACATATAGGTTTTTCTTTTATCTGCAGATAAAAATATTTCTCTGGGGCAATAACTTTATAGCTTCAGCAGCATAATTCTGGAAAGTCTGTTTAGTATGATTTTTACTCACAACTTTAAAAGTAGGACCAACCATCTACTGCAGCTCAATTAAGAATCTCACTGAAATGCTTAAGTATGACAATGAAAAATTATAGAATACGTGTAAGTCAAGAATAGCCACATGGCTTTTGTAAGAATTTCCAAATACTGAAAGGATGAAAATACTCTTATGCTACTTTTCACACCAATAGTAAAAGCTTTATAGCAGCTGAATTTATTTCTGTGCAAACCAGAGAAGCAAAAAGCAGTTAGCAAAGCTATATATGCCCATGAAAGAATGAAACAGAGGCCCAGTTTTGTTAGTGACTTTAAAAAGCCGCATCACCTTTAGCATCACTTTTTAGCATGTTAACAGAGATGAACTTCTTTATTCTTTTGTTCCTGTAGTCCCTCCAAACTACTTACAGCTTAGTGTTTCCATTTCAAGTTTTAAAAATTACCTACTTGAAGAAAATACAGTAGCCCCAAATTAAGGAATTTTAAAAGGATAAGAAAGAAAAACCCTTCCTTCTATCCTAAGCAGTAACTTAGAATACCCACTTGATCAGGGAACTTAACTACTATACTGATGGACACTTGTAAAATTAACCTGCTTTTTTCTTTTAAAAGACTGTCTCCTGTACCTTAATATATTGGGTAAACTTAAGAAGCCTAAGGGAAAGTCTTTGATAGCTTTTTTTTCACTCACGTGAGAACTAAAATTGTACTAAAGGGGAATTAACTTCACAAATATTCATCTGGAAAAGCACAAAGATACAGATGTTGAAAGTTTGAAACTAATAAATGACTATTTCTTTCACATCCTATTGTGTCATCTTTATGTTGTGAAATAAATTTTAAATATGGCTCTATAAATTAGTAGAAGCACTTGAAAAAAAATCAGGTCCAACAAGTTGGCAAACAAATACGGCATTATATCCAAATCATTATTGCTCAACTGCAGAATAAATTTACTGCATACTGAGATGACTCAAAGTTTTTAAATTATCAAAAATGTGCATCATAAGATGCTATCTATACAAGTAACAAAATAATCTCCTCCTATTAGGAGGCATCCCATTAAAACTGTGTAATAGATTATCACACAAAACTCAGATCTCTGGATACAAATGTTTACACTATAACAGTGTTTGAAACCAGCACCTGAAGTTAGTCTTTATTCTAAAAGATCAGCTGCTTGTTAAGTTTTGCTACAATGAGAATTGTGTATATTCACAGAATAAAGTGCCAGTTATTTTTTAAACAGAAGTAATTTCATAAAACAGATTAATTTTATTCTGTATATATATTTTGGATTGATCCAAATGAAAGCATCATCTCAAATAAATAGCTTAGTACAGAAAACCAACATAATGTACTACAATTCCACTTAAAAATTGTAGCAAAACAATGTTTAATAGAAGTTAGTATTTTATAAAGTATTTTTAACCCATCATCCAGTTAGCTCATAAGTTACCACCCATTGACTTACGTGAATTGTTCAAAAATGGTGCAAAATCTGTGAATAAATATTTTACGTTGAAGAAAAGATAAAAATGGCAAAACTGTTAAATGAGCATTCTTGTAATTTATAAAGCCTTCCCATCAATTGAGGTGGTGACTAGCAAGTAAATATCCTGTCCACAATCAAATACTCTCAGAATTATCTACAACCAGATGCTGCTTTCTGATTTAAAAAAAAAAAAGAGAGAGAAAGAGAGAGAAAGAAAAAAGGGAAGAAAAAGAAAAAGAAAAAAGCTATTTTGATTATATTTTAGGAAATTCTGCTTGATTCTGCATATAAAGAGGACCTAAATTTAAAAATTATATTTCGTTTATAATTCTGGGACACAATAATATTCAAACAAAAGTCCAACGTGATGACTCAGTCATAGGCATTCTAGTACCTTCAAAGCATTACTAAAATTTCTGTAGAAATAAAAAAACCTGGGATTCCTGAGTGGCGCAGTGGTTTGGCGCCCGCCTTTGGCCCAGGGCGTGATCCTGGAGACCCAGGATCGAATCCCACGTCAGGCTCCCGGTGCATGGAGCCTGCTTCTCCCTCTGCCTGTGTCTCTGCCTCTCTCTCTCTCATTCTGTGTGACTATCATAAATTAAAAAAAAAAAAAAACTTCTACATTTATCAAAAGAATATATGCCTTAGAGAAAAAGCATTGCCGTGTTTACATATACTCAGTATATTTTACTTTTTCTTCAAACTGTCTAAATCTTAAATTCATGCAATTTTTATTTTAGGAACTATGAAATAAAACTACTCTCCAATGTCAGTTTTAAGCAACTAAATATTGCAAATCATTACTAAGTAACTTGCCACTGCTCCAATAATTATTTCTGGAAATCTCTTTCTGTAGTAAATGTGATGAGAGCGTGCTCACCCAGGAGAGAACAGAGGAGGAGGGTCTGAGATTCTCCACTCTCAGTTACAAGACTTCACCATGATTTGTCAACGTACTACTCTTAAGTAATATCTAGTTATATTTTTGTTAATTATAAGTTGTCATTTTAATTTTCTCAAATTAAGGAATTCTAATCTTTCTAAATATTAAACTAAAGAGTATTTCCTTTTAAAGGTTTATTAGCTGTCCCATTAGGAAACTCAGTACAGAATTTTCTCAACTGACTGTTAAGCATCTCGATGCACTTCAACTTCTCTCTTAACTGTACTTCTGTGTCAGAATGTGTTTTACATGAGAAAAAAAATAAAGAGAACAATGAGTACTTTTCAGAGCAGAAGTTATTATTTTATCTGAAAATGGTCCATTATCAAATTCTTTGAAGGCTACACATTCATACATACGTGTGGAGTTTACTCACATAAAATTCCCAAATATGTTCTTGGGAAATCTTCTTAATCTACTCTTTTATTCTTCCAAATAGTATATTATGAATGGAAACAGTATAAAAACAAAGTAAGCAAGGTATACCATGTATCATTTGCCTCTTTGGGGGCAAAGCTGGATGAGTACAGTACCAAACTTTGGTTTAAAAACACAAGAATTGGGATGCCTGGGTGGCTCAGGGGTTGAGCATCTGCCTTTGGCCCAGGATGTGATCCTAGGATCTGAGATCGAGTCCTGCATTGGGCTCCTTGCAGGGAACCTGCTTCTCCCTCAGCCTATGTCTCTGCCTCTCTCTCTCTCCCTCTGTGTCTCTCATGAATAAATAAATAAAGTCTTAAAAAAACACACACACACACAAGAAATATTTGTGTATTCATTAAAAAATGTATGTGCCATAAATTAAAACATTACTTTTCTTATTTTAAAAAGAAGTGTAATCATTCAGGTGTATAAATTTGGGGGAAAAAATCATGATGAAAGCCTATCAGCTAAAGGCCATAATTAGAACATTACAGCTAAATAGGTTATAGCTCGAAGGTATAGCCCATTGCCATTTTTACAAAACAAAGATAACTGGTTAGAAACTTGATACAGTGAACTGCTAATGCAATCATCCTATTATCTTCAATTCCCAGGGATAAATTTATAAATTGGAGAAGAGAGTGGTGGTCACAAGAATATCGATGATTAGAGGGCCTTCCGCTTGTTGTTTCTTAGTTCTGAGTGATCTCTCATTGCCCTTTCAGAGCATTATATTCTGACTGATGATATTCCGTGAGCAATCACTAGAAGTAACAGCTCTCTTATTAATAGTATTTCCTTTACTGAATCCATTTTTTTTACTTAATCTATTCTTTACAACAATTTGGAAATACTAAAATTCTACCATTTAATTGACTTTAATCAAACATTGCTTTTACTTGCTAGGAAGATAGTGAGGGAGAGCTCATTTTCTATGACAACTTAGGGTCATGTGTTGCTAAGCTATACTATCAGTGCTGGGAATATACTTTTGCAATAAAGACATTAAAAACATGTTCACCTTGACGTTGACCACAATTAAGCTAATAAATTGTGCCAGTCTGAAAGTAGTAAATTGAACAAATGAAATTCCAATGTTTGCTTTTAAGACTGAAATTACAACTCATATATCACAAGTATTCTCAATTAATGTTAAAGTTAGTACATACTTTTACTAGGTTAGGTCTATTCTTCTGTACTTTCCAATTTCAAGTATATAACTCTGTCTTTTGCATAACAAAGTAACAAAATTTATTTTTGGAATCTCAACCAAAAAATCAAATCCTGATATAGGCAAAACTGGTCTAAACGAAGGTACTACTTCTCACTCTTATATTTTGACAGTATTGTAAAATAATGTTTGCAGCAATTGTTCTTATTTCACTGTGTTCTTTACATTTCCACATGTAATCATTCTATATGTGTATGTATGTATATGTGGAAAAAATACATATTTACATTACTGAGCAACTTCTTTAGTATAGACAAGAGTATTCTTATCTCCAGAATTTATCTTAACAAATTCAAATATTTAATAATACAACTTAAAGACATAATAATAGAAGTAATGCTATGAAAGATAAGCCACTGTGGTTGTATTAGCCTCAGTGGATCACAGCTGCATAGTAAGAGAAAATTTGTATTATATATTTTATCCAAAATGTCTTACGTATAGTTACATACATTATATACAGATACTCTGGAACATTTAAAAGTACAGATTTGTTTTTACCATAATCAGTAACAGACTTTGGAGCACGCTGCTCTGTTTCAGTATTTCTCTTCTTATTCTTGGATTTCCACGCATGATACACTTTTAGTCTCCTGTGAAATTCTTCTCTGCAAGCTGCCAGGAGCTCAATATCTGTGGATTATATAGAAAGAGCCCCCCACCCAAAGAAGGAATTAGCATCCTAATTTAATTGTCTAACATAATTATTCTGTGGCATAAACATATATATTTATACATATAATACATTTTTTGTTTTTAAATTAATAGTACAAAATCAAAAGTAAGCACATTATTGATAAAGATGAGATTTTATGGTACTATTATCTTTTACATTTACAGAGAATTTTCTTATGCATTGCTACTGTATCATTTGCTTCACACAAGAATCCTGGGCTAAACAGGTCTTTTATAGTTGAACCTCAATCAGAGAGGTTAAATCACACTTGTCGAAGGTCAGAGGCCACAAAAATAGAGTAAGAAGTCACTGTGCTAATATGAAAACTAGATTTACATCCAACAGATTTTTTTATTTGTAATTATGCAGATAAACTGAGTGAGGAGAGAGAGAACATAGGAAGTTCTGTACAATCACGGCATGTTAGTTCCTAGGCACAGCAGCCTAAACTCAAACAACTATGATTTAAACAAGAATACAATTATATGGAATCATCTGGATATAGTACTTTCCTATTCTGCTGGGAAAAGATAGCTTAAAAAAAAAAAGGACCGCATTGCCATTTTTTACTTTGCATACATAGGTCAAGATTCTGATATACAAGTATTTAACTATTATGAATACCATTAGAAGAGTCAGTCATTAGCATAGCCTAAATCATAATTTTTCTATGCTTTTCCTCTCAGACCTAGATAAGAGACAAGCAAAATGAATTTAATAAGTATGCCTTTCCTTTAGGTTTGTGAGTAAACTAGGTCTTTATTTCAAGGTGAGAATAACAAAGAGAATGGCTTAATTTATATGTCAAAAAAGAAGAAAATTATACCCCAATCTAGGTATTGCTTTATTACCTGTCAGCCACAGAGCCTTCCCATTTTTCATCTTCTCAATACACTTACCACAAGAAGTATTGATGGTATCACGTAGTTCTGCATATTTCCATTTACTGAGATCATATTTCTTGGTACCAGCAGCTGCCTTGGTAGCTTGTACAGCAGGACCTCTGTAATTATTACATATTTTTGCATGTTTAAACTAGAAAAATGAATGAAATGTTGACTAAAGGGGCAAGAAAGTGAATCTCAGTTTGAGACATGGAAATAACTATTAGAAAAACATAAAATAATTTTGTATCTTTGATAGATAAGATTAAGAATGGTAAACTATATGTAGGATTCCTAGGTAAATTAAAATTTTCCAGTGTGTCATTTAATAACCATATTATGTTTTCAATCAGAATTTCTGATTCTTATACCCTGGTACCATGGACTAACCCCAACATCAGTTTAAATACTCTAACTAATGGGTAAATGGATACCTAAAGTTAAAAAAATACATTTATATATATTCCTCAAAATCAAAAAGGAAATCCTCTGGACTTCTTGAAAAATCATTAGAAGTATGTTAATGATTTATGAGCCATAAGGTCACATAGAGCAATCACCCTTAGGCTACTGGAAGCTACAAGATGGCCAAGCCCCAGCCAAAGCTACTGGCTTAGAACCTCCTTGGGCATCTGGATGTCTGCAAGGTCCACAAGTGAGTAGCCAAACTGCAATCCACTGCCTGAGTCATTAAAGATGGGCTAAAAGAGTTGCTGGAGTCTGGAAAGCCCTGTGACTTTTTGCATCACTATTAAACAGAATACTTAGGAAAGTTCTGTACAGAGGTAAAGCCACACTCTCATATTCAGTAATATGACAACTAGTAAATTATGGAAGCAGCCCAAGTATCCATCAATAGATGAGTAGATAAAGAAGATATGGTGTGTGTGTGTGTGTGTGTGTGTGTATGTATGTATGTGTGTGTGTGCGCACGCGTGCATGCGCGTAATGAAATATTATTCGGCCATAAAAAAGAATGAAATCTTGCCATTTGTAACAACATGGATGGAGCTAGAGGATAGAATGCTAAGTGACATAAGTCAGTCAGAGAAACACAAATGCCATATGATTTCACTCATATGAGATATTTAAGAAACAAAAGAGCAAAGGGAAAAAAAGAAACATAACCAAAAAACAGACTTTTAACAATAGAGAACAAACTGATGGTTACCAGAGAAGAGATGGGTGGGGGGATGGGGGAAATAGGTGATGGAGATTAAAGAGTACACTTATGGGAAAGAAAAATAAAATAAAAATGAGTAGACAATACTCTGAGCAGGAAATAAAGATCATGCCCAAGGTCACACACTGCTAATAACAGGTAGTATCTGAGACTGAAACACAAAGTGTTCTGACTTTAAAAGTCTTGGTCTTAGGACTCTACCTTCCTTCATTTGCTATATTCATTCTACAAACATTAATGAGCGCCCTCCTAGCTAGCCCCTCACTTGTGCTTGGAGCTACCGACATAGAGCTGTGTAAGCTAAAAATAATAATAATAATAATTAATTAAATGAAGTTTTAGGTCATGAGGCAGATAATAGATTTCAAAGGGCACAAGTATAGCAGGAATGCTGGAATGAGGAAAGAAGAAAGAAAAAATATATATAATATATTAAATTAAAAAATAAGTTGAGATAAATTCCACTTTTTCGTAGCAGTATTACCCAGGGATTACAACTTGTTTCTATATACATAATTTGAAATAATTATTCAGAAAATATGGAAATAACTTTTCTATAATAATAATATAGTCAGCAAAAGATGACTCCTGTCACACAGCAGTCAGAATAAGCTGCAAGTAAGATTAATGTAGCAAAGAAAGAATTTAAACACATCACATTTCAAGATATAAAAAGAAAGATGGCACAAATATGGAAAGAACTAAATTTTAAAGAACTAAAATATTGCTTCTCAGGTATCACACAAGGAATTTTACCTTTATCATCCACTACTTAGAAAATATTTCCTATTAAAGAGGGATGATCAAGGTGTAATACCTGAAAATGAGGACATATTTTCTCATTATTTCACATTCTGAAAGATAACAGGAATCTTGGCAGTCAAGACACAGATATTTAATGAGAAATGATGTGTGAAAATATGTATACTTCTTCCTGAAATAAAGGAAATTATTCCTCCATATTAAGCTTAGCAGTGAGAAAAATAAGGCACTTTTTGCCTCTTTAAAAGGTCTATTTATGCTTTCATTGTAGAGAATAAAAAATAGGACACTTCACTCTATATACTTAACAACAGTTAGACATGATGATTGTTAGTAACATAGAAGCCTGGCTAAAGAGCAACATGTGGCTAGTTAGTTCTTTCTCCATTTTTATGGTTCAAATCTGTTTTAAATTTACTGCAGAATCTATCCTTCTCATAAGCTGTGTGACTGGCAATTTTCCATGTGGCTTTTTCCTCTTAATTGCTTTGCTCAGAAAGAGCCAGCTGTGTGTCAGCAAGGTCTCTCTATTACCTTTAGCAATAAATTATGTTTTAACATTTATTCATATATTCTTTTTTCTCTTCTACATCCCTAAACTACCAATTCAGTAAACTAACAAAAAATTCTCTTTTCTTCCTAGCTCCTCCAAGAGTCTTTTCTAGGAGAACAGCTGAAAATTATTATGGGTTTTTATTGTTATTTTCTTTTGAAAGAGAGTGAATTTACATAATATACAGTTTCATAGACTGTCAGAATATACATGAAGTGCCAATATACATAAGGTGTATTTTGATACTTTAAAAAAATAACACTGCATTCAAATTATTATTGCTTAAAATATGGTTTAATATTACTAACTTTTCACTCATATTACATCAAACAAACTACATCTACTAAAAAACATATTCAGCAACCTAAATACACAAATGTAACATTTAAATGCTTTTCCCTCATCTCTGGAATTATTAAAATAGTAAAATAAAGATGTAATTACTGATTATTTAGGTCTGTTATAAAGAATCATGTAAATGATACACTAGGTAGTAGAAAAGCTGACTTCTGATTTTAAAAAATATATTAATTTTAATACTTCGAATTAACTCTAACTTCCAATTGACAGTGAAAAGGTTACTGATTCATATCCACTTGTAAAGGACCAGATCCTGCTAGGAAGTCATATTCTCTGGTGGCTGAATTTTTACATCAGTGGTTTTTAAACCATGTGCTATGGGGAGGTGGCCCTCAGAAGCCACACTCTTTCTCTACTTCCCCTTAAGCTAGGAACTAGGCACAAAGGTTCCCAGCTGGCAAGGGGGTCAGGGAGGGGGTGGGGGGAAAGGTGGAGGGGCAACACCACCTCCATGGTGAGTTTCAAAACATTCATTTTGTTTGAAAGGAAAGCTTCCACTACTGAGACAGAGTTGGTGAGGGCCAGTGATAAACATGGCAATACTACTAACAAGGAACAGTCTCATCCAAAATACCAATGGTCTCAAAAAAAAAAAAAAAAAAAAAAGACAAAATACCAATGGTCTCTCCACTGAAGACCACCAACTTAGAACATTGCTTTTTATCTTTTTCTGTTAGGGTGGTATAGAGTGAAGTGACATTTCTTGCACAGAAAATTTACATGGAAAGAATAGACTATTCATATAACAGGTTCTGGTCCAAATAATGAACAGTGATTTAAAAATATGATTTTGAGGTGACACTTATTTCCCCAAATTCCACTGCACTAACCTACTCAGAAATTCTGACATTTCTCTCTCCATTTGTTCCCTATAAGAAAAATGATAATACAGCACAGTCATATAAAAGACAATTTAAGTTACCTACAGAATCTAAAAGCATAATTAGAAATATATGTTTTCAATAGGATTATTGATTCACACTTTTTACTTTGTAAAAGTCTCTAATAATATATTATTCAACATGGTATATAACCATAAAATACAGCAAATGTTTGTTTAAATACAGTTAAGGTTGTTTGAACTCCATTTTGCAGTAGGAACTTTAGATAAAACCTCATGAGAGACATGCTTCTGTGGTATTTTTTATTTGTAGAATATAATTAACATGTTCTAAATGCATACTGGAAACTTGGCAGGATATAGATTCTATAGAGGGAGTTCTGCATTGAGGTTGCTTAGTAAATATTAATTTGATGGCGTAACAGTGGTAAACCAAGCTAATCTATATTATAGTGTCAGAGTTTAAATAAGAGTCTAATATATTCAAACTCTAAAATTCTGAATCAAAGCATGCTTTAAAAAATATAAAAGAATTCAAATGCATCAAGTATGTGTTAAACATCAGAAGTGTCCTGACTCTCTAAGGATAAACATTTCCTAGAGGCAAAAGTTACTTTTCTTTTATTATTCAGGGGAGTGTAACTTTTCTCAATATTCATTTAATTCTGTGAAATGTAACAGATATTTCATCATGTCATCAACAATTCATTAATTTCATTATTTTATTTTCCTGTTCTTTCTTTTTTCCTTTGCAATTAATCATTTTCTCATGGCTCATTCTATTATCGGACTCTGGTAACCTCAAAATCTTACAAATCAGCAAAAATTGTAAGAAAAGAAAATGGGTATGTTTGCATTAGGGTGCAGTTTCCTGGATGCCTGTCAGAAACTGGGACCTTGATGATAAAGAAACAAAGGACTCCTGTAATTCTCTTTCCTTGTAATGAACATTGACTCAGATTAGGGGCTGAGAAAAATCTATCCAAGCAAGCACAGTCAGAGAAAAAGTCATCTTTCAAAACCGATGACTGATGATAATAAATTCAAAGTTAAAAACACAAATATGTATAAAAATACCTACTGAGCAATACATTTGTCAATCTCCATTTAGGCTAGTCAGAATTTTCTTTCAAACTCCGTACAATTTTGATAAATATTTTTAAAATTCTATTATCACCCTGCCTCAAGATTTTTTTTTAAGATTTATTTATTTATTTGAGAGAGACACTGTGTGTGCATGTGTGTGAGTGGGGAGAGGGGATGAGGGGGAAAGAGAGAGAGTCTCAAGTAGACTCCCCGCTGAGCATGGAGTCCAACTTGGGGCTGATCCCAGGACCCTGAGATCATGACCTGATCAAGAGTTGAATAGTTAACTGACTGAGCCACCCAGGTGCATCTACCTACATTATCATCCTATCTCAAGTTTTCCATCTTAGCATCCAAGAGCATCTGTTTCTACCATCTCTTTCTTCTAAACCTTCCTCCATTCTTTTTCCCACAGCTTTTAAAGAGAATTCATACCCTTCTTAAGCTCTTTACTACATGGTCTATTGATTATATAGAGATTTCCCTGTCTGCTGCAACACTACCCTGGAAGGCAATCTCTAATGACTCAGCATCTCACTTGACCCTTTGATACTGCTCTAGGAGCTGCATCAAAGAGACTAGACAGAAATGGTTCCTGCACCCAGTTGCTTTTTTCCTTCTAACTTTCCCAAACTATATACAAATATTCACAATTTTACTTTATATGCACTAGTTGCAGGGCTTATTTAACTCAAGCTCAAATGGTAACTAAAGAGCTGCTTTTCTAATGGAAGGAAATAGCACCCAGAGATGTTTTTAAAAATTTTGGTACCCTGTGGTAACAAGGCTGTGGTGAGAGTACACTGCTGGCATCTGAGGAGGTGAGGGGTCAGGGGTGCCAAATGTCCTGCACAAGGAACAAGTGCCTGGTATCCCATGTGATATTAACATGTCCACCAGATAGAGGTGAAACACACACACACACATACAATTTTACATGTAAACAGACTTCTACATGTAAAGAACCTTTTTGGGGGGCATGGTTTTAATATTCACAGAGTTTTTCCAGAAATGCAACTACTGCAGGAAAATCTGTTTAGAACTTTCCAAAGTACTAGGGTGCCTGAGTGGCTCAGATGGTTAAGCATCTTCCTTTGGCTCACGTCATAATCTCCAGGTGGGATCGAGCCCCATATCAAGCCCTACATCGAGCCCTACATCGGGTTCCCAGCTCAGTGGAGTCTACTTCTCCCTCTCTCTCTGCCTCTCCCCCTGCTTGTGCTCCCTCTGTCTCTCTCTCAAATGAATTAAAAAAAATCTTAAAAAAAAATAATATGACTAAAAAAAAAAAAAAAAACAACTTTACAAAGTACTGTTCACAATTTCACGGCATTCAATTGACCAATATAGCATTCTTACATCAATTTGCACTTGTAGCTGTCATATTTATGGTGATACTATGTATGAATGGAAAGTATGAGTATTTGATATTTTCCTGTAGTTGTGAACAAGCACTTTCATACTAAAATAAATACTGTTTTATTATAAATAATATGCCCTTTCATTTCTCTTTTACACATAATGTTTGGAGAGAATTATTTATGCAGGTTACATGACTTATAAAACAACTGTCACTGGTATTAGGGTCTGACAAAGTTGAGAATCAACATTATAAAGGTTACAGTAGGGGTCATAAAGTGTTAAAATTTAGATTTTATATATATATTCCAAAATTTTATATGTAGTATATACATAAAATATGTGCAAAAAACCCCACAAAAATTTGTTTTAATGAGGAAACCATTTCTCCTAAAAAGTAACCACAATCTGTTAAGGGAAAAAAAGGGTTATATGACTAAATCAAATTTTGAAAAGAGAAATGACATACGGTGTCATTATGGGTCTTGCTCCAACGATTCTGTGAAAAATAATATATTTTAGTTAATCTCGTTAAGCAATTCTGAATCATGAAAAACTGGATTGTACCAAATTTGTGTTTCAATACTCTACACACTGACTTTAAAAAAAAAAACCATTATATTTATTTAACCTATGAGATCACTCAAAATTTTATTGTTTAAAATTTCCTTAAAAATTATGAGAAAGTATAAATTAAAGACATTCAATGAAAATTAAAGAGCAAATATATATCTAGATTAGAAAATTCATACACTGTGAAGTGTGCTTGTTGTTAACAGAATCTCAATATTATTTCATAATTTTAGGTAATGTGAAATCACTTTGCATCAAGGATCATATGTGAATTAATTAAGATCACATTTTAAAACATATTACATATATAGAAAACAATTCTTACTTAGAAGTTACTGGACGGGAATCCGAGCTGAAAAAGTAACTTGGAAATTGTTTAATACAGCAAAATCCATTTACATGTATTTTTTAATGCATCACAGAACCTCAGAATGACATTTTCATGCTATATATTAGAATAGTATTACTTAAGAGATTTCTTACTCATAAATTTGTCAGAAATAATTCAGTGCTAACAAAGGTAAAATAAACATTCAAAAACGTTTATTTGTGGGCCATGGAGTAAAATGAAATGATCAAATATGGAAAATATGTATAGAACATCATCCATAATGAAGTGTTAATGCTTGTAATACAGAGTATAAAATAACCAGGAGGTTCTAAAGAATAGAAACTCATGAGGACATGAGGGTCAAGGAAAGCTTTCCTGGAAAGGGCTGCCAAAAAGGACTTAAAGGGCATTTAATAGAGAAGGAGACAACAACCTAGGAGCTATCTCACAGGAACACTAAAGCTAATAACTCTTTTGCCATTCAATCATAACTGCTTGAGTATCTCCTAATTACTTAGTAGTGGTACCATTACATAGTTAATTCTGCTTAAATTAAATCACAGGTAACTTTTCATTTATGTTAAAGGTACTGAATGATCCACTCTTTCTCTGAGAGACCACTCACTCTTGGAAAAAGTGCATCTTTCTGAAGATGGGAAGGAATGCACATATGAGCCTGTATCTTATACATATTATATGGAATGGCTCTGGCTATAGTTTAATATTTCAAATGCTTACACCTAAAGCTTGGCTGGTCATGAATACCAATACCGACTCCAATAATGAGTCTCTTAGAAATGAACTTCAGCCATAATGAAGCCACTTCGGGTCAACTGCAGTGCTTCCTCACACACATTAGGGAGAGCAGCTTTAAGAGCTTGGTTCATGGAGGAGATTGGCCCAGTTACTAATCAGTTATACACAAAGGCTCCCAGACATTCCAACATAACACAGGTGGAAGGAACACAAGAGCAGCTAAGCTGAGTCTGCAGTTACAAGAATCACAGCCCAGAGAAAATACTTTTTTAATTACAGTGAAATGTTAATAAAAAGCTAAAATATTGGACTCAAACCCAAGAGCTTAATAATTACTATACTTTGATAGGCCTATTCGGTTTATTTAAATATAATATACTTTCATATACAGTTCAGACCCCAGAGCTCCCCAATGTAATCACTTCCTAGATAAAGCATGAAGGCAACTTAACATACCCTCTTCCATCCCTTTGTTTTAGCTAAATAAAATCTAATCACTGCCTTGCCATTTCAACCAAGTTTTTTCCTTTCACAAGGAAATAGCAACACCTAGTGGTTATATTTTAATTACAGTTTGCTATAAACAGTGCTCTGACATTCTGGAAAGCATGGTTACGTAAATCTATGTGCCTCTCAATATCTATAAACATATATACCTGCATGCAAAGCAACCTCACAAACTAGTTTTGCTGTTTTTACAAATAAATAATCAAAATAATGAATGTTTCTACATTCCACACTTTTAAAAATGAATGTTATGTGAGGACCTTCCTGGGACTTTTAACAAGCACATCTATACTTCTTCACACTCCAATAAAATTCAGTATTAAGAGACAATTTGGAAACATTTTAATGTGATAAGCCTTCCTTCTTGGAAAGGGAACTCAATTGTGAAACAGGGTGTGTGTGTGTGTGTGTGTGTGTGTGTGTGTGTGTGTGTGTGTGTAAAACTCTTCCCCATTCCAAGTGTTAGGGCATATGATATATTAAAAAAAAAAAACTGCATTAGGAAAAGATTAAATCTCAACCTCAAGTATATTAATTGGATTATAATATATTCACTGATTTCTATGCCAGTATTTAATGGCAAGTATTTAGAAATTAGATGTCTACTTTTTATACAATACTCCTTGACAATTTCAGAGTAAAAGCTGAGATGTTTCATGAACAGAAATATCATTTTTATTTTTCATTGGTTCAACAATTTGATGAAATCAATAGTTTCATTTGCTTGGGTATAAAAGTTGAAACAAATAATTTTTAAATGATTTTAATTAAAATAGATCAGGGCCTAAAGAATGTGATTTTTCTCCTAGTCCTTTTACACTGAAACAAGAAGCAGAGTGGGAAAGAAAGCAGAGGTGCCATGCCCCACCCAGTGGCCCTGTACCTCCGGAGGGCCAGGTCACCCTGGGCCTCGTCAGTGATGAGCTCAGCTTCACTCTGGGCAATCCTCAGGGCCAGCTCCCGGTCCCGGCGCTCCTGCTCCAGAACTGCCTGCTGCTGGGATTCCTCCTCCCGTTGTCGGGCCAGCTGCTCCTCCACTTCAGCCTGCCAAGGACAGAAAGCTATCTCAATAAGCTCTCTCTACTTGTTTACTTGATCATTACTACCTAAAATTGCTCCAATTGCTCCACACAATTTCTTTTTTTTTTTTTAATTTTTATTTATTTATGATAGTCACAGAGAGAGAGAGAGGCAGAGACACAGGCAGAGGGAGAAACAGGCTCCATGCACCGGAAGCCCGATGTGGGATTCGATCCCGGGTCTCCAGAATCGCGCCCTGGGCCAAAGGCAGGCGCCAAACCGCTGCGCCACCCAGGGATCCCTCCACACAATTTCTTTACTGAGGAATACATATTGTTTAACCAGAAATCTCTCCAGTCTCCATTTTCTTCTATATTTTGATAAATGCTTCCCTCCTCTTTCCTAAATCCAAGAGAAGGCAGAGGAACCATAGTTCCACCATTCTATCACCATGAGTATCTCAAATAATTGCATGAGAACCCTAGGTATATCACACTGACCAACATGTAGACAGCAGATGTCAGGAATTTAAAGGCTGATTGTGCTGAGGATGAATTATGAAAGCCAAAACAAACAGAAACACAAATATGTGATGAGTTATTCTCAGATATGGACTTTAGAAAAAATGGAGGTAGGGGGACTATCTTAACCCTAACTTACTGATACTAGTATCTACAAAGTTGTAAAGTTATAATTATGTTTTAAATGAATATTCATTTGACCTTCCCCCAATTATAATAATAACAAATGAATATTTTTTGAATGGGGCTAAATGCTTTAAATATAAGTCAACTCATTTAATGTTAACAACTATTATTTATCCTCAATCCACAGAAAAAAAAACCATGGCCCACAGTCACTCATTATCACTTGTGCAATGTCACAATTTCTATCAGTGATAGACCCTAGATCTGAACTCACTTACCTAGATCCAAAGTCCCTCCCCACAACCACTTCAGAGAAAGCCCTTTGTCTCTAAGGTAAACCAAAGGCCGTTTATCTAACAAATCAAAGTTTTGTTTGCAACTTCTTTTGTCTTTATAATTTTGTAGATTCTAATAGAAATTCAGTCTGTCTAATAATTATATACCTGAATACGTTTTTCGTCATCTTCCCTTTTCTTTCTCTCTTCTTCTTCTTGTTTTCTCTTTGCTTCCATCTCAAGTTTCCTATAACAAAAAAAGAGGAAACTCCTCAAAAACTTAAAAGAAAAGAAGAAATCCATCAGAAAACAATCGAACTATTAATAAACAGAGGTTACAGAATGGGGACTGAAATTAACCTCCTGGCTATATGCATCATCAGCTTACCTTGAAAACAAAGTCTAACTCTACTGACAGTAATTCTTCTGAAATAAATAAAAACAAATACAATTATATTCTATAACCTTTAAATCTGTAGATTAACTTGGTTATAAAGCCTACCTGCAAGGTCTTGATCACATGTGCCTCACTCTCCTCCTTCTCCAATTAAACAACTCTTACACATTCCTTCTGTCTGCCCCATGGTGGCAACCTTGCAAAAAGCTGTCAGTTTTAAAACTGCAGAAAAGTAGAAGTGCCTTTTTTCTTGCTTATAAAATAATAAGTCAAAGCTTTAAAAATAAGTTAAGAAATCCTCAGATATAAAAGCCTTACGAAAATTCAGATTATAGTTAAAATCAGTTATTATAACATGAACTTTTCTCTATTTTTAAACTTATTCTAAAATTATTGTTTTAAAAAACTAGAACTTTTAAAAATAATATTCATTAATCAGCATCAACACCAAGAATTCACTATTCTGTTAGTTTCTAATTCAAAACAATATAAATTCCTTACATCCGCCTTTCCTCCTCTTCCTTTCTTCGACGTCGTTCATCTTCTTCACGTCTTTTTCTTTCTTTTTCCATTTCTTCTTGAATACGCTTCAGCCTTTCTGCTTCCTCTTCCTGCTGTTTTTTTTTCTGTAATGCACTGAGAAGTTCCTCTGAGCTTTTAACTAGTGCATCATACTCTCTCTGTATTTGTTCTCTCGTCATCATAGTGGACTTAAAAACAAAATAATAAACATGTACTTAAAAATTATCTCTTCTGTCTCACCAATGGAAATATACTGAACACTACTGAATTACATTTAAAAATGGTTAAGATGGTAAATTTAATGTCACAGGCTTTTACCACACAAAAAGACCTGTATACACACACACACACACACACACACACACAAAGACTGGAAAAGTCGGTAAGCAGTAAAGCCATTATCTTTGTTATACTATTTGTACATTAAATAATGTTCTTAAAAATATTCATCTCTGCAAACAAATATGTGAATCTATTTCCTATTAATCAAGTAATCAAATATCTAAGGGTGTACTGTAGATGAAGTAACATACTATAGTTGAAAATTGTTTTAAGGAATGATTTGTTAATTTTGCTTTTGTTTCCTCTTTTTTAATAATAATGTTCAAAATACTACCTAGGGAATATTTAAGAAATTACTAAATATACTAAAATTATTGGATGATTTTCCAAAGTAACCCTTCAAAAAATGTGGCTGGGGGGCGCCTAGGTGGCTCACTCAGTTAGTTAAGCAGCTGCCTTTGGCTCAGGTCATGATCCCAGGGTCCTGGGATTGAGCCCAGCATCAGGCTCCCTGCTCAGCAGAGGGCCTGTTTCTCCCTCTTCCTCTGGCCCTCCCCATGGCTGGTGTGTTCTCCCCTCCCCCCTCCGCCCCCCATGTGCTCTTTCTCAAATAAATGATCTTTAAAAAAAAAAAAAGAGTATAGGCTCAAAATCAAATTGTGAGGAGGACCACACAAACATAAGCATCTTTAAAAAGATTGGAAGGTGACTACACAGCAGTCTAATAGCTAAATCTGTTATTATCAGGGCTTATGGGGTTTTTGGTGGTCTTCTCCAAATTTTCCATAATATTACTTACTTTTATAATTTGAAAATTAGTTTCTAAAGGTACAAAAAAAAGAAACAAAATAACTTGCATTACTCCTGCCTCAATAATGACTATATAAAAGCTTACTAGCAGACTTTTTAGTTACTATTTTGGGTAGGGAGGATGGAGTTTCCTAAAAACAGATGAAACTGCATAACAATTATCTTTTTAGTTTTTGGCTATAAAAATTTTCAAACACAGAGCTGAGAGAACAATATAATGTGCATCACTTGCTATCACTGAGACTCAACATTTGCAACATTTTGTATTTTTTTTAAAAAGGACATTTTTCTATGTAATTCAATACCAACAACATAGTATATTCAGTTATTTTAAAAAGTCAGTCATTTGGATTAAAATTACATACCTTAATTTTGGCCATTAAAGCATCAATAGAAATTTCAAGGTCCTTGACCTGTTTATTCATCTCTAGTTTTCCATCCTTCAATGCACTTACTACTTCATTAAATTTATCAAGTCGTTTCTTCAGTGTGCCCACCTTAACCAGGCCATCAATGCTGTAAAATAACACTTCCTCAGAGTTTAAATTCGCCACTTAATGCTATGCACTTATTTTTCATCTAAATAAAATGCTAAACATATTGCTAATAGGATAGTTCACTTCTATTTTCATACTATCCAGGATTCTCCTTTTTAGAGCTCTTGTTGAAAAGAGGTAAAAAAATAATAATCAAATATGAGTATGAATGATACTGATGCCTATCAGTAATATATTTGCCTTCTACATTTATATTGAAAAATTTGAGAATTCAAATTATAAAAGAACTTAAAAGAGTTATGTAATCCCTTTGAAAAGGTTTAAGGATTAACAGTTATTCAGGACTGAATAACTTTTTAGTTTAAAAAGTCTAAATTAATAAGACTCAAAAATAAAGATGAAATTTACAGTGGAACAATATAATTCTTATAGATAAACTTGAGAATTACAGTGAAAACATTAATGAGATGTTTTTAAAAACATGAATTTGACATTTACCAAGAAACTCAAATCACCAAAATAATTGGAATAAAAGAGCTTCTTTTAGCCATTTATCTCAACCTTTTTATAGTGTTTACATTTTCATAAGCTACTTCAAATCCTCTTGTAGCATGGAACAAGTAATAAAATAATGCAGTAATTAGTTAATTAATTTCAAGTACATAATATAAAATCACAGATTAGTATGTCTTTTCACAAAAAATATGAAAAAAGAGAAAACTCTGAGAGTATCCAAACTGCTCTTCATTATGACTTTCTAGCCATTTTACATTAGGGTGAATAAGTTTAGCAGGATTCTTTAGGCACTATTCGTCTTACCGAGGTTTGTGTCTCCTTTTGCAAAGCCACATTCGAATAGTTTTTTGCATTTTAATGCAGGCTTCAGCTCGATATTTTATTTTGTTTTTCACTAAGTGAAGGAGAAAAATAAAATGATTGAAAATTATTTGGTTTAAATCAGGCATATAATATTCTTAAAAACCACTGATTTCCACAAAGCAATTTTCAAGAAACATGAAATTATGATGAACCTATTATACCAGATAACAAAATCGGGAAGTTTAACATTTTTTTAATTCCTTATACTTCTTAAAAAATAAAAAGTACATCATGTGTGTGGCTAGATTTACATTTTAAAAGTGTTATTTCCTTATTATGTCTCACTATTGCTACCCAAACTGTCGTAGGAAATACTGATCTATTAGATGTGTTAAAAGTCTGTCTGAAAAAAGGATTCACTTGTCAAATGGATTTAGTAAAAGCTAAATGCTATGGAGCTTCACAATGAACATACGGGGTGAAGCCTCTGAGAGCCCTGCAGTAAAGGATCTATTTAACTTCAGTTACCCAGAACATTCTACACTAATCTGACCTTGAAACATCTTTTTTCAGAGCTTCCCTATTAATATCCTGCAAAGATCCTGTCTGGTTACTGAGTTCACCACTGCACAACACAATCCGTAAACAAATGGTATAGCAGAGATAATTTAAATGTAATGTGTTTTCCATCATAATGCAATGTATAAAGCTGAAAGCACTAAACTATAGTGACAAATGTGTTTACATTTTACTTGCAAAATGATGGGAAAAAAGAGCTTTTGTTATCTTTTTTCTTATAGTTTTCTTTTTATCTATATTCACAATTGTCTAACAAAAGACCTCAATAATAATCCTTGTTTGCATGGTTCCTTTTAGTTAAGTCAAAGGGATTTTATTTTTCTATCAATAATGTACACCTTACTTAATCCTTTTTGTGTACCTAGCACTAGCAAGTGGGGAGGTGAGAGGGGCAACTTCAAATTTAATCAAGTTACTGCCAATAATTCTATACAATTAAATATTTGTCACAGACCCTCAGGTAACCCAGAAACATTCTGCTCCCAGTGCTTGTTTTCGGCAGAGATAAGCAGTTGCTATGATCTAGCAGAGACAAAGTAGTGTCCCGGGCCAGCGTGTCAGAGAGATGAGAGTCTAAAAGAGCAGTGGCAGAAGAGGCTAGAAAGGGAAGCTGAAACCCCATTTCATGGGACCTTGAAAGACATTCTAAGACTCTGCCCTATTTTAAAGAAATAAAAGTTTCTCTAGTTTAGAGAGAAACTCTGCAAAGTGAACTCTCAGGTAGCCGAGAAAACCCAGTTGGGGAGCTACTGAAGTTATTATGTGAGTAGGCAAGGGGGCTCCAGTAAGACCATGGAAATAAAAATAAAAAGGAAACAATCGACTGTATTTGGAGCAGGAATCAGGAGGATTTGTTCACCCACAAGACTTCAGGGACAAGAAAGCAGAGACAACTACAATCTTGAAATTTCTGGTGTGTGTACTGGTAATGCCAAGCAGGCAGAAAGAGGAAAGTTCTGGCTTAAGTCTGAGAGATTGGGGGTTGATTCGGAGGGAGACAAATCAAGACCATGAGTTTTGTTTCTGTTGGTTCAGGACATGATGGAATTAATTCTCCTATAATACATCTGAATAGGAAGGTATGTAACATATACAAGAAATATTTTTAAAATATTTACCATGTACACTACTTGCAGGTGTTACATGGAGCCAGGGACACAGCTTGAATAAGCAAAGTGGTCCCTAGGGCCCAGCACTCACAACTTTATAACATTCCACAAACCAATTCGTTTTCAAAATAATTACACATTTTGATGTGAAAGAAAACACCTACATTTGATGACTGAGAGTGAGCACCATTGAACTTTCTTCCAGCGACTGCAGATAAGCCAGTGATTGACTCTTTTAACCAATTCTGCTAAATGATCAGGGTCAGACTTCATAATCTGATCAAATTCTGCAAACTAGAAAATGAAATAATTTAGTATCAGTGTCAAAAAATAAATGTGTTTAAACATAAAGTGAGATACAAAATAATTAGAAGTCCAAAACCTAACTTCCTAGAAATGATCACAGAACAATTATACACACAAGTCTCAGGAGAGTATACAGCAACTTTAAATGTATCTGGCTATATTTCGCTGCCTTTCTCTCCTTCAGCATTGTTTTTTTGGAAGGGTAAGAGCGGCTTACTCATTGCTAGTTAGCAGATTCAACAGTAAGAGTAGAAAAAAATCTTAAATGACAATTACAGATGGTTGGCAAAAAGGTTTTACTGAGAAAGGAATGATAAAACAGCTTATATTTTCAACATATTCTGATTAATTTTTCTTGGGGCAAGTAAGACCAAGTGCTTTCTCAAACTGTTAATTCTAAAATTCTTATTATAGCCCCTAAATAAGAGAAATGTTGAACTTGTGATAAATATGTATGATTACAGCTAAGTTAACTATGAATATATTTTTTTCCTTTATATAGGAAATGGCATGGGTGCAATAAAAATATTTATAGGGAAGTATTACATAGATCTTTATCTCATGGACAAAAATGTGAAATCAGATTTATTTATTATCATTAATCTAGCCTTCACGGTACTAGAGATATTTATTAATAATATTGCTAAGTCAAACAAGTATACTTGGCTATCATATAATAACAGCTGTGTTTAAAATTATGAGGATGCTATTATTCAATCAATATTAACAAAGTTAAGAATGGTGAAAAGATTACAGATTGTGAATAGCATTTAGTTGTTTCTGTTTTGTACCTATTTGTTATGAAATGCTCTATAAGTCAGTCTTGTAATTTAGTACAAAAATCTATAGATACAAAAACTATGGATTAGCCTAAAATTATATTTACATATAAAAGTATTAAAAATAGTATACATTCATTCACTCTGATTCATTTATACTCTCATAATGTATTTATACATTTCATTCTTCTTGAAAGAAGTCAGCACAAACTTCAGTCCAATTTCCTATACTTTATACATCTATCACAATCCAATAGAACTTGTTCTTGTTACAAAGACTCAAAAGTACTGTGGAATTTTGAATTACTGAAGACTAAATATGTTTTAGAAAATTCTTCAAAAAAAAAAAAAGAAAATTCTTCAATTAAGTATTTTCTGGTAGGGGCACCTGGCTGTCTCAGTCAGTAGAGTATGTGACTCTTTTTTTTTTTTAATTCTTTATTTATTCATGAGAGACACACACACACACAGAGAGAGAGAGAGAGAGAGAGAGGCAGAGACACAGGCAGAGGGAGAAGCAGGCTCCAGCAGGGAGCCCGACATGGGACTCAATCCCAGGTCTCCAGGATCACACCCTGGGCTGAAGGCGGCGCTAAACCGCTGACCCACCCCAGGCTGCCCTGAGTATGTGACTCTTGATTTCAGGGCTTTAATTACAAGTCCCACATAGGGCATGGAGTCTACTTAAAAAAATAAATCAATTAAATAAAATAAATTTTAAAAAATAAGTATTTTCTGGTTAATCTTTATTTAAGCAAAAAATCCAATTAAACAATGCTCTGATTCCAGTACTTCTGAATGTGAAATAAAAGCTGCAAAACTTATACAAAAATCTTACACATTGTAATCCTCTCACAAATAATATACACAGACGTACATACTACTAGTGATCATATAACTCATGAACAATACAAATCACTAAACACTTAAAAATATGCACTGACTCCAACTATCCATATCCATCATGTGAAAGTTTAAAATAAAAATGTATTTACCTTGCCAGGTCTAAAAAATACTTTTGTTAATCCAAACTTGTAGTCAATTTCGTTTAAGCCCAAAGCTTTAAAAAGAGCCTGAAAAATAAAAGTTCAAAAGTTAAATGCCAAATAGTAATTAGAAAGATAGTTCATAGCTAAGAAATTTCAATTTAGGTAGTATTTGTACCTTACAAAACAGTCTTGGATCTAATCTTGCAAGTTTATCTGGCATATACTTTTTATACATATTGTAGAGTTCATGAAAGGAAGCTCGTGATGGGAAACCACCCTGCATTAAATCCAAAACAGACACCATACCTAGATTCATAAACAAACACAAATTATTGCCAATCTCTGTACAGAAGCCCAAAATTAACTTATGAATGATCAAACAATTTTACAAATTAATATTTAGAAAGGGGCAATTTACAGGAATCTTCAACAATGAAATATTACATAGGGAATATCATATTCATATTCAATATGTACCAATTTACCCCCCACCTAAAACTATCGCAGAAAATTTCATCAAAAAATCAGCTGGATTAACCATTTTCTAGAGATAAACTACTGGTCCCTAGAAAGCTCAAATTTAGTTTGTACCTTTTTCTGCTAGAAACCTCTGTCACAATCAATAGCATATGAGTATGAGATAATGCCCTGCATTAAGCCACTTTCCAAGTCCTGAGGTTAATTTTAGAAAAAAATTCCTTATAGAGTCTCCAAAAAGTAGTTGAACACATTCCCAAGTTCTCACCTGTGCTTACACAAAGCAAAAGAAAAAGAAAGAGTTCACTATTTTACTATAAAGATGCCCTTTCATTCACCTCTCAAAGAAACTCGTCTATTGGGGTAAAGAGTCTATAGGATGAATATCTATTTTCAGTGTAAATCTAGTAGCTGATAATTTGAACCTTGAGTCAGTAGGAACCTTTCATGACAGGAAAAGCATAAAGTAGTCAGGGTAAGGTTCAACCACAGTAGATAATGCCAGGACCTTTATTTATAAAAGGACCTGGGGGCGGTGCCTGGGTGGTTCATCTGGTTAAGCATCTGCCTTAGCTCATGTCATGATCCCAGAGTCCCAGGATCCAGCCCCACAAGCCACTGCCTTGAGCTCCCTGCTCAGTGGGGAGTCTGCTGCTCCCTCTCCCTCTGCTCCTCCCCTTGTTTCTTCTCTCTCTCTCTCTCTCTCTCTCTCACTCTCTCTCTGAAATTTAAAAAAAAAAAAAATCTAAAAAGACCTGGGTTTCACTTCCTGGGACTTTCAAATCAATGGAAATTGATTAAGATTGAGATTATGGAAATTAAGATTATTCAACAAAAAGTGTTAGGACAAACAGCCAGCCATTTAGAAAACAAACCTAACACTGGATTCCTACCTCACTCTGTATACCAAAATAAATTCCTAGCAGTCAAAATTTAAATTAGCAAAATGAAACTACAAAACATTTTTTAAGAAGTAGATTTTTATTTTAAAATTAATCTTATAGGAAAGATATCTTTCCTAGGTAGATTGAATTTTAACCTATGAGACTGACAAAGGTATCAAACATCAATAGTACTCAGAGTTGATGACAGTGTAAGAAAATATACACATACAACACTGATGGGGAAAGTAAACCAGTGCAAGAGCTTTGGATGGCAATTTGGAAACATTTATGCCCTTGACTCAGTACTTTCTACTTCTATGAATCTATCCTACAACTCATCACACATGTGGACAAAGATATGCATAGAGAATGCACACATGGCCACTGGGTTACTGTAATAGAAAAAAAAAGAGAAAGAACTTAAATATCAATTAATTAAATTATGTTACAATCATATGGTAGACAATAATGTATTCATTAAAAATAGGGCAGAGCTTTATTTAATCAGTATAAAAAATATACCCAAAACAGAATTAAGTGGTTACCCTGAGAAATAAGACTCCTTTTTGTTCATATTATTCTCTACTATTTGATTTTTGGTAGAGTCAACTATATATAACTATTGTAATTTGTAATACTGATTAATAAAGCACATAAAGGCAATCACTCCTATGGAAAGGAAGATCTAAAACTAATTCTAATTAGTTCCTGGCTGGTTTGGTTTGTACTGTAACAATTCTTGTCCATTTATATCGAATAAACAAGTATCATTGGGAACATACACATCTGCAATCTTTAAGTCTCTTAGCTTGCCCTGTAGCTGAAGACAACATATGAAATGGCTCACAAAAGTTCATTAAGAATTTCATGAAACTTAACAAATTGACAAGCCTGGGGCTGCATTTCTCAGGATTTGAAACTAATTTACTCTATAGAGCTTTCAACACTTAAAAAAAATAAGTAAGGGGATCCCTGAGTGGCTCAGCAGTTTAGCACCTGCCTTTGGCCCAGGGCGTGGTCCTGGAGTCCCAGGGATGGAGTCCCACATCAGGCTCCTGGCATGGAGCCTGCTTCTCTCTCTGCCTCTCTCTATATATCTCTCTATGTCTATCATGAATAATATTAATAATAATAATAATAATAAATAAAAATCACCAAAAACAAGTACTCTTCTTCTAGAAATTTCCATAACCTGGTTCCTCCTCTGGGAGTCTAGATGGCAAGGGGTTTGTTGGTACAGTCCAGCTGGTTATACTCAGAACCCTTTTTGCTACCACAGACGGGTAGCACAACCCCAAGGTTACAGAGGAAGAACATCTGCCTGAACTCTTACCTTCCCCTACTTTGCCCTGGTATTGGCTGATCAGAAGATAGTAATTTTAGTAAAAGATGTCCTAAATGAATTAATTCTACTTAGTTTGAAAAAAATAATGAAAATGGAAAGGCAATATAGAATTCAAATCTTAAATGCCTTTATTTTATAAAGCATCATAAATATTTGTATTCCTACCAGTTATTGGTATTTTTTTCTTTTTCTCATTACCTGGCCACACAACTAGAACCAATTCTATACCATTTTATTATTATTATCACTTTTAAAAAATCAAACTACTACAAATCGGTGTCATCTATTAAATTGCCAATATATCTTAATGTATAGAAAGAAATATACTGCTTAACTAAAAGAGAAATCCTAGCTAAAGCATCTGTAACACCACACTCTACCAATTTAAGAGTATATATAGCTAAATTTAAACATGTTTGACTTGCCAGGATACTAGGTGCTCATTTAGAAAATAAATGATTTATTACATCAGGCTAAACAAAGCCTATAGAGAAATTTAAATGAGAAAAAAAGTCATAGTCAAATTAAAAACTATCTAAAGAAAATATTACAAAAATACATCCATACTGGGGTGTCTGGGTGGTGCAGTCAATTAACAATCTGACTCCTGGTTTTGGCTCAGGTTATGATCTCAGAGTCCTGACATCCAGCCCCATGCTGGGCTCTGTGCTCAGTGAGAATCAGCTTAAGATTATTCTTTCCCCTCCCTCCACCCCTCACGCTCATATTCTCTCTCTCAAATAAATTAATTAGTTAAAAAAATACACCTATACTATATGTATGAATACAGGAGACATGAAATAACTTTCCGGAACTTGTTAAAATTATTCACAAGTAAGTCTTCATATATGCTAGACCAAGCATTTCACTTAACAAATATTTACTGAATCTAGTATAAGCTCTGCACTGCTAGGAAGCTGGGATAAATGTACAAGCCAAAATGAACACTGTTTCTACCCTCAAGGGATTTTCTAGATTAAAGAAAAAAATAAATAATTATATATAAAATTTATGACTACAATAAAGGTGCTCAGCTCCTTTATTCAGACCCCCTTCCTGCTAGAGATATCAAGGAAGGCTTTCACAAAGAAAGGACAATCAAGTGTAGACACAACAGATGGAGACAAGGGAAAGGCAAGAGCTTCTCAATCAGAGGAAGCAGCATGTGCACAAGCCCTGTGACAGGAGGGAACATGGAGCATTTAAGGGAGCAAACAAATGCCAGCATGGCTGAAACACAGAGAACAAAGAGAGTGGAAAGAGATGGAGCTAGAAACACATGGGCTAGACCTTATGGGACCTCATAAGCCAGGAGGATTTTGCTCTTTACCCCTAATAATAATCAGAAGCCATTACAGTATGTTAAGCAGTAAAAAAGACATGATCAGACCTGAGTTATAAAGCAGTAATTCCAGATGTATGTGAAGAACAGATGGAAGAGATGCCAGAAGAATACTTGGAAAGCTATAGCAAAAATCCAGGTGAAAGCTGGTGAAAGCTTAGATTAGAGAGTACTAGGACTACACTGTACACTGACTACACTACACAGAACAGATCTTAAATACTCTCATCACAAAAAAGAATTAGTAACTATGTGATCTGATGAGACAGTTTAATGCTATGCTGATAATCATTTTACAATATATAAGTGTATCAAGTCAACATTTTGTACACTGTTAACTTACATAATGTTACAGGTCAATTACATTTTGATAAATCTAGGGCAGAAAGAAGACTTACATCACATCAGAGGGACTTGGGGAGACTTAGAGAATATGAAACTATGTGTCCAATATGGCACCTACCACCAATCTGTAGTAGTTGCAATCTGTGATCTGTAGTTGCACTAACCACATGTGGGTAAGTTTTAAAAAATTAAAATTAAATAAAATTTAAAAATCAGTATCTAAGTCGTGCTAGCCACATTTCAAGTGCTCAACTGCCACAGTATCTACCATGTTGCAAAACACAGATATAGAATATTTCCATCAACATGGAAAGCTATGTCAGATAGCACTGGTTAAGAGTGAGAAAGAAACTAGGCCTAACCCAAAGCCTGAAAAACTCTAACAAATAATACCCAGTAGTAGAAGAAGAGGACCTTGCAGAAGAGTCAGGAGTTACCAGAGAATTGAAAAGCAGGGACATGTGCTGATTTAGGAGCTAAGAAAAGACTACATGAGGGGGACTGGTCAAGTCAAATGCTGCCGTGATATCCACTAAGAGAAGGGATACAAAATGAACATCTCATTTAGGATCAGGGAAATCACCAGTGACCCTATCGAGAATTATTTTGTTGGACTGATCAAGATAGAAGCTGAATTCTCTTGGGTTAAAGAGTGAGCAGAGGGCAGGAAACAGAGAAAGCAAGAATAGACTATTCTTGGACAGAAAGGGAAAAACTACAGGACAAAAAGTGAGGTGTGATATAAGGAAGTAGCTAGAAGGGAATGTGGGTCAGAAGTTTGAATTAAGTTGAGGTCTCTGTACATTTAAATGGTAATAAGAGAGACAATCTCAAACGGAATGATTCAATATACATAATCAATGCTGAAGATTCATGAGAAGGTAGGAAGAGATGATTCCAAAGAACCATAGTGGCAACTAAGAAGAGAGGCCCGTCTGCTTTCTTAATAGAAGGGAAGGTTATATAGGTAGACAGAAGTGTCTGGTAGCAAATAGGCGAAGCTTTCCATCTTCAAGTAAAGAGGAGAGGCTGTCTGTTGGCAAAGACTCAGAGATTTGAGGAGAGCAGGGAGAGTATGCCCAAAGCTTATATAATTGTATTTTTTTTTTAAGTACAAAATTACAAATTACAAAAGAATACAAAAGTAGGTACAGGGTTTTCAAAGGAGCCCACCTAAGTGAGGGACCCTGAAACTTAAGTGACCCTAGCTTTATAATAAATCTGACTTTGAGAGGAACAATATAAGGAGTGAGAAAGACAAGAGAGTTTAAGGAAGCATCTCAAGACTGAGATGGCTCAAAGACAAGGAGAAGACTGATGCCTTGGGCATAAGTAGGGGTAGCATGGGTAGGGATGGCAGACGGACATGCAGTAGAGGAAAAACAGTGCCTGGTGCCTAAGACTTCTGTGACCAAGCAAAGTGAGAACAAGGAAGGTGAGAGGTGGAGAGCAGTAGTTTAACATCTGCACAGAAGTTCTGCAGCAGCCGTGGGCACTGTGTTTTCATTTTTTAATAAGTGGTGGAGTGAGAGCAATGACACCAAAACCTACCTCTTGCCCCAGCTACGTGGGGCATGAGAAATGAACTGCTGCCAGACTGAGGCCATCGGAAGGTAACCTACTTAAGGGAGATCTATATTTGCAGTTAAAGAGTTTTTATAAATTTTACTTCAATGCTGTAAAACTGTTTAATTTCACGATAAACTATGCCCCAGTATTGCTCAAATAATTTGTTAGCCATGCTTTTCTTATAATTAAAAGAATTTGAAAGTAAAAATCTTATTGCACTTAAAAACAATCAAGGTAACTGTGATCGTTTGAAAACACTGTACATATTGAAGTGTATCAAGCTAAGACTCCTAACACACATGGATATAAATTGTAAAAATATGAAAATACCTGAACATTGAAGCTGAGACAGAATTTGGGCACCTTCAAAGTGGTGGCTTGTCATCTTTAAATTAGGTTTGATACAACGAATAAAGCTTGCACCCTAGGAGAATATAAAGGCACTTTTTAAAGACAATGCACATAGCATTCTTGCTTTTCTGTTTCTATGAATACCAGTAACTTTCAAACATGTTACCATTAATATCTGAACCTCTTTTAAAATAATCATTAAAGAATTTAAAACTTAGATACTTTTAAAATTTCAAGCTTGGAATGAATTTTTCACTATATACTATTAGAAAAATACTGGGTGCCTCAGTCACAAGTCAGTTGGACATCCGACTCTTAGTTTTGGCTCAGTTTGTGGTCTTAGGGGTCATGGGACTGAGCCCCACAACAAGCTAAAATGAAAGGAAGGAAAGAAGGAAGAGAGGAATGGAAGGGGGGGAAGGAGGGGAGGGAGGGAGGGAGGGAGGGAGGGAGGGAGGGAGGGAGGGGAAGGAAAGAATGAAGGAAGTAAAAGAAGGAAAAGAAAGATACATTTTAGATTTGAGTGCCAAAAATTGTCACTGTAAAAAGAAACGTCTTTCATCGTAAAATATTTTAACATTTGAATACATTTTGGATACTGATATATATATGATTTTTTTCTACACTTGTGTATTTATATGTCATATTTCTGTGGTAAGAAAATTGTCCTGTAACAAGAGATAAAAATAAAATTATGCCTCTTCAAATTTAGCCCAAAGTGGGGGAAAAAATTCAACCTTTTTCATTATTCTACTTCAAAAATATATAGTAGATCCTGAAGCTGTACCACTGCACATTCTAAAATTCTGTTTATTAAATGGTATTTTTAGAAGCTTTTAAAGGCACTCATTTGGAATCAGTTATCAGGTTATGTTGAATGAGGCAGAAAGAATATGTATATGTACACAATGAGACTGTTGGGTATTAAAGCAAATAGACCAGACATCCAAATTACTGTTTCTTTACAAAGTAGTTCCCTTAGAAAACTGAATAGTTATTTCAATAACGATCCTCACTGCAAACACCTTCAGAACACTTTTTAGAAATACCTTCTTATGAATCACAGAAGTACTCTCATCATCTTACAGTAGCACTATATTTGGGTGATAAAAATTCAAACACCCTCCCCATCAGATTTGATCTTTAAAGATGTGTGGTTCTTAAGAGATAAATATTTGCAAACAATGAGGGTATTTGCAAGAATTTCTTAATGGTTCCAAAAGCAAGTCTAACAGTAAGCAATAACATCATAGACAGAATAAATATTTGGCTTTCCAAAATGACTACTTGGTAAGGAAGAATAGCTGGTTAGTTCAGTAGATCTGTTTAAAAAATGTCTCACCTTGGAATCATGCCTCATTTACATAACCCACATATCAAACTTTTTTCTCTCGTAAATTTTCCATTAAAAACCAGAGTGAACTGAGACATCTGGGTTGCACAGTCCGTTAGGCGTCTGACTCTTGCTTTTAGCTCAGGTCACGATCGCAGGGTCAGGATATAAGAGCCCTGTATCAAGCTCAGCACTCAGCTCAGAGTCTACTTAAGGCTCTCTCTCTCCCTCTCCCTCTGCCCTTCCCCTTGCCCTCCCCTCTTTCAAAAAAATTTTAAAAAATCTTTAAAAATAAAAAACAGAGTAAACCACTAAAAATGTCTAGTTTAAAAAAAAAAGGACTCTAAGAAATATTGCCTCTCTAACAGGGCATAAAGATATTATGTATATTTTTTCAACCTCAACATTGCCATGTTGGAGAATGTTACTATTAGAATAATAAAATGAAAATTAACTACATGCATTATCTTTAATCCTAAAAAATACATTTTCTTCTCCACATAATTATTTTCATTTTTTGAAACTATAAGATAATCTTAACAAGATTGAGAGAATTCTGTATATTTATAAAATAATGACTTCACATATATATTTGACTTTTCTTCAGAACAAGTCTAACTAAAATGACAACTGCTTTAAAAATTGATTTTTTAAAATGAGGGAATTCAGTTTAAAATTAATTTCTAATTATTCTAGGCTTACTGTGCTTATTTGAGTAATTACTAATGATAATTTAAGAGGACCATTTAAAAACTCTGGATTTTTTTTCTAAGGGTACTCACAGTACTTCGAAGTTTATCCAGAAGCAGATTTAATTGTGTCTGTAGACGAAAGTAAATCACTTTATTACTTCAAAAAGCAAAAGTACACAGTGTTATAAGTTAATATTAGGTCTCCAACATTAGCATAAGATAACATGCAGTAATATCAACATACAACACAGTACAATTTAACAACTGATAAATTCTTTGACAGTAACATGCAAAATACATGGCTAATATAATGCTAAGGACAATAACGTGACTTACACAGAACTTATATAATTAAAAGATTGAAAATTAGCAATGCTAAAAAATGTACACACACACTTGCAGGGGGGATGGAGGAGGGAAAAAAATATACAGGCAACAAAGGAAATAAAATACTGGGGATGCATTCCATAAGAGATTAACAAAGCAATACTTGAATATGTAGCAAGTTAGGTGTAGTTTCTTATCATATTCCACTGAAGGATACACACTAATGGTATATATTAGAAATGTTTTATTTAACACTTATCATACATAAAATTGTCTTGCCTAGCTGTAGAAACCCTCTTTGTTATTTTAAAATATTTCACATTTTAATTATTTTTAAAAGTTTGGACAATTTTCTCAAAAACAACTTGATAAACATAAAGTACTATACTTTCCTCTTTCTAATAATATTAAGTGATAATAATTTATGCTGGTTTAATAATGCATTAAAATCATGTTTTGCTTTAAAAAATGTTTTGCTTTACTTGTCTGCAAAATAAATTATGTAAAGTTCTTATATCATTTTTAAACTAAGATGCTTATTTTACTACTTACAGAAAGATAAATTAAGATGTTTATTCTTAAATTAACATACTGGATCAATCATAGCTATATTTAATAATAATATAGGTAGATTGTACTGAATGCTTTCGATGAGTCAGGTACTGATCAAAACTTTTCACAAGCATTATCATGTTTAATTTGCACAACAATTCTAATTAAGGATGTATTATTAGCCTGATTTTTCAGGTAAAAGCAGTAAGGTCCAGCAAGATTAAATTACTTGCCTAAGATCACAGAACTAGTAATGATAAAGCCAAGATTCCAACACATTATTATTCCTAATAAACTTCACTCTCTTACCCATGATACTACAATATAATTCAGGTATCATAGGCTTAAATTATAAAAATGGAGTGACTTCCTACTGTATTAAAAAAATACAGTAATACCCCATTTATCTGGTTGACTGAGTTCTGACAACCTTTATCGATCTGGACCACCAAATAAAAGAAAATCAAGTATGAAAGCCACTAATTTGAAAAGAAAACTGTCACCAAGTCCATGCCTCTTAATCCGTAGAGTAAGCACAGGGTTCTCCAAAAAAAATGGAGAGAGAGTAATTCAGAAGAGTAGAAGCAGCAAAAATAAACTTGGGAGAAGAGGGAAGAATGCTAATTATCAAGGAAGTAAAGACCACAAGGCATAAGGATAAACAGTTTTATGAAACTCAGTCTTTATTTGTATTTTTACTATAAAGCATATAAATATTTATGTACATAATAACAGAGTAAGAGTTCCATCAAAAAGGAATATTTTTCTAAAAAACTAACAGTAAAAGGGCTATGTTTCAATAACCTGAAAATGTTCCTTTTCAATAGAGAACTTCTGGCTCTCAGAGAGGATGGATAACTGAAGTCTTACTATAAATACTAGCCTCTTTTATTGCTTCACATAACTTGAATTTAACAAGCTATTCAACTATATTTTAAGTTAAGAATTATTACTTCATTTCAAAGTCTCTCATAAAACATTTTTGAAATTTTATTAATAATATCACTCAATTATAGTTTTTAGCAGTTTAATATGCAAAATATATCCTACTGCACAGAAGCAATATTTCAAGTCAACATAATATTTTACTAATACTTTAATTCAAAGAATTTTAAGAATGTTTGTTTTTTTATATTGTCCAAAATTTCAATTATGTTCTTACCAGCAATACTATTATAAATACTGCAGTACAAAAATAATATTAGCCATTTCATTTAGGCTAATATACTATTTTAAACTAGTCTGCTATCATATATCTACTCAGGTATTTCAGAGTATCAAAATAAGAGGAAAAACTCTTGCTCAAAAGAACTAAGAACTCATAATTAATTAATGTAACTTTCAACAAAGTTAAAGACTTTTTATTCAATTACCTCAAAAGTATTATAAGCTTTCTCTTATATTTACTTTAAAAAAACCTAGCTTTATAAACATGATTTTATCAAGTTAATTATTTAGAGAGCCCATTTCAATCCACAAGGGATTTCAGGAGACTTGTACTGTTATTATTATTATTATAGTATTCTCATGCTTAAATAGTTTCTAATTACATCATTGTTTAATACTTAAAATACACATAATGAAAGGCATATGCAGAGTTTTCTTGTAAATTCAGCAATACTTTGTGGAAATGTATAAAAGAGAAATTTTATGTCCTTGTTCTACTTATTATAATTTTTTATTCATTAAACTTATGATACAAAAGTTTGTAAATTCTCTTTTTCTAAATACTCAACAATAGAACCAATTTCTAAGACACATTATGTGACAATTCCTTGTCAGATCTCAAAGAATCTTTCTTTGAAAGAAATCTAAATTTCTGATCCAAAATTAATAAAACAAATGAGATGTTCTTCAATGTTAAATAAGCAGTTTGAAGGGTTTGTCACACAGAGCACTTATCTTTTATAAACTTATTCAAAGCTTTAATCACATTTTAGTGTAATGTGTACACCCATAAAGCATAGTGAGAGAAAGCACATTGAAAATAAATTAAAAACTGAATCATTAACTTGAGACGGGCTCTTTTTAACATGGCAGCCACATTCTATAAATAAGAGTCCACAAAGGTGATCATTTACCTGAAGCCCCTGGCTGTGCCTGCTTTTCCTCTCTCAACTCAACTAGTTCTCTCTAGCCATCCCGAGCTGGACTACTCCAGCTAAAACAAAACTGTTGAATGAGGAAGGAAACAGAAAACACATGGGAAAGAGAAGGTTTGAAGGTCAACCAAACAGTAAGCAGAAGCAAGAACATTAGGAGAAGCAGGTATGAATCAGATATGTTAAGCAACAAGAAAGAACAGACTCATAAAATTTTAAGAATTTCTGTATGTTCAATTATTAAACTTATTTTAGGTTATTTTGTATGTAAATATCAACAACGCAGGGTCTGTTCTTGCATTTCACGCATGGGATTTCTGGCAGTGATCTACATTATCCTCTGTAAAGTATAAAACAATATATTTTACTTTAAATGCAACAAAGACAAAACTTTCAAGTAATATATTTAACACAAATACCTTAAACTTGTTTCCCACACTGATGAAGCTAAGTTTTCCTGCTTTTTGTTTAGTATCTTTATTGTTATTTGTGGATGATTCAAATAATTCTCGTATAAATTTATCCCTGGATTCACATATTAAGGATTCAAGAGACATATGTAAAGCATCATTATTTTTTTCCACAAATTGAGTCTGAAAAATAAAGCAAACAGAAATGATTCAGTCCATCCTGTGGTAATATCTCTTGATGCAGCTGTGTTCAACTGAATTTTCCGAGATGACAGAACTGTTCTATATCTGCACGGTCCAACACAGTTGCCATCAATGTAGACATGGAACACAGGAAGTGTAGCCGTGTCCTGAAGAATTTTAAATTTTATTAAATTTAAATTGAAGTAACCAGGTGTGGCTAGGGGTTAATATTTTATACAGTGCAGCTTCAATTACAAATGGTTTTCTCTTGGTAAAAGTCATACTCACTGTTTCATAGCACACTGCCCCTGCAAAATGCCTAATAATGAAGCCTTCATCATCTCTGATGTTCCTATGAACTGCCAACTTAGATTTTCTGGGTATCTGAAAAGAGAACATATATCAGTTATTAAATTATCAAAAACAAGGATGCCTGGGCGGCTCAGTGGTTGAGTGTCTGCCTGCAGCTCAGGCTGTGGTCCTGGAATCCCAGGATCGAGTCCCGCATCAGGCTCCCTGCATACAGCCTGCTTCTTCCTCTGCCTGTGTCTCTGCCTCTCTCTATGTCCATCATGAATAAATAAATTTTTAAACATAAATAAATTATCAAAAACAGATTACATAATTTCCTTTAGAAAATATCTGGGATGTGAAATACTTAAAATTATAAAGGAAATTTTCACACTTTAACACACTTTACACCATTATACTGTCTTTGAAACCTCTAATAAGCTTTAAACTACCAATGAAATCCAGCAAGTATTTGGTTATAATCTCTTAAAAAAGAAGAAAGGACTAAGACAAAAACAACCTTATAAGTATGCAAAACAATTGGCACTTTATAAAGTTAATTGTCTATGTATAAAGTAGTAGTTCTTGACCTTGATTGGCAATTACTTGGAGAACTTTTAAATCTCCTAAAGCCCATACCATTTACATCAGGTGATCCGTAGGTACAGCCAAGATTGAGAAGCACTGTTCTAAAACACACCTGAAATCAGTATAGGACCTTTCCCACTTTTATAGCTATACATCCTAACATGTTTATACAATGAGCCTGAATCTATCTGAAGGATACTGAATCATTTTAGAGTTCTACTATCAATTATAATACCTCATATTTAAGTTTCCAAAATGTCTTCACATAAAAGTATATATATATACATATATATATATATATCAGATTCTCAAAATAAACTAAGGATAAGAAAGACAATCTCATTTAAAAATTAAAAAAAAAAAAAAAACTAAAACTTTGAGAGCCTTACCAGGCTTTTTCTAGGTGAAAGAGCTAGGAGACCACAGAGCCTCTTCTCTGTGAGGTGACACACCAGCATGAGTCAAAATGAGGGCCTGAAGTCAAAATGCCCAGCCTGATTCCCAACTCCACCACTTCCTCAGAACATTACACATGACCAGTTACTTAACCTATGTATGACTCCTCATCTCTAGCATGGGGATGGGGATACAAACAGGATCCACCTCAGAGATTATGAGAATTATAAAATAATTTAAGTAAAACCCTTAGATCAGTGACTGGTACATACTAAATGTTCAATAAATAGTTATCATTATTTTTATTTCCAAAGATATAAAAGTAATGGCTTATAAAAAATAGAATTTACTATCTTGCTCTTGTTCTCTTTTGAGACAAGCAGCCAAAGTCCATTCTTGATGCTTTACCTTGCTGTACCTATAGTTATATGTACTTTATCACTCAAGGTTGTCTGAGATCCTGGTCACAATTCTGTTGACTAGCAATCAGCACTTTTTGCAAAGATAACCATGCATCAGGCTTTTCATAACAAAGACCAGTGAACAGTGTATAAATAGGACTGGGTATATATCTTCAATTATAGTAAAAGTTTTGTTGAGGATACATACTGTTTTATTTCTATCTCCACTGAAGAGAAACAGGCTCTCCATTATAAGAAATATTTAAGGAGGGCAGCCTGGGTGGCTCAGCAGTTTAGTGCTGCCTTCAGCCCAGGGCATGATCCTGGAGACCCAAGATCAAGTCCCATGTTGGGCTCCCAGCTTGGAGCCTGCTTCTCCCTCTGCCTGTGTCTCTGCCTCTCTCTGTGTGTCTCACGAATAAATAAAATCTTTAAAAAAAAAAAAAAAAGAAATATCTAAGGATACAAAAGAACTCCAAGTTAGTAGGACAGGTAGATTAGATTCAGTCCCTAGAGAAGGTTATGACAATTACATCAGCTTTTCAAGTAAATGCATCAAACTACCCAACACTCTTGATTTAATGATATACGGAAACAAGAATACTTGTCTTCATTCACTTCAGCTCCTGGATCTATCAAAGCCCTGTCTGTTACACTAGGTTACAATCTCAAAATAATAAACAGGATAGGGTACATTCGCAACTCTAAGCAACTTCTCTTTCCTTCTTTTCCTGCCTTTCTTTGTTGTTCTCTGTAAGACAAGGCAGCACCTACCTTCCTGGATCAAATTAACATCCATATTTCTCTGTGCTAATCAGTTCTTATTGAGCAAAAAGATGGAGCTGTCCTTGTATTACCTCATATAATGGCAGCTGAGTGTAAAGATAAACACAGAATTAAGTGAACAAAGGAAACACTCCAACAACCACAGGGGCTAGCTCACGCAGAAGAGCCCTACTGTTCACTACTGCAAGAATTCAAGCACAGCTCTATTACCCAACAGCAGTTCAGGAAACTAGGTCTTTTACCCCTTTCGGGGCACCTAGGTGGCCCGGTCAGTTGAGTGGATGACTCTTGGTTTTGGCTTGGGTCATGAGATTGAGCCTGTGTTGGGCTCTCCCTGCTTAGCACAGAGTTGGCTTGAGATTCTCTCTCTCCCTCTCCTTCTACTCCTCCCCCTGCACATGTGCTTTTTCTCTCTTCCTAAAATAAATAAAATCTTTAAAAAAGGGGGGGAAAATAAGTAAATGTTTATTTATTTATATTGCTCTCTGTGTCTGTTTTCCCTTTAGCTAATAATTCTTCTACTGCTTCAGTTTCTATGTCCCTGAGTATATTTTCCATTCAAAACTCCCTAGGAAAAAAACATTAAAATAAATTGGTTACTCATTATCTAATACGGATTGCTTACACCAGTCAGACCCTAACCCATGAACTTTATTCCTAGTCTTACAAACATGGAGGCTGGTGGTTGCTTGTGATTCTAGATGGAATATGATTCAAGATCACATGATAGCAAAGCAACTGGTGGCCACTTTGCTAAAAGGAAGAACATAAAAACAGCAGGTATACCTTTTTGTACATTTTAGATAGATGAAATGTATTTTCCATCCAGCTAAAAGGGCCTTCATTAGATAGATCATTGTCATCCAAAATATACATGTATAAATTAAGTGTCTATCTATAGAAGATGCTGTGCTGGATAAATTATAGTTGCTCTCAGCCCCACATAACTTGTTATTCTAATTATTTAATATATAATATCTAGTACATCTTTCTACAGGCTTCTCTTCCCACCACAGAGTCTCAATTTTGGAATAGTAAACTCACAGTGAGTCGGAAATGTTCTTTGTGCTTCTGGTGAACTGCAGATGTAAAGTGTTGATCACTTGGCTGAGGAAGGCGATTTTCTTCATCTAAAATATCCAGTATCCCCACTAATTTTGCTTCAATTAAATCTATTCCAAAAACATCAAAATGTGATAGAGTAAAAACATTTTAAAGATATGTGAGCAATTTCCTGATCACACATTTAAAGGACTGCTCAGAAGTGATGTAACAGATGATTATATAAGTATCTTCACAGGCTACAGAAAGCAGATGGATTTTATTTCAAATGTGGCAATTTATCAGAAAATAACATCATACACAGATTTCCCCCACTATGGAAAAGTTTGCTTTATGCCACTTCGCTTTTACAAAAGATTTACATTAGTACCTGTCCTTCACTAGCTGAAAGAAATCCAAAGAGAATTTTCATATTTACAAAATGGTAATTGCTTCTCCAATTTACACCACTTTGGCTTATGAAAGGTTTCATATAAATGCTCTAACTTTCAGATAGCAGGGAAAACTATTGACTATAGGTTTTAGAAAAACAATTCCATAAACATATGATTAATGTAATAACCATGCTATTTGTAAGCTTGGATGAGAGGCCAAAGAACCAAAAATTCTTCCTCTCCATATGATATCTACATTCAAAATGAAGTAAAATTACATAAGCTTTTGCATACAGAGCTTTTAAAAGTGCTTTTCAATACTGATTCAAATGTTTTCCAGCAAAACTTCAGTAACAGCACATTTTTATGCTCCTTCCATTCATGTTGTTTGAATTTCCTGCTTGTACAATACAACTATAAAATACAAAGTGCTTAAAAACAGTATATAAAACTATTAAGTGGAACAGACTCCAAAAGCTATAGGACATATGGAGAGAAAATTCTAACTGCATTGTTCTGAGTGATGCTTTTTAGGCAACTGGTGATGGTGAAGGATGGGGCAGCTGAATTAAGCTATAAATGAATATTTTGATAGACATAGAAGGATATGAAATTGGGCTGAAAGAAAACAGAAGGGGAGGAGTTCCAGCAAAGATATCAAATCACAAAATCAAAGGCAAAGAGATCTGAGAAAGGCTGTAATATAATTGAAATGCTCAGTGAGCCAGCTAAAATTGAACATGCTTTGGAAAGCTGTACCAATGTAAAGCATTATTATTATTATTATTATTATTATTATTATACTATGTTCTGCAAATCTGGCATATGAGTTACTGACTCAATGGTCAAATGGAGTTTTCAAAACAAAGTCTTCCCAACAGTTAATTTTAGGTGTCCTTACTGATAAAAATAGAAAAGAATAACAGAGACCCTGTTCTCCTGGCTGCACAGCATGTTCTGGATATGACACATGAAACCTGTGAAGCCAACCTACAACAGGCCAGAGGGTGTTGCCAATACAGGGAACTACAGAAGAGCAGAGTCAAACACTGAAAAACCTCACTTGGAGCCTGGCTAATGTATGGACTTCCTCAGGTGAGATAATTTATCCCTTTACTACTTAAGCAATTTAGTTCCCTCTTACTCACATATAGACTGTTTAAGAATGAAAATATCCATCACAGTAAACAGAAGACATTTTAGGAAAACTTACAACATAGCTGAATTTGATGCCTTGGTAGAAAAAACAAAACAAAACAAAACAAAAAAAACAACAACTTCCTGGCCATATTAGAGAAGTAAAACCTCTCTCAAATGCCAGAGCTTTAAGTCCCATAATCGGTAGTATCAATCACAGAGCACAGAAAAATTACTAGTAAAAGCATTTACTCTACCTTCCCATATTTCCCAAAAGTGGAATAAAAAAACACATACCTATACAGTCCTGATTATCCACATAATGCACTTCATTAACACCTAGACCTTCTTTTTGATACAGTTCTTGTTCCTAAAATGAAATAATCATAAGTATGGAAATCTTTATGATATGAGATGGCTTGTTTTGTGCCATCTGATCATAACATTTATTGAGTAGTCCAGAGTACAAAGGCTCATATTGACTAGTTCAGGGGCTAAGGAGACTTACAAAACATTAGGGAAGAAAAATTCCTGCCCCTAAAGCAACGTAAAGTCAGAAATTAATAGCCAACATAATTTACATATGTGGAAATGTTCCTGCCTGCAGATAAGCACACTGTTCTTTAAATATGCAGAGCTATACACACATACAGAGATCTGTTTATAACCATTCAAACTCAAGGAAAGGTCATGGCTTTGAAATATCTTTAGCAATTTCAAAGTCAAACTTATTAGTAGAATAGACCATGAGTCAGCAAACTTTTTCTGTGAGGGGCCAGATGGTAAATATTTTTAGCTGTGGGCCATATCGTCTTTGTCAAAACTACTCAATTAAGTCAATGCAGCACAAAAGCGGCCATAGATGATGCTAAATGAAGAAGCATGGCCGTATTCCAATAAAAATTCATTTGCAAATAGGCAGCCTGCTGGATTTGTCCCAAAGGCCATAGTCTACCAATCCCCAGAAAACAGAAGAATGAAAGAACTTGCTGTGGTAAGTTCTAAAAGTTTAAAGAACAGCTAAACAAACTAGCCCCTTTGACATGAAATTTCTCTCTTCTATATATCCTCAATAGTCCTAAACCACTGTCCAAAGTCAGAAGAGATTTTTAACATGTACAGCCAGGCACTAAAATAAAAGAAACAGCAATTAATTGCAAATGGGCTCGAGTAGCCACACACTGTAACATACAAGGAATATAACACTGGGAAAAATAAAGTGTCATTTGAAAGAAAAATTTACAAATTAAAGTTGAATTCCTAAATGTAAGTCTGGCACCTTCTTAAAATTAAAGAAAAAAAAAGATTTTATCAAAGATGAGTGAACAATGCAATGAGCTTAGGTTGACATGTATTTTAATCTTTTTTCCCAAATGTTTAAATAAAAGGTTTCTATCATTTTAGAAGTCAGTGTCCCTTTAAGACCCAATCTGAATTTGAAATCCAAACATTTATTTTAAAGAATTGTTCTAGGGGATCCCTGGGTGGCTCAGCAGTTTAGCACCTGCCTTCGGCCCAGGGCGTGATCCTGGAGTCCCAAGATCGAGTCCTGCATCAGGCTCCCTGCGTGGAGCCTGCTTCTCCCTCGGCCTGTGTCTCTGCCTCTCTCTCTCTCTCTCTCTGTGTGTGTGTGTGTCTCTCATGAATAAATAAATAAAATATTAAAAAAGAATTGTTCTAAAAATAAACATATATCAAGATACTGTCTCCTTGTCATGTTTCTAGATAAAAATAAAGCTTGCTGGGCTGGCATGGAAGGGAAGAATTAGGGCATGTTAAATGAGAAGCACATATGTACCACTTAAAATAGTAACAGAAGAATTAATGTGGCTGGATAAAATATTTTCAGAGTGATTATCTGAACTGATAAGTATTTGATTTACCTGTTCATTTATGCCAGAATTGGCTTAAATATAGTATCCAAATAAAAAAGTATAAAAGGGAATGTGCTGGGAAACCCATAAAAACAAAAATATAATAAAATGTGAAAAGATTAATGGAATGGGAATAGAAAAGAATATTTCACATTTAAAGTCCAGATACAGTGGAGAATAGAACTTGGAAAACAGCAGTATCAATATGAGGAGAACACAGTATTGTGGGCCAGCAGCTGGAAGGTGAGTTCAGACCTGCAATAGTCACTAAATTGCTCTGATAATCAGTTTCTTCATTTGTAAAATAAAAGGCCGAACTAGACCATTTCTGAGTTCCCTGTAACTCTACTACCTACATTCAATAAAACATACCTCAAATAGCTCAAAGGAAGAAAGCCAAAGGTATTAGTAGGAAAATATTGGAGAATTCAAATACAAGGTAAGAATGGTGAATGTAATCACAAATCAAGTGATCCAAATCTACCATTACTTATTCTGTACTCTAAATAATTATGAAATAACTTTCCTAGACTTGGGATTGTGAGTGTCAACCATGCCCACAGATATTTACTAGGAGTAGTGACAGTAAGTACTTTCCTAGACCAGAGAGATCAGTGTCCAGCCATAGGTATCCCATTCACAGGCAACTGGGCAGTATACACAGTAACCTGGCAGAAAAGCACTGGCCAGAGACACTCTGGTCAATTGCCACACTGAATCTCCTGATTTGGTGGTTTCCTGCAACACAGAAAGGGTGAACAGGTAGCAGAGTGGGCAAAAGCAGAGAGACAGAGGAAGGATAGGAGATGTCAATGTCAGGGATAAAAGTAGAAAGTTGTTTGGCAGTGGCAGAAGTAAAGGCAACAAACTCAGAAAAAGAAACAAGCAAAATTCCAAGTCTAGCAAAAGTCACTAATAAGAAGCAACAGATGTTCACTTCTCAGGAGGTGCCTATTAGAGTTTGTATTGGGTCCCTAAGCATCAACTGTACAATTAACACTTCTAAGTGCCTGAGCAACATCTAGGCCACTGGGGGCCTGTCCTATGCATCTTTGATCCCCTGAGCCACCTTACGTTATATATACTTCATCAATCAGGGTAACTGCAGCATGTCTCTGTTCCCTGAAATTAAAATAGCTTAATACAGTTCTTAAATTTAAATTGTAATGGCAATTACCTCCTTCAGAATCCTTTCATTAAAAAATTGTTGAAGTTTTTCATTGCAATAGTTGATGCAAAATTGTTCAAAACTGTTATGTTCAAAGTACTCTGAAAACAAAACCAAAATCAAAAGTCATCATCAGATAAAGTTCACATTATAAATTTATAATTAGGATAAAATTTTATTATATCAATGCTTAATTTTAAATTAAGTAAAAAAATACATATAATTGTTACAAACTCCCCAGATGCTCTTATTTCAAGACAAATTTTGTTAGGTATTTAAGTATTGAAAATACTGTATTTTACTACACAAAAATGATGTGTATTAAATGAGATAAATGTCATAGAGTAAAATATACAAAATGTAAGCCACTTACAACATGATTTTCTTAAGCATAGGTGTTAAAAGCTATCTACATTAACTAAAGAACAAAAATGGCTTAAAATATAAGTGCTTAAAAAAATACAATTGCTTTAGGGCAGCCCCCCACCCCCACCCCCGTGGCTCAGTGGTTTAGCACCGCCTTCAACCCAGGGCGTGATCCTGGAGACCCGGGATTGAGTCCCACGTCATTCCCTTCATGGAGCCTGCTTCTCCCTCTGCCTGTGTCTCCACCTCTCTCTCTGTGTCTCTCATGAATAAATAAATAAAATCTTAAAAAAAATTACAAGTGCTTTAGATCTGTTTCTGTGTAATCTGTAAAATGATAGCTATAAAAATATTATGAATTTAACTCATTTAAAAATGAATAGACTGTATTACATTATCTCTAAGATACCTGCACCTCTAAAATGTTATGATTCTGTATATGTGCCTATCACAATAAAACTGGTGCAGACCATGAAACAAATGTCTGAAGATTTTGAAATCCTAAGTCAATGAGGAGTGTTTTTCTACCTTTGAACAAAAGGTAATAATTATAAGTTTTAAAATATGTATCAAATCAAAACCAAAACTCTACCCCTCCCCAAAAGTAAATACTCATACTTTTCTTTGGCAAAAGCAAACAAACTGCACAGAAGGAAAACAGCAGTCTTACAAAGCCAGAAGGAACACCTACAGTGATAAAGTCCAATATAAAACATATTTACTCTGAGATTTTTACAAAATAGTCATTCAAAACAAAATGGCACTCAGATGTTAGTGATTCATTTCTAATTGCACAGCCCTGTGGTTGTTCTCAAATATTTATCTTAAATATAAATTAACATATAATATCTTGAATACATATATTATCTACTTTATGTACTATATTATATACTTATATCTTTAATATAGATATTTTTTCATTTGGTGGAAATTCACTGGAAACAGCTACCTGCTGACAATACTAATAATGAATTTCTACACATAGCAAAGAGTTTTGCTTATTTGCTACATCAGCTTGTACCCAGCACTACACTACAGTCAGTGGTTTTAATGAGTTAATTCTCTTTATTAGTAGCTCTCAAGACTTTACCTTTATTCATTTGCATTCGTTTAGGAGTACAGAAACATCTAACAATAATGGTTTCTTTTTTTAAATAATTTTTTAAAATTTTTATTTATTTATGATAGTCACACAGAGAGAGAGAGAGAGGCAGAGACATAGGCAGAGGGAGAAGCAGGCTCCATGCACTGGGAGCCCGACGTGGGATTTGATCCCGGGTCTCCAGGATCGCGCCCTGGGCCAAAGGCAGGTGCTAAACTGCTGTGCCACCCAGGGATCCCCAATAATGGTTTCAATCAACATATTTGTTTTTCTCTTTTGGTGACGGAGCAGCACAGGAAAAGGGGGGGAGAGAGAGAATCTTGAGCAGGCTCCACGCCTAATGCAGAGCCCAATGCAGGGCTTGATCTCATGACCCTGAGATCATTACTTGAGCCAAAATCAGGAGTCAGACATTTAACCGACTGAGCCACCCAGGTGCTCCTCAATCAACATGTTTTAATTTTAGCATTAGTGTGACCAAAATCTATAAGCTTTTCCCTTTTTGAAGCATAAACTTCCTATTTAAATCATATTATGAAATGAAATTTAAATATGGACATATAACTGAAAGTACATCAAGTGAAAGGTATTACAAGGAGAAAAGTAGCTTTTTTATTTTAAATATATCTGAAAAATTGAATTAAAAATACCAAATACAATTTCACAAACAACTATACTTACCGAAACCAGCAATATCTAGGACTCCAATAAAATAAGATGATGTTTCAAAAGGAAAACACTGGTTTACTCTGTTTACCACATGATCAAAAAGATGGCTATAGACAGTCTTTGCCAAGGCATCACGAGCATTGTTTGCTTGCTCCACTTTCAAGGGTACCCTATAAAAGAAGACTATACCAATGAAAATTCTTTATAGTAATAACTGTGAAAATAACATCAGATACCCCAGATAAAAGTATATCTATCTAAACACATTCACTGTGAAGAAGAACAAAATAAATAGCTACAAAAGGTCATTTGTGAATAGGCACAAATAAATGGGGCTAAGAAGCATAGTAAAAGAACTAAAGAAATTACACATAGATAAAAAATGTTTTATTGAGTAAAAGAAGTTTGGCTCAAAAAACGGTTTAATCTTAATTTATGCTTTATTATACGTGCTGAATATATAAAAAATTATTCAAAGTAATAATAATAAAATTATTTTTAATAATAAAAGGAAGACTCCTTTTGACTTTCTTTAAATGCAAAAGAAACTGTTTAATTCAAGATAACTTTAAAGTATGGTATCTTGTTTAACACTGTTTAGGAAGAAATGTTTACAATCTTAAAATCTGGACTGTCCAATTCTACTATTTATTATAAGTAATTACATGGTGTATCAGTTCCAGATGTTGCAGATACAGACACACGGCCCTTTTCCTAAAGAAAATTATAGTGTGATGAAGAAACTGCCATAAAACTGAATTTTCAAACACCACGCTAAATGCTATCCTAAAGGTAAGTATGAGGCATTATGGGAGCACCAGAAAAAAATGTCCAATTTGAAGTAAACTTAAAAGTCTTTCAGGTTAGACTGACACTGGTCTAACCCTTTAAAACTGGTTTTCCAACTTATACTTCCTGCAACAGAACCCGTTCCTAAAGTCAATCTTTTGTGAGCACTCCATACATATAACACTTAAAACAACTACTTTAGAACAAAGGGGAAATGAAGGAAATGCTACCTGAAGACCACACATCTATGCTTTTACTGGACTTCCCCTGAGCACCAGAAATATCTCCAAGGAAAAGCAACTGTATGGCAGTACTACACATTCTCTTTGCTAAGGTTTACTTTATAATAACTTGGAATTAGTTTAGCAAAGAATCAGGCTAAATGTACCTTGCTAATGTTTCCCAAAGTTTAAGAGTTACCAAATTTTTTGAGTGGCTAGAAGTTTGTTTTTAAATCCTTCTTGGCTTAATTTGTTGAAATTTTTCCTAAAATATGTCACTAGAGCTCATGGACTGCCTTATTAGGCAAGGGACAGAAGGGATAGAGGATCTGACTTTTTCCCCCACAAATGAAGATCTAACAGTTCCTCAGAATGATGGCTGAATAGCAATTTTATAGTATAAAAAATAAATGCCTCAAACATAGGATATTGAGCCAAAAGTGTACAGAGACCCAAATACAACCTAGAAGCTCTTGGTTACAGATTTAAGAAATCTTGGCTAAGTTCTTATTTTTTTGTTATTTGCAATTTCCTATAAATGAAGAATCTGGGAGGTAAGGGGAAATTCCATTTTCTGAGTGCTTTACTAAGGTGAGTTTTACTTAGTAAATTTTAGAACAAACCATTTGTAAAGAAAATCACTTTTAAAGTAAAATGATCTGTTGCCTTCTGAAACCAAATGGTGATGGTTGCACAACCTTATAAATATACTAAAATATTCTAACCTATACACTTTAAAAAAGTGAATTATATCTCAAAAAAAACAACCTTGAAAAATTTTTAAAAACTTGTTGCCTTGGGGGCAGCCCAGGTGGCTCAGTGGTTTAGCGCCCCCTTCAGCCCAGGGTCTGATCATGGAGACCCAGGATCGAGTCCCATGTTAGGCTCCCTGCATGGAGCCTGCTTCTCCTTCTGCCTGTGTCTCTGCCTCTCCCTCTCTCTTTCTCTCTCTCTCTCTCTCTCATGAATAAATAAATAAAATCTTAAAAAAAAAAAAAACTTATTGTCTTGGGAAGCCTGGGTGGCTCAGCAGTTGAGCATCTACCTTTGGCTCACAGTGTGATCCCAGAGTTCTGGGATCGGGTCCCACCCACATCAGGCTCCCTAAAAGGAGCCTGCTTCTCCCTCTGCCTATGTCTCTGCCTTCTCTCTGTGTCTCTCATGAATAAATGAATAAAATCTTTAAAAAAAAAAACAACTTGTTGCCTAAAACAAATATTAACATAATCAACTCATATTTTTGTAATTGTACAAAAGTAAACTTCTCTTACTTTATAAACTATAAATCTGTACCATGCAGCATATTTGTAAGGAACCACTTTAAGAGCTGTGGAAGTCAGCATTTATTTATATAGTAGATTACTGCAAGGAACTGCACAGAATTCTTATCTTTCAAGTACATGTTTTAGAACATTATAATAAAAAGAATGAATCATACATAAAAATCAACTTTAAATCTCAGTGTTCTCAAAGATTTTTCCTTGACAAACCACAAGGCAAGATTTTTACAGAGCAAGGAGTTAAGGAACTTACTTTATAACTGTTCCTTTGGTGCCCCCTGCCGTTGTTAGCATGACTCTTGTAGTTAAACTTACACGAAGATCATCTTGATCCAAACCCAGTAATTCTGCACAATATTCCAATGCCTGAGTAGATTTATTCTTCAAATTACAACCACCTAATGAAAATGCATTTAGATTTGAAGTTATCAGACATTATATAAATCAGATCCTCATGATCCATTTCTTAGAAGTATACTTCACTTACATAAATTTGTGGAATAGAGAAGGCTAATTTGTGACTTTTAATTTCACCTCACTTTTTCACTACCCTTGTCAGACACTCATACTGCCAAGGTCAATGGAAGATCCTCTCTCAAGGCAGTCCATGATATAATCCTTCAGCCCATCAATATTAACTTGCCACTGTTTCATTTTTTATGACCCAGCAAGCAAAATATATGGATAGATTATAATCCCTGTAAATCCCTAGAGAAATACAGTACCTTATTAAAATTCATATGATTCCTGAAAACTTTAAGGAATAATTTTAATAGCAAACGTTGCCACTTTAGTAGATCAATGTGGCTGTCAACGTATGAGGTTTTATGTCTGTGTGTGTAGTGCATCTGTGTGTACCTGTGCATGCATACGCAGGTGTTCATGTTGCTTGGGAAAGAGGAAGAGGGTGAGGAGATAACTGCTATCCCCTGTACATTATATCCATAGATTTCTAGTTATGGAGGATTTTTTAAAAAATATTATATTTAACATATATATTTTTAATTTATATATATATATATATATATATATATATATATATATTATGTAGAAAGACACTATACTTCAGTGCTTTAGCCTCTGGGCTAATTAAGACTCATTAGCTGTGTGACCAAACAAGTCATTTATTCTTTCTGTGCTCAGTTTCTTCATCCATTTAGAGGATAATAACGGTACTTAACCTTACCTGATAAGGCTGTTACTGAGATTAATGAGGTAATATAGGTGAAGTTCTTGAAACAGTACCTGGTACATAGTAAGCACTATATAAAGGTTAACTATTATTATTTGTATTATTACTACTAATATTTTAAAAGTGAACATTTTACTTTTTAAGGTTTAATGTTTATAAATAATTCAACTCAAATCTAATTTCAAAACTACAAAAAATGTGTGAAAATCATAGTAAAAAAAGTAAGTTTACCATGAAAAATAAGTAAACTAATTAATAGACTGGTCTCAGGAGAAACAAACCATGAGATTCCATAAGAACAAGGGGTTGTCAGGATAACTCATTTGGGGAAAAAAAGTGTTTTTTCAGCAAATGGCACTGAGACAACCAGATATCCTCATGCAAAAGAATGAGGCTAGATCCCTGCTTTACATCATAAATAAAAATTAGCTAAAAAATAATCAAAGACCTAAATTATTATCTATAACTAGGGAAGTCTTAGAAGAATACACAGACATAAATCCTCATGATCTCAGAGCAGTTGTTTCCTAGATATGGTACCAAGAGCACAAGCAACACAAGAAAATATTAGATTTCATCAAAATGAAAAACTTCTGTGTTTCAGAGAACACTACCCAAAAACTTAAAAGACAAGCCACAGACTGAAAGACAATATTTGCAAATTATATACCTGATAAGGAACCTGTATTTAGAATACATATTTTTTTAAATTTGACAACAAAAAGGCAAACCAATTAATGGGCAAGGGATTTGAACAGACATTTTTCCAAAAAAGAAATACAAACGGTCAATAAAGACATGAAAAAATGTTCAAACTCATGGGCCTTCAGAAAAACACAAAAGCCACAATGAAGTAAAACACTTCACACATACTACTATGGCTATAATCCTGCAGACAGCATCAGTGAGGACGTGGAGGAACAGGAATCCTCATACAGTGTTGATAAGAATGTGAAATGAATACAGCTACCCTGAAAAACAATCTGACAGTTCTTCAGAAGGTTAAACATAGAGTTACCATATGACAGCAATTCCACTCTTAGGCATATACTCAAGAGAAGTAAAAAACATACGCCCATTAAAAAAAAAACCAAAAAAAAATGGAAGAATGTTTACAGCAGTATCATTCATAATAGCCCAAGGTAGTAACAACCCAAATGTTCATCAAATGGCAAATGGATAAAAAATGTGATATATATATAAAAAAAGTGATATATCTACAGAATGGAACATTACTCAACAATAAAAAGAGACGAAGTACTGAGGAAGCTACAGGGATGAACCATGAAAACATTATGCTAGAGAAAGAAGCCAGTCACAAAAGGCCACATATTGTATGATTCTATTTCTACGAAATTCCCATACCAGGCAAATTTATAAAGTAAGTAGATTAGTGGCTGCCTAAGGCTGAGGGATTTGGGAAAGAAGGAGAGGTGAATGCTGAAGTGATGAAAATGTTCTCAAAACTAACTTCAGGGATGAGTGCACAACTTCGAGTATACTAAAAATCAAAGAATTATTTTAAGGGGGTGAACTGAACAGTCTATGAACTATACGTCAATAAAGCTGTTACCAAAGAAAAAGAACAAGGGGACAAGAATACTTAGAAGTATACTGAACCTTTAATTCTAGGAAAATAAGCTAACTACTGATTTCTAGTTTCTATACACACACAGATTATCTAAATTATATAGCTCTCACTAAACTGATTAATCAATAATTCATTAATGTATTTAAACATCTTTTTTTTTACTGTTTTGCAAAGTTTCTCACACACTTTCAAGCTAACCTAAGAAGATATTTATTTTAAAGGGTTTAAAAAGGCAAAACTAAAATAATCAAAGGTTTTCATGTCACTCCCCTTCCAAAAAAAGAACTTCTCTGAACATTCTTTAAATTTGTTGTTAAAATAGCATTTACCTCTGTTTTGCAGAATTTTAAAAACATAGGAAAGTCCGAATAGGCATATTTTGCATATGCTATCATGTAGAAACTTTTCAGTTTTTATAAGAATCTTCTAAACATTTATAAGAGAATAAATTTTCTGATAAAATAATTACATAAATATCCACAGCTTTTTCAAACTGCAAGGACATGCCAAAATTGAGCTCTCTGGGGGGAAAAAACAATTCTAACTAGTAAGAAACCATTTGGATCTACAGGAAGGGTCACAGAAAAGATAAATAATAAAATGTAAGCCTTAATTAAAATAAAAATAACCTATTTTATTTTTTAAAGATTTTATTTATTTATTTGAGAGAGAAAAAGAATGAGCAGTGGGGAGGGGCTGAGGGAGAAAGACAGAGAAAGCCGACTCCCCGCTGAGCAGGATGCCCACATGGGACTCAGTCCTGGGGCCTGGAGATCATGACCTGAGCAGAAGGCAGAAACTTAACTGACGGAGTCACCCTAGGCCCCAAAATAACCTAGTTTATTAATTTTCTTGATTTGTTGCCTCTTTCTAATCCTCTCTGCTTTCTGCTCATCTTCCTTTCAACAGAGGATTTCTGAGAAGAAAAATAAAAGATAATATAAATATGTGCTATTTGCCTTTTGAGTGTCTAAATGCTTTTCAACTAACTGGATCATATCACATTTATGATCCTCTGTATACATCTGCATAGTCTACCACAGGGTAATAAATGAGGTGTGAAAATACCAACTATCACTTCTAACAATATTTCCAAACTGTGCCTTAATCTAAACTTTTTTGTGTTACTTGGAACTCCCATTTACTCCCTTAGTATAACAATACTACATTAACAAATGAGATGTATTCTAATTTTCAAAATAAGAATTTTAAATCCCTCAAAAAAACTAAAACTTTAATGCACACTAAGAACATGTTTGATTTTGCTTTTTACATCCACAACTAGAATTAATCTGTATTTTTATTTTACTTATTCATTAAAAACACAGTGATTATTAAGTGCTGGACATAAGTACTGACATCATTTAATATTTAATCCATTTATTCCTCTATATAACATGAGGCAAAAAATATTATTATCCCCAGGAAACTAGGGACACAGAGAGGTTAAGTTCATGGCCCAATACCACACAAGCAGGTAATACGCTGGTGATAAATACTCTGGCTCAAGAGCATGTACTCTTAAACACTACACTGTGCTGCATCTGATGTAACTGACTTTATGGAATCACAGGATACTAAATCTGAAAGTCAGTAAGTCTGTCTATTTCAATCTGCTCATCTACAGATCAGGACTCTCAGGGAGGCTCAGTGAGGGCAACTTGGGACAATGATCAGAAGAACCTGAGTTAGTCAGTCATGGGTAGAACTCAGCTCTCTCACATCTATAACTTCATTAGTAAATGTATTACTTCTGTACAGGTTCCACTTCCATAAAATGCAGATAATATCCCCTACCTCATTATCTTTATAAAGTTTAGATTATATTGTTTATGATGAAACACTGTTGTAAGGAGTCTTGCACGCAGCAGATATTTTTTAAATGTTCTTTTTTTCTTCCTCTTGTGCTCCTTCCTTATATGCATACATATATACTATTGCTAGGCACTATCCTTTAAAAGCACTTCTCATGGACTGTTTCCTCATTATTTTACAAATGAAAAAAACAAGGGTCAGAGAGCTTCTGGGATCTAACACTAGACCCCTGCTATTGACTACTATATTAAATGGTGCTTTCGATTTTTTAACTCATTCGTGTTATAAAATATTTTAATAATGTATTTATGCAGGAGTCAACGTTCTTTTTCTCTTAAGTGTCAGGTTTTTAAGTTTTGCTGGCCATATGGTTTCTGTCACAGCTACTAAACTCTGCTGCTGTAGCACAAAAGCTGGCACAGATAGACATAAATAAATGGGTGTGGCTTCGTTCCAACAATACATTATTTACAAAACAGGCAGCTGGTCAAATTTGGCCAAGGGCTACAGTTTTCCAACCCCTGTAATTCATGGATCAAACTTAAGATTATATAAAAGTTACTATCATGCAAGCATTAAATGTTCTTTTCAATGTGCATAAACTAGAACCTATTTTTTCCAAATAATAAAGCATATGAGCTTGTACATATTCAACTGCCCTAATTAACTGATCCAAGTTTATACCAATAAACCAGAAAAATGTCAAAATACCTTAATAGACAGTAGAGAATTATTCTGTGTACATACTGTAAAAGTTGAAAATTTTAAATAAATGTGACCCGGATAATCACATGGATAATCATAAGGATAATCACTTATGCCTCATAAAATGAATTATTCCCCAACAGTATTACTGATTTGTTCAAAAGAGAGCTCATAGTGACTAATAATGCAGCATCCTTCATTTCCAAGATGCACCATGTAACACAATACATTCTAGAAATTTCAGGGTTTTCAAAACCTGCACACAGATTAAATTTACGTATGACAAAAAAATGACAGAACTTCTAATTATATTCCTCTTTAAAACAAAACAACCAGGTGGCTCAGCGGTTTAGTGCCGCCTTCAGCCCAAGGCCTGATCCTGAAGACCCGGGATCGAGTCCCACGTCGGGCTCCCTGCATGGAGCCTGCTTCTCCCTCTGCCTTTGTCTCTGCCTCTCTTCTCTCTCTCTCTCTCTCTCTCTCTCTCTCTCTCTCTCTCTCTGTCTCTCATGAATACATAAATGAAATCTTTAAAAAAATAAAAATAAATAAAAATAAAACAAAACCACCACAAACGAACCTGAAGTGTTGCCGGCTTCCTCAAAATCAATATTTCCAAGATGCAGAACACCAGCTACTACCCGGAACAGATCAAGCTTTTCTTCATCATCCAAACCAATCTTTTTCATGGCTGTGCACATTCTAATAAAATCTCCATGGTCATCTAACAGAGGATCTTTCAAGGAACCTGCCTTAAGATACTACAAAACAAGAAGACCTCAATTAATTGCTCTTTATCATTATTTACATTAAAACCACTCTGCAAGGACTATTAATGCACTATATGACATGCAAAAATAAAATACGTCAATGGGAAAGCTTTACTATTCTAACAATTCAAAAACTAAATGACTGAGCAAAATATACACAGGATCTTTCTGTATTACTTCTTCCAACTGTGACTCTACAATTACCTCAATAAAAATCAGTCAAAAATTGAATGAGATGTTTTCCAATTAAATCACAATTTTAATACTAATGCATTATAATGCTAGATAAAAATATAAATTGAGTGAAAAAGAAAGAAATATAAGTGGTTGAAAGGAATCAACATGAATCCACAGGTCAAAAAGAGCTAAGGTTAAAAACTATAATAAAAATTCAAAACTAACGTTTAGCATCATACTCCTTTAGGTTAACTGCCATCAATTATATGAATATTCAGTAGTAATAAATAATGGACAAATTAATCCCAAATTTCATGGCCAGAAAATTGTTTTTTAAATCTTCCTGTATAAACGTATATGAGGTAAAGTGTATTAGTAAGCATTGTGCTTACTCTAAGAATTTATGCAATGATTCACATTTCAGAAAAAATAAAGAGAAAATTTGTTTTCTCTCCTAAAAGAATTTACATCTGAAGTATTCATTTGTTAGAACCTATTAAAAAGCTCAGAAAAAGGATTAAGGAAGTTAGGCCTGCAGAAACCTTAGAAGGAGAAAAATAAAGGTTACTGGACACAGAAATATTGGACTAGGAATTTTCCAGAACTTGATAATGAATAGGTAAAATTAAACATTAGGTAACAGCATCAGAATTAACTGTCCATTAAATTAACTGGCCATTAAAGCCCCAAAAAAGAGATTTTTTTTCCTCCCAATTGCCAATTGCTTCCCAGCTAAAGTTGTGATTATCTTCCACAAAATTCTTTAAAATGTTTAATTATGCCTGGGTGAAATTTCTGGAAAATGTCTAGATAAAGAAATTTTATTCTTAAAAGAAGCAAAGGAGAAGATCACATGCAGCCAAAATTAACAGAAAACACTGAACATGCAGAATTTTTAGTCTTGTAAATGAATGGTTACTTCATTTGAAAACTTTCTAATCAAATGTTAAGAATATATTGCTATTATGGCAGACTAAAAATACTGCATTCTCCTAAAAATTACACACAGCTTAGACACTCAAATGGAATTAGGCAAAGGATTCTAATTAGTCAAAATGATCACCTCATCCTCCTGATAAAGAAGACATAAAAAGTAATTTAAACATATTAATCCATTATTCACATATAATTTTATATATACACTCAGTAATATGAATAGCTCACAAAGTATGCTGATTCTAGAATGGCAAAGAGCACATTTTATTCTCAGCAGAATACAAAAAGTACATGTTACTCTTTGGAGAGTAAAATCCAGTTTTCTTCCCTTTTTACTTAGTTTTTCCCATGTCAAAGATCAAATTTAGATATATGTCTTTTTCCTTGAGGACATCTGCACTATCCTACTAGGTAATGTTTCCATTACCTTAGAGGAAGAAATACAATTTCTATATTCTGACAATGTATTATAAAAATAAAGGTTATCATGACAAAGATACCATAATAAATACTGAAGCTACTTCTTAAAGTGCAACCATGAATGTCATATAAACTAAAGTTTACAATTTATAATTCAGACATTTATGTCTAAAATAATAAATATCAGGGCACCTGGATAGCTCAGTTGGTTGAGCATCTGACTCTTGATTTCGGTTCAGGTCACGACGTCAGGGTTGTGAGACTGAGTCCCACGTCAGGCTCTGTGCTCTGCAGGGAGTCTGCTTAAGATTTTTTTTCTTTCTCTCTCCCCTCCCTCTACTCTATACACATGCACTCTCTCACTCTCTCTCAAATAAATAAAATCTTTAAAAAATAAATAAAAATAAAATGATAAATGTCAACTTAAAAATTAACTATTCAATTGGCTGAGAATTCAAAATAATGGGAATTTTTATTTGCTTTCTGTTCTTTTCTAGGAACATATTAGAGACATAATTCATCTCACCATTTGAAAGGAGTCAAAAGCATCTGATTCACACATTAAAAGGCGAGCATAATAAAGACTGTACAATACTCAATATAAATCTTTAAATAAAATTAACAAAGACAAAATGAACTAGTCCCTATCATTAATCCTGACTCAGTATTTCATAATTTAACCTCCTTCAGTAGATACAACTTAATACTATTACTTGAACATTACATATTAAAATTTATAAAAGTTATAGATTTTTAGAATAAGGATCTGATGTTTTTAAAATAATAGTACAATAATACCTAATTACCCTTACAAATATAACTTAGTAAGACCTATATGTAAAACTTTCCATATTTCTGTATATTACAGAAATATAATGTTTTAAACAGAAATACAACAACACATGAGCATCAGTTCACAAGAATGCTTACACTATTTAATGTCTACTTCAGAGCTAAGTCTTAAAGTGGAAAATAAGTTATAAAGGACACATTTTATACTTAATCCCAAGTGGGTCATGTAAGAGTAAGTTTCAGAAATGTTAGCAAAGGATAATTCTTAGGCAATTTTAATAGCCTCACATGGGGGAAAAAGAACAGGAAGAGAGCAGTGCATTGAGGCCTAAGCAAGAAGAATCAAAACTTGTGGCTTTTACAGATAGATATCAACAGAGGCATAAAATACTACACTGTGAGAGAGACTTGGATGAGCACTTCTTTTTAAAGTATAAGTCAAAAAGTATGAAATATTATTTGGGCTCCAAAATAAAAAAAATATATCTTTCAGTATTTTTTTTGTATTAAAGATTTTAATTAAAAAAATAATCTACTATACCTCAGGAGTTTTTCGGTTCTGTAAAATCTGTTTGTCAGTTTCTTTGTTAGCAAAGTATCTAGTGCAGCCTCGGTTTAAGTACTAGGAAAAAGATATATAAATATAACAAATATGATCTACAGGAAAATAGCACAAAAGAAAACACAACTTATCAAACAGTGGTAACCAAAAAGAATTTTTAAATATAACTTGAATATCATTTAATCTCTCAATTACAACTGATACTTCTATATATTATAAACATTTTACTTCTACTAATCAAACCAAGAATATTGAAAATCCGGATTCCTGAAAGTAGATTTTAAATTAACTAACATAAAAACCAATACCATAAAACTTTCCTATTTTTAAAAGGCAGAAATTTTAAATCTCAATATCAAATATCTTCTTAAAAATATAGTTCATAAGATAAGTACTACAAATAATAATGAAAATCACCTTCTTACTAAATATGTAGAGTGTCAAATAAGAACTCACACATTGTGGTTTAATATTTCAAGTAATATTTTTAATGCTGAATAACAGAATAATATCCCTGAGTTTCTTAATTTCTGATTTTTAAAATCAGTTCTTCAAAACATGCCTTTCATATTTACTGATAGTTAACACTGACCATACGTGAATTATAATACTTGCTTTATGAACCTTCATAGGTATTCAAATAACAATTTCAACTTTAATCTCAATGATTTACTTTGCTGCCCAGAAGCCCACTAAAGACTAAGCACTTTTAAAACATAGAACAAGGGAAGTAGTTGAGAAGAAAACAATTTATTAATCTCAAAGAGATTTTCTACCCACATTTGGGGAGTGGGGGTAGTCAGGAAAGAAGTACACAAGAAACAAGATGGAAAATGTTTTTAAACATCTCAGTATTCCTTAAATCAGGTCACTATGATTCCACTATACCATGGTCATGAATTTCAAGATTAAACATATATCACACAGATACTGTGAAAAAATGTATACTACATTTTTAATGATTTGGGGATAAATTAATATTTTAGATGATCAATACATTTATCTGTGTCCCTCCATTATAATGAAATATTAAGATACAGATAAAACCAGAAAATGATCTACAATGAAAAAAAGTGATATACAATGAGCTATTCTTTCTACCTTAGAATCTTTAGGAACAAAATAGAAGAGGTAAGAAAATATTCGTAAGCAATTTCAACTATTTCAAAAAAGAACTCTTATTTTAGTGAGAGAATAGTAGCTTAATTGCATAGAGTCAAAACAAATGTTTTCTTTGCTATGAAGGGTTTTATCCCCCCAACCCCAATTGTTTTATTGACTATTTGGCTTTTGAATAGCTAAATTTAATATAAAAACCTACTACCTGTTTTGTCCAACTTTTCTGTAACTAGAAAAAACTATTCTTGAATCCATTTCATTCTATCCAAGCTTTATTTCTCTTAAGGATCTTTGCATAACTACAACAAATGCTTCCATAAAACATATGCAAAAATATTTGAGTATTTGAATAATACAATCTTTTAAACCTTTTATTTTATTTTCTAAAATACATGAGTAGTTAATAGAAATATTTCCAAACACAGGTATATCTACAATTCTTTACATACTATTTTGGATAGTATTTTTGGAAGTGTTCAACACTATTCTGAAATTCTTTGTCTTTATGACCTTACCTATGAGTTATAACTGGAGCCCCTGACTAAATTACAGAAAAACCTGATGAAATTACCAACACAATTTCAAATCACTTTAAGGCAGAATCATTTAAGGGAAAGTACATAGAGGTATGCATGCATGAAAGCAAGACTGCAGATGTATTTGGGTGAACATACTGTACTTCTAGTGTCCTTCCTATGCAGAGAGGAAATCATGCCTCCCAGTTCACACTACAGAGGCAGGAAACTTTCTGACCTAATAAAGAATTTCAATAGGACAGACTGGGTGGCTCAGCGGTTTAGCACCGCCTTCAGCCCAGGGTCTGATCTTGGAGACTTGGGATCGAGTCCCACACATCAGGCTCCCTGCATGGAGCCTGCTTCTCCCTCTGCCTGTGTCTCTGCCTCTCTGTCTCTCTGTGTCTCTCGTGAAAAATAAATGAAATCTTAATAAAACAAAAAAAAACACGTTCAGTAGCTGCCTTTCTTGGATGCCTGCCATTGTGCCAGGAAAGGTTATACACTGTAAAACACACAAAATATATGCTCCCAAGGCTCCAAACAAAAAGAAATGCTAAATTAAGACAAGGATAGTTGCATTACTTTATCACTAACTCAGTGCCAACAAAGCCACATCATCATTAAATTTTATATGATTCATTTTAACTTATGCTTCTTTTCTAAAAATCATTGTAGAGAAATACCTCTTCTACTTTCATGAAGATAATGTGGGCAACTAAAAATTCCAATTAATTTGATGAGTTCTAGAGAAGGTGAGACATTGTAGACGGATATAAACAGATGCAGTTATAAAGCATTTTAACACAGAAATTTTAAATTTTCCAAATACATATTAAAAGAACTGACTGAAGTAGCAATAAAAGCCAAATTACAGGGATCCCTGGGTGGCTCAGCAGTTTAGCGCCTGTGTTTGGCCCAGGGCATCATCCTGGAGTCCCGGGATCAAGTCCCACATCAGGTTCCCTGCATGGAGCCTGTTTCTCCCTCTGCCTGTGTCTCTGTGCCTCTCTCTCTCTCTCTCTGTCCCTCATTGATAAATAAATAAAATCTTTAAAAAAAAAGCCAAATTACAAACACACACAGAGAACAATAATTAAATATATGTGCCATGATTCTCACGAGGAGGATTCCTGCCCAAAGATGATTATCAGAATCACCTGGAGAACTTTACTCAAGCTGCATTCCTTACCCATTCCCGTAATTCCCACGTATTCCTCACAGGGACAGTGTTTCTTAGCTGCAAATTTATAAACGATGCTAACCATCCCCAGTCACCACTTCTTGAAATTCTTTTTTTTTTGTTTTAATTTTATAAATTAATTTTATTGGTGTTCAATTTACCAACATACAGAATAACACCCAGTGCTCATCCCGTCAAGTGTACCCCTCAGTGCCCGTCACCCATTCACCCCCACCCCCCGCCCTCCTCCCCCTCCACCACCCCTAGTTCATTTCCCAGAGTTAGAAGTCTTTATGTTCTGTCTCCCTTTCTGATCTTTCTCACACATTTCTCCTCCCTTCCCTTATATTCCCTTTCACTATTATTCATATTCCCCAAATGAATGAGAACATACACTGTTTGTCCTTCTCCGGTTACTGTGGCCAAGTTCAAAAAGGGTGTTGCCTGAGTTCTTCTCTGGGATTTTGATGGAATCTTGTCTCACATTTAGATCTTTCATCTATTTTGAGTTTATCTTTGTGTATGGTGCAAGAGAGTGGTCCAGTTTCATTCTTCTGCATGTGGATGTCCAATTTTCCCAGCACCATTTATTGAAGAGAGTGTCTTTCTTCCAGTGGATCGTCTTTCCTCCTTTATCGTATATTAGTTGACCATAAAGTTCAGGGTCCACTTCTGGGTTCTCTGTTCTGTTCCATTGATCTATGTGTCTGTTTTTGTGCCAGTACCACACTGTCTTGATGAACACAGCTTTGTAGTACAACCTGAAATCTGGCATTGTGATGCCCCCAGATATGGTTTTCTTTTTTTAAAATTCCCCTGGCTGTTTGGGGTCTTTTCTGATTCCACACAAATCTTAAAATAATTTGTTCTAAGTCTCTGAAGAAAGTCCATGGTATTTTGATAGGGATTGCATTATATGTGTAAATTGCCCTGGGTAACATTGACATTTTCACAATATTAATTCTGCCAATCCATGAGCATGGAATATTTTTCCATCTCTTTGTGTCTTCCTCAATTTCTTTCAGAAGTGTTCTATAGTTTTTAGGATATATTTTGAGAACCATTTGAATGGTAAATGGTTCTCCAACCTTTTATTTTCAGGTTGTAGGTGTCCTTCTGTCTAAAATGAGTCTCTTGTAGACAGCAAATAGATAGGTCCTGCTTTTTTATCCAGTCTGAAACCCTGCGCCTTTGATGGGGTCATTAAGCCCATTCACATTCAGAGTTACTATTGACAGATATGAATTTAGTGTCATCATGATATCTATTTAGTCCTTGTTTTTGTGGATTGTTCCACTGAACTTCTTCTTAAAGGGGAGTTTTAAGAGTCCCCCTTAAAATTTCTTGCAGAGCTGGTTTGGAGGTCACATATTCTTTCAGTTCCTGCCTGTCTTGGAAGCTCTTTATCTCTCCTTCCATTTTGAATGAGAGCCTTGCTGGATAAAGTATTCTTGGTTGCATGTTCTTCTCATTTAGGACCCTGAATATATCCTGCCAGCCCTTTCTGGCCTGCCAGGTCTCTGTGGAGAGGTCTGCTGTTACCCTAATATTCCTCCCCATGAAAGTCAGGGACTTCTTGTCTCTTGCTGCTTTAAGGATCTTCTCTTTATCTTTGGAATTTGCAAGCTTCACTATTAGATGTCAAGGTGTTGAACGGTTTTTATTGATTTTAGGGGGGGATCTCTCTATTTCCTGGATCTGAATGCCTGTTTCCCTTCCCAGATTGGGAAAGTTTTCAGCTAGGATTTGTTCAAATACATATTCTGGCCCTCTGGCCCTTTCGGCGCCCTCGGGAACCCCAATTAAGCGTAGGTTTTTCTTCCTTAGGTTGTCATTTATTTCCCTTAATCTGTCTTCATGGTCCCTTAATTGATTGTCTCTTTTTTCCTCAGTTTCCCTCTTTGCCATTAACTTGTCTTCTATGTCACTCACTCGTTCTTCCACCTCGTTAACCCTCGTCGTTAGGACTTCTAGTTTGGATTGCATCTCATTCAACTGATTTTTAATTTCTGCCTGATTGGATCTAAATTCTGCAGTCATGAAGTCTCGTGAGTCCTTAATGCTTTTTTCTAGAGCCACCAGTAGCTGTAGAATAGTGCTTCTGAATTGGCTTTCTGACATTGAATTGTAATCCAGATTTTGTAACTCTGTGGGAGAGTGGACTGTTTCTGATTCTTTCTTTTGAGGTGAGGTTTTCCTTCTAGTCATTTTGCTCAGTGCAGAGTGGCCAAAAACAAGTTGTATTGGAACACGGGGGAGTATCACTGGTCCGTCCAGCTGGTCTTCTGGGGGAGGGGCCTGCTGTGCTGATTTTCAGGTGTTAGCACTTGGGGGAGCTGCTCTGCCCCTGCCTGCTGCCGGGCTCAGCGGGGGTTGTTTACCCCGTGGGGCCCCAGGAGGAACAGCCGCAGTTGCTATGGCAACTCTGGAAGCCTGGATTCAGCCTCCGCAGGAACTACAGGGCTCGGGGCTCTCGGTTCTCCGTCCGCAGGGCCTGGAGGCTCCGGGGCGGGGCCGCTGATCTGCTCAGCTCGGGGCAGGAGCGTCCTCGCTGTCCTGGGCCCTCCCGGCCTCTGCCTGTCCCGGGGGAGGCCGGATCCTGGGCTGTGTCCCGGCGCCCTGTGCTCCGGGGCCTGCGCTGTGGGATTCGCGCTCCCGCCCTGCAGCTCCCTCCCTGGAGCCGCTCCCGAGCCCCTCCGAACTGCTCCGGTCGGTCCCGCCGTGCGCGCTGCAGCCCTTAGGGAGCTCGGCGCACTCTCCTGCGCTCGCAGGTGTCTGTTAGTGTCCCGGGAGCCCGAGGGGATCCCCGCCCTCCTGGGTCCTGCCCCAGCTCCCTGCAAGCCCCTTTCCGCCCGTCCGGGAAGGTTGGTGCAGCTCCTGCTCCTCCGGGACGGGGCTCTCCTGTCCTGGGGACACTCGCCCCGGCGTCAGCCCGGCTCCTCGTGGGCCCCTCCCCCTCGGAGGCCTTTTGTTCCTTTATTTCTTTTTCCCCGTCTTCCTACCTGATAGAAGCGCGAACTCTTCTCACTGTAGCATTCCAGCTGGTCTCCCTTTACATCTCAGGCCGAATTCGTAGATTTTCAGGATGGTTTGAAGGTTATCTAGGTAATTTGGTGGGGACAGGTGACTTGGGGACCCTGCTCTTCCGCCATCTTGCCCCTCCCCCCCCACTTCTTGAAATTCTTGAACTGGCTTGTGATTCTTGGCACTCCTGATTTTCCTTGTACTTCTCACACAATTCCACCTGTGCTTTCTTTCTTGGGCAACTCTTCAACACTCATATTCTTCAAATTCCAGAGTCTGGGTCCTGACACGTGCTTTTCAATATTACACGATCTCTCTGGACAATCTCATCTACTCATTGTCACACTTTTAACTATTACCAGAGTACTGACATCTCCCAAACGTATCACTACAGCACAAAAAAATAATCTTCAGCTTAGTATACCCAACTCAACTGTCTTCTTTTTTAAATGATTTTTTTAAAGATTTTATTTATTTATTCCTGAGAGACACACAGAGAGAGAGAGAGGCAGAGACACAGGCAGAGGGAGAAGCAGGCTACATGCAGGGAGCCTGACGTGGGACTCGATCCCGGGTCTCCGGGATCATGCCCTGGACTGAAGGTGGTGCTAAACCGCTGAGCCACCCGGGCTGCCCTCAAATGTCTTTTTTTTTTTTTTTTTATTTATGATAGTCACACAGGGAGAGAGAGAGAGAGAGAGAGAGAGAGAGAGAGAGAGAGAGGGGCAGAGGGAGAAGCAGGCTCCATGCACCGGGAGCCCGACGTGGGATTCGATCCCGGGTTTCCAGGATCGCGCCCTGGGCCAAAGGCAGGCGCCAAACCGCTGCACCACCCAGGGATCCCCCCTCAAATGTCTTCTAATCCTCTCCCCTAAAATGATCTGTAGATTCCAAAACTAAACTCATCCTATATGCCACAAATCTTCCATCTGGCCCTAGTATGGTATTTACACCCACCTAGTTATCCTACTCAAATTTGGAAAATTATTCCAAACTACTCTTCCCTAACAATACTCTGTCTCCAAGTTCTATCAATTTTATCTCCTAGTATTTTGGACATCCCATCCTCAGTAACCAAATTCAAGCACTAAGTAATTTACTTCTACTATAGCCACAGGTTTCCAACCAGTTTACCCATAGTTGCATTTTCTATCCATTTCCTACCTTACCCGCTTAAAGACACCTTCCATTTTAAAGCCAGAGGTAAATATAGACCTGATATCCAACTTTCTACTTAAATCCCTTCAATAGCTCCTTATTAACTACAGAAGTAAGACCAAACTTTCTAGCCCCACTACCACCACTTCCTGCCTTACTCTATTAGCTGTTTCTTGTCTTTGTTCATCTTTTTCCATCTACTAAGAATACTCTTTAGTATTCAAGTGTTTACTTCTTCCTCTAGTTAACACTTGAAAATCATTCAGGATTCTAATCAAACATCGGTTGTTCCTTGAAGTTTTTCCAAAATCCCCAGCATTCTATGTATATCTCTCTCTAATCATTCAACCTATCAGTCAGACTATATGTGTTTGTGCATCTGTGTGTGTGTATGTATTTCCCACCAGATTCTAAGTTGCTCATGAGCAGGAACTGTTCATCTTTTTCACCCATGCACAATGCCTGGTACCCAATGGGCAAGCAATAAATATTTACCGTTGAATTAAGGAAGACAATCATGGGTCCATTATTAATTCAGAGGTGAAAACTTTTTTTAACAAATAAGTCAAAAATAACTTTAAAGCCAGCATTACAAAAAAAAAAAAAAGCCAGCATTACAGATTATAAATTTCTTAAGGAGTTTAAATTGATAAGTGGTTTCCCATCTATCCCTTTTTCTTTCCCATTATATATCTCCTCATATAGTGTTATAAATTTAGCAGTAAATCTCAATAGAAACCTATGTTCTATCACGTTACATGGATTTAACCTAAGTTACATACAACTAGGTATCAGAATCCATCAAAATAAGTTTTAGAATTGAAAGCAATTCAATTTGCAAAAACTGTATATAATTTCTTTTCATCCAACCTACCCGAAAATGATCTGGGGAGCTCAAATGAAGTTTTTCCCTAATATCTTCAGAAGCACCAGCACACAACCTATAAAAGATATGATAATTCCTTTCCTCTTTGCCTTGAACACAGATTCTAGATTTCTCTAGAAGATAATGTGAAACAAATCCTCCAACAACTGAACTCTGAAAAACAAAACAGAGAAAATACATGTTTGTATTTAAGGTCTGAAAGCATACCCTACCCAATGCTGAATTAATTTTCTAATAAACATTTGTCTATATCAAAAAGGTTGTAATATTTATCAAGGAAAATAGCAGATAACTAAATAAATGTAAGCTTACAATATTTACAAAGGTTATACTAAATACATATATTCTCCCAGTTAACTAAAGTAACAGAGAAAAACTCAAATGGATTTACCATAAGTTCAAGTACAGCACCAATTCTAACAAGACCCTTGTGTTTTTCTTTCTTTTTTGAAGTAGGCTCCATGCCCAGGTAGGAACCCAACTCAACATTTGAACACATGACCTTGAGATCAAGATGTGAACCCAGATCAAGAGTTGACACTTAATCAACTAAGCGACCCAGGCATCTCAAGACCCTTGTGTTTTTCACAAACACTTCCCAAACATCCCCAAACTCACTCTCACTTACCTTTTCATTGAAATGTATTTCTACGAATTTTCCAAATCTACTGCTATTATTGTTCCGAACAGTCTTTGCATTTCCAAAGGCTTCTAAAAGAGGGTTAGCTATTGAAAAAGAAATAAAAATATTTCATCAACAAATAGTATGAAGGAAAATTATGAAACAATATGTATAGTATGTTTCCTTATTAATAGAGATAGAAAAAATATTTTCATAAATATTACCATGAAGGAATTCACAGATAATGTCAAATCTCTCAAATATTTATTGACTACCATTATATTCGGGTCCTATTAAAGTACAGAAGATGGGAAAATTACTCAAATTATGTAAATTATGAGTATTGCCCTACCCAAATGTGGAAACTTATTCCAAACTACTATTCCTTTACCATATGTAAATGATATGGAAAAGACTAAATTTTAAAAAGTCATTAGGTTACAAAATTTAGAAGTCAACTTTAAAAATTACTCCCTAAAAATTATAATGTTTTCACAAGTACATCAGCCATAAAGGAATAGTGATTAGAGAACAGTAAACCCCTGGTGAACAAAATACGAGTCAGAAGTTATTAGTTGACTTACTTTCCTAAAATATTTTATATATTAATAAAACCTCCAGATTTAACATTTTTCCATGTACATTCAACAAAACCTAACATATTAGTTTACAGAATGACTAAAAAAGATCCTCAGAACAATAGTTTTTAGAATCCCAGCCTACAAGAGACTCATTTTAAACTCAAAGACACCTACAGATTGAAAGTGAAGAGGTGGAGAAACATTTAACACACAAATGGACACTAAAAGAAAGAGAAGCAATACTTACACTGAACAAACTAGACTTTTTTTTTTTTAAGATTTATTTATTTGAAAGAGAGAGAGAGAGAGTACAAGCAGGGGCAGGGGCAAAGGAAGAGGGCTCTCTGCTGAGCAGGCTCTCTGCTGAGCAGGAAGCCAGACTCAGGGCTTGATCCCAGGACCCTGGGATCATGACCTGAGCTGAAGGCAGACTCTTAAATGACTGAGCCACCCAGGCATCCTTCAAACTAGACTTTTTTCTTCTTGTATTGTTTTTATCCTGCTTTGGTGACAAGAGGGTACTGGCCTCATGGAATGATTTTGAATGTGCTCTATTCCATTATTTGTCAGATTTTGATAAAGACTGTCACTAATTTTTTTTAATGTTTTGGTAGAATTTACCAATAAAGCCAATGTGGTCTTGGGCTTTTCTGTGCCAGGAGATTTTTGATTCCTAACTCAATATTCATTCTTATTATTGATCTAAGAAGATGTCCTATTTTTTGGATTCAAGATTCATGATTCAATTGTAGTAACTTGTACATTTTTAGGAATTATCTGTTTTTTTTTTCCTCAGATATCTGTTAGTCTATCACTGTTTACAGTAATCTGTTACCACACTATGTATTTCTGTGGTTATCTCATATTATTTTCTTTTCCATTTCTCATTTTGGTTTTCAAGTCTTCTCCTTTTTTTCCTAATGCAGTTAAAGCACTACCAACTTTATTTTTTTGGAAAAACTGGTCATTACTTTCAATGTTATGTTATTGTTTATCGTCTCTATATTATTTCGGATTTTTCTTTGTTGTTTCCTTCCTCTACTAAATTTCAGCATTTCAGCTAAGTTTCTTCTTTTTCTAGGTCCTTGTGGTGTAATGTTCTTCATTTGAACTTTTTCTCTTAATACAAGAATTTATAGCATAAATTTCACTCTAACATCTGCTTTTGCTACATCCCACAGATTTTGGAATATTATGCTTTCTTTTTCTTTTGTTTTGAGACATACTTTGATTTACCATTTGATTTCTTATTTGGTCTACTGTTTGTGCAATAGTGTACTGCTTAATATTTATGTATTAAATATATGATATTTACATTGTAGATTTTCCAGCTTTGTTTTATTGTTAATTTTTTTATTGTTAGTTTTGCACCACTGTGGTTAGAGAATATACTTGGTATAATTTCAGTCCTCTTAAATTTGTAATATTTGTCATGTCTCTTTCTATGTGATTTAGATTCTTCTGGGAATTCTTCTGTTTGTACCTAAGGAAAATGTGTATTCTATTTTTCTTGGATAGAATGTTTTATGTATATCTTTTAGAACCATGTATCCTGATGTATGCTTTAATAAAAAATGTTCTTGGGACGCCTGGGTGGCTCAGTGGTTTGGCACCTGCCTTCGACCCAGAGCATGATCCTGGAGTCCCGGGATCGAGTCCCACATCGGGATTCTGCATGGAGCCTGCTTCTCCCTCTGCCTGCATCTCTGCCTCTCTCCCTGTCTCTCGTGAATAATAAAATCTTTAAAATAAATGAAAAATAAAAAATGTTCTTATTGAAAAAAATAGAAACTTTAATTGAGGGTACTCATTTAAAATAAACCATATCAGGCTCTCTGCTCCTCCCCGTTCCACAGACAGCCACATCTTCTGGTGCAATGCTAGCTGCGTCCCCGAGACATGATGGTAAAGGTCAGAGTGAACAGATTTGGCCATATTGGGCACCTGATCACCAGGGCTGCTTTTAACTCTGGCAAAGTGGATATTGTCGCCATCAAGGACCCCTTCATTGACCTCAACTACATGGTGTACATGTTCCAGTATGATTCTACCTACGACAAATTCCACGGCACAGTCAAGGCTGAGAGTGGGAAACTTGTCATCAATGGGAAGTCCATCTCCATCTTCCAGGAGTGAGATCCCATCAACATCAAATGGGGTGATGCTGGTGCTGAGTATGTTGTGGAGCCCACTAGAGTCTTCACCACCATGGAAAAGGCTGGGGCTCACTTGAAGGGCGGGGCCAAGAGGGTCATCATCTCTGCTCCTTCTGCTGATGCCCCCACATTTGTGATGGGCGTGAACCACAAGAAGTAGGACAACTTCCTCAAGATTGTCAGCAATGCCTCCTGCACCACCAACTGCTTGGCTCCTCTGGCCAACGTCATCCATGACTACTTCGGCATCGTGGAGGGCCTCATGACCACCGTCCATGCCATCACTGCCACCCAGAACACCGTGGACGGCCCCTCTGGGAAGCTGTGGTGTGACAGCCAAGGGGCTGCCCAGAACATCATCCCTGCTTCCACTGGCGCCGCCAAGGCTGTGGGCAAGGTCATCCCTGAGCTGAATGGGAAGCTCAGTGGCATGGCCTTCCATGTCTCCACCCCCAACGTGTCAGCTGTGAATCTGACATGCCCCCTGGAGAAAGCTGCCAAATGTGATGACATCAAGAAGGTGGTGAAGCAGGCATTGGAGGGCCCCCTCAAGGGCATCCTGGGCTACACTGAGGACCAGGTTGTCTCCTGTGACTTCAACAGTGACAGCCACTCTTCCACCTTCAACACCGGGGCTGGCATTGCCCTCAATGACCACTTCACCAAGCTCATTTCCTAGTATGACAATCAATTCTACAGCAACCAGGTGGTGGACCTCATGGTCCACATGGCCTCCAAGGAGTAAGAGCCTCCTGGACCACCAGCCCCAGCAAGAACAAGAGTAAGAGAGAGGCCCTCAGCTGCTGGGGAGTCCCTGTCCCAACTTAATCCCCCAACACACTGAGAATCTCCTGACCTCCAGTTTACATCCCAGACCCAGGAAGGGAAGGGGCTTGGGGAGCCCTACCTTGTCATGTACCATCAATAAAGTATACTGTACCCAGCTATAAGTAAGTAAGTAAATAAATAAATAAATAAATAAATAAATAAATAAATAAATAAGAAATAAAATAAATAGGAAATAAAATAAAATAAAATAAACCATATCAGAGGGGAGGTAGATAGGAGAGAGAAGTAAAATAGGTGAAGGGGATTAAGAGTACACTTATGATGAGCACTGAGTAATGATGTACAAAATTACTGAATCACTATATTGTACACCTGAAACTAATATAATACTGTATGTTAATTATAGTGGAATTAAAATAACTTAATAAAAATATTTTTAAATGTAAATAAAACTCCCAATGAACAAATGTAAAATTTTAATTTTTTTAATCTTATAATCACTTAAACATACTACATGACTGAAAAAGGTTTATTAGAGTCTACTGTTGTTTTGTTCTTATGTAGGCTCTATACCCAATATGGAGCCCAATGCAGGGCTTGAACTCATGAGCCTGAGATTAAGACCCAAGCTGAGATCAAGAGTTAATCACAACCAACTAAGCCACCCAGGCACCCCTATTAAGAGTCTATTCTTGGGGCACCTGGGTGGCTCAGTGGTTGAGCATCTGCCTTTGACTCAGGTCATGATCTTGGGGCCCGGGGATCAAGTTCCACACCAGGCTCCCCACAGGGAGCCTGCTTCTCCCTCTGCCTATGTCTCCGTCTGTCTCTTTCATGAATAAATAAAATCTTTTTTTAAAAAAAATCTATTCTTATACTCACCAGTCTCTACTACAAACATCCAAGGTTAGTGCCAATCTTACATATTCTCCATCTGCAACCTCATAAATTGCTTCCCAATGTTTATTACTAGAATTTTTCTTATGAAATCATTTAAAGTTCATCTCTCTTGTTCTATACACAGTAGAAAGCTTAACAAGTATCCAAACCCTTTTAAAAATCACTCTCCAGTTATTTCACTTCCCAAAAAATGTAAGAAAATATTAAAACTGAAAGAAATGTTTGCATGTATACCTAACCTTTCAGATGGGCAAGAAAACTGAGGCCCAATAAAGTCAACTGACTTGTGGAAAGCCACATGACTGGTACTGGCTAAAGGGGGACTCAATTACAAGTCTCCCCAACTCCTTATCAATCTACTACTTTTTTGCCAAAATACTTAATATGTTAAGTAAAATATCCAAAATTAGTATAACAGTCTATCAGAAAATTACAGTCATGCTACTGATATACTCATTCTAAAACCAACAACCAATCTTCAATTAAAGACAGCATCAAATGATAATTCTATTTTCTGCTAGTTAACATCTACCATCCTCCAGTAAGGAGCTGTGGAAACATTTGGAATAATAGTTTCCAACTTTTCTCAACCATAGCACACTACATATATACACACCACATTCCCTCAGAAGAACCCAGGTTTATAGCCAGTTCGCAAGCGAGTTTGCACCTCAAGTAAACAAATCAGAATACTAATTAGTATTCTATTGAATTAACCCATAATTTGTTCTTTTTAATTTACTTATTCAATTTTAAAGGGTGATTTCTTCATTAAAGTCAGGTACTTTACTGTGAATAAAGCATTTCTTAAGAGATCTTCATACCTGGGTGTGTTACAATACCATAGTGAGAAATGTAAGTAAATCTATAAAATTATTTAATCAAGAAACACAAAAAACTTTATTGATGTAAATTTTAAAAATGTTTATTAGAGTTTTTATGTTCATCTACATGTATATTTCACATAATTGTGAAAAATGAACATAGTATTTGCTAGTTATGATTTAGCAAAATACAGACACACAAAAGGCCCTTAATGAATTTTTTGTTTAAATGAAATTTTTCTTTACAATAGTATGAGTGTTAAAATATGCTCTTAGTATAGCACATAGCTAAGATGCCTGAGTTAATTATACTCCACTTCCACAGTTGATGAGCTATACACTCTTCAGCAAGCCACTTAAAGTCTTTTTACCTCAGTTTTTAATCTCTAAAGTAGGCATAAAATAGTACCTACCTCGTTCTGTAGGGATTTAAATTAAGAACAGATTTCCAGCAAATCAGACAATGCATAATACATCTCACATATGTTAATTTCATCATCATTATTAAAATCCTTACTGAGTGCCTCATACTGGAAAATGAGGAAGAAAGAAGGAAAAAGAGTATCCACATAAGCTTAAAACATCTCAAAAAAACTAGAAGGAGACTGACATGACTAATGTATAAGGATTCAAAAGAACAATGACTCAATTAGAAAGAGGAGGCAAAGGCCAGACCACAAGTAGCATTGTTAGCGATGTTACAGATTTTCAGCTTTCTCTTGAGAGCAATATGAAGCCATTAAAAGACTGAAAGCAAAAGAGATCATCACAACTACCACACAGAGAACAAATTACAGGTAAACAAGAATATAAGTGGGGAGACCAGAGAGGAATCTACGATGCAGGAGAGTGGTATAGATTCAACCATGGTGGCTGACTAGACCAGCAGTATCCAGATGGGGTATGAGAAAACTTTCTAAGGGGTATGCAAGCATTGACTTTAAGGAAATCAATTTACAGACTCCTGCCTTCTAATTGTACTAATTCATTAAAATTTCCCCAAAAAAGCATTTTAATTCCAAAGAACCCTCTTCCTCTCTCCTTTACAAAAAACAAGGTCAATAAAGCAAATAAGAGTCCAGAATGCTTCCTATATTTCTTTCATTCATCCTAGAGAAATTTAGGGGCATATCTCATGTATCAGACACTATTCCAGGAGATTGTAATATATAAAAATCGCTACCCTCTTAGCACTTAACATGGAGTGAGAGGAAAAACAATAGACATTTAAAAAACTCAGACGTTATATCTGAATAAAGATCTGTAGGAGATGGAAGAGTCTTCTGGATCTCTGGGAGAGCATTCCAGATCACTTAGAGGATTCTCATAAGTTAATTTCAGTATGTATCTAACAATAAAAAAATAATAATTTTAAAAATTAACAATACCTTCAACAATTCTATCATCAATATCTTGACCTGTTCCATAGGATTCAGTCAGATATCTGTTTAAAATATAGGATAAAAAATTTACATGACAATAATATTGTACACATTATAGTTATAACTTTAATATTATTTAATACATGTAAAATTTAAACCTGGATCATCACTGAAACTATTCATTTAAAATTTACAAATTTATATATTTTTTTGAGATTTATTTATTTGAGGGAGAGAAAAAGAGAAAATGTAAGCAGGGGAGGGACAGAGGGAAAGGAAGAGAAAGAATCCTCAAGCAGACTCCCTGTTGAGCATGGAGCCTGATGCCAAGTGGCAAAGAGAATCTTAAGCAGGCTCCATGCTCAGTGAGGAGCCTGACTTGGGGTTCGATCTCACAACCCTGAGCTGAAATCAAGAGCTGGATGCTTAACCAACTGAGCCCCTCAGGTGACCATTACAGTTTTTTAAACATTTAAAATTCTATTTGGATTACCTTGAACAGCTAAATCAGCATTATTTTAAAAACTGTTTTTGGAAATACTCTGACTTTAACCAACTATTTGGTTTTAAATATGCCACACATTTCACTCAGGAATATGTATCTTCTACCTAAGATTCCAAAGTCTTCTGTGATAGGGTATTAATTCAATCTTTATGGTTAGAACAAATAATCTGCCACTGAACAATAAGGAAGTTACCACTCTTTGTGTTGTTTTAGCCAAAGATTAAACATGATGGAACAACTATTTTCCTGGAACATTTCAAAACAAAAAGTAATCTTTGACTTACAATTTAAGTGTGTATTATAAGTTTACAGTTTCTAAGTTATTCATTTTTAAAGATGTATATAAACCACAGACTCACCATATGACTCTTACATACAAAAGAAAAAGACACTGAATCACTTAGAATTTCTGGAGTATTAGGAAGCACTCATTTAACCAAAATTGTATATACATAATAGATAATAACAAACTTCTAAATTATTTCATACAAATAACGGAATAGTATACATCTGCATTAAAAAATAGCAAATTTTCAAGAAAGGACCCAGCAGCAATTACTTGATTAAGACTGTAATAAAGGGGATCCCTGGGTGGCACAGCGGTTTAGCGCCTGCCTTTGGCCCAGGGCGCGATCCTGGAGACCCGGGATCGAATCCCACGTCAGGCTCCCGGTGCACGGAGCCTGCTTCCCCCTCTGCCTATGTCTCTGCCTCTCTCTCTCTCTCTCTCTCTGTGACTATCATAAAAAAAAAAAAAGACTAATACAGTGGGAATAACACTGGTGAGAATTCAGAATGCACTGGTCCTAGCAGTAGCTTCGACACTAGATTTAACATCCTTAAGTATATAAACTGTAGGAACTAAACTAATGAGTTCTATGGTTCCTTCCATATTTGTAATGCAATGATTCTAAACAATGTGTAGAGTTTAATTTGATAGCAACAAAGGGGATACACTGAGAAGAGGGTTATGGGGAGATAGAAATAAAAAAGCTGTCATAAGCTTAAGGTAAAAAAAAAATGATTTCAACCACACTAATAGCAGGAATACTGAGAAGAGGATGTAAAGGTTGAATTTTGAAGGATCATTTCTAGATTTCCCTTTGCGTAACCAGCATGGGTCTCCTTTAGGATCCCCATAAGAGCATGTCAGAGCTAGTTTTCAATAATCTATGGCTTAGCTACCACATAAGGTGTCTGTTTTTAAAAGGGATAGAACCTACCATTTCAAACTATGTCATAAAGTTTGCAAGAGGCACGTGGCTGGCTCAGTCAGTAGAGCATGCAACTCTCGATCTCAGGGTTGTGAGTCCGAGTCTCATGGTGGATGTAGATCTTATTTAAAATAAAATCTTTAGGAGCACACCTGGGTGGCTTAGTCAATTAATCTGACTCTTGATTTTTAGCCCAGTCATGATCTCAGGGTGTGAGATCAAGCCCTGCATCAGGATCTATGCTGGGTGTAGAGCCTGCTTAAGATTCTCTCTCCTTTTGCCCCTCCCCACCTCTCCCTCTCTAAAAAAAATAATAACAATAAATTTAAAAATAAAACCATTTTAAAAATACAAAAAAGTATGCAAAAGTATACAAAAGTCAACCTGTTCAACCAAAGAGGTATTTGTATCTCTTTGTTAATAACATGTTCACAGCAGCACTATTCCCAACAGCCAAGATCTGGAAGTAACCAAAGTGCCCACTGATGAATGAATAGGTAAACAAAATGTGGTATATATACATAATGGAATATTATTCAGCCTTAAAAAGGAAATTGTGACACATGATACAACATGGATAAAACTTGAGGATATTATGCTAAGTGAGATAAGCAGTCACAGAAAGACAATTACTGTATGATTTACTATATGAGGTATCTAGAATAGTCAAAATTATAGAAGCAGAAAGCAAAAGGATAGTTGCCAGGGGCTGAGACAGGAGAAAATGGAGTTAACAGACACAGAATTTCAGTTTTGTGAGATAAAAAGTTCTGGAGATTGGCTGAAAAAACACTATTAATATACTTAATACTACTGAACTGTACATTGAGAAATGCTTAAACTGGTAAGTGTTATTTTACATATTTTTTACCAAAAAATAAAAAATAAAAAAGAATCAACCTGTTCAAAATATTCCAGGTTAGCTAAAAACTCCTCACCTTAGAACAAATTTTGTATTTTCTGTTTTGCCAGCTCCTGATTCTCCAGATACGATGATAGACTGACTCATCTTGAGTACCTTCATATCTCGAAAAGCCTTATCAGCTACGGTTAAAATAACACATTAATGATAAGTGGTGTACTAAATACAAATTTACTAAATGATACAAATGATAGTTGTTTTAATCAAAAAGCACTTGCTCTCAAAGAAATTATAAATGTGTATTTACCATTAGTAACATTTTAAAATAAAATCACTCCAAGTGTTCAAAACACCTCTAGAAGTTTTATTTTAAATGTCCTATCTTATTAATCTGACAGCTAAGTAATATGAAATTCCAATAAACAACTCTATTATTTGTACGAGAGTACCTTCATATTATGACCTATGGCTCAATTCTTCCTAATTCCAGAGCAGATCTTAAACAAACAAACAAAAAAAAGCTCAGTACACATAACTAATGAAGGCCCCAGAGAAAAGCAAGCAACAGCTACCAATTAAGAAATCTGGAAACCAAAAATTCTGCTGGAGGAAAAAATTCATAATTGCAAAATCAGTGTAGTAGTATTACAAAGACAAGTTGAGCACAATTTAATTGTGGAAGTGGTCTCATATTAAAACAATTTTAATTCAAAATTAGGTCTAACCAATTTAATCCTAGAAGACTATTTCCCATTTCAGACATGTGCTACCCACACAAATGGGTAGAAGGCTTTACAAATGGCTTTTACTCTATTGGACCAAATGGAGACTACATGCAAGAATGTACCTATCCTTCTGACCAGGGGCTACAACAGGGAGAAAATTTATCAGTAATCTGTTCTACTGACTTTCATAATATCATTCTAGACATTTTCTTAGCAGTAAACAACTAAAAATAAAAGTCAGAGTATTTACATTTTAAATAAGTTATTTCTCTCCAGAGATGAGCTGGGTCATATTCAGGTTCAAAGGATTTTGTGCCATTTTGCTAGCTGACAGAAAACATACTAATGCTCATTAGAGCATCTCAGAACCGAAAGTCAATTTGCTATTGCACTGGATTTGGCCGATATATTCACTCTGCCTAGTATATAAGTCAGACAAATTGGGAAGTGAAGCCTGGTTTGGTCAAAACGTAGGCAAGAAAAGAAAGCGCAAGGAGAAACAGACTGCCCTAAGAACTACTACCAAAATATGTCGTCATTTAACTGCTGGCTATGTTTGGATCCAGAGGGTTATGGTGGGGGTGTCTGTGTCAAAACACACATCTCTGTGTTCCTCAAAGCTAAAGTCCTTCAAGATGAGAGAAAAGCTGAGAGAGGCAAAGACCCCTGTCTTCCCCCAGATTCCCTAGAGATATGAAGCATATACCATTTCCAATTCTTAACATTTATAAAGCCCTGATGCAAGTAAAGGCAGCTCATATCTAGCCCTAGTAACACACTCACAAGTGATGACCTGGGTAACAATGGAAGGCCTGGGCCTCAAAGCTATGAAGGAGGACACTTTTAAGATGAAACTGATCCTGTCAAGGAGTCAAAAAGAACCATTAGGTCAGCTTTTATTACATCCTACTTTCAACTGGGTAGACATACTTAAAAGAACACAGACAAATTTAACATTTCCTACTTTCAACTGGGTAGACATAATTAAAAGAACACAGACAAATTTAAAAAAATAATGACATACATTATTATACCCTGTCCTGTGTAAGATACACAACCCTAAATAATGGTGATACATTCAATATGTATAAAGGTCCACCAAAATACATATTCAACTCATGGTATCTTTTATTAATCCAAAAGAAAAACAGTAAATTTGTACAGTATAAGGGGAAAAAAAAAACAATGAAATTACTTACCAATTGCAAAGACATGTGGTGGCATTGTTCCAAGGGATTTTCCTTGATATGACTTTATTGTTTCTGAAGTATATATTTTAGGTATGTCAAAGTAGGGGTTCACTGCAATCAGAATGTTGGCGACATATGTCTAAACAGAAAAAGCATAAACATAAAACTTTCCAATTACTATTTTCATTTAAAACCAAACAAGGCGGGTAGCCCCGGTGGCGCAGCGGTTTAGCGACGCCTGCACTGCAGCCCAGGGCGTGATCCTGGAGACCCTGGATCGAGTCCCACGTCAGGCTCTCTGCATGGAGCCTGCTTCTCCCTCTGCCTGTGTCTCTGCCCCTCTCTCTCTCTCTCTCTCTCTCTCTCTCTCTCTGCATCTCTATGAATAAATAAAATCTTTAAAAAAATTTTCTTTAAAAAAATAATAATAAAATAAAACCAAACAAGGCTCCCAGGAGAAAGAAAATACAGCAAATAGACACCTTTAATTCTGTATATAAATTAGGACTTCCAAATCTGCATTTCTAGCCCTAAAAGTACCTTCTACAGGACCCATATTTCTCTCTTTTTTAAAAAATACTTTATTTATTCATGAGAGATACAGAGAGAGAGAGGCAGAGACACAGGCAGAGGGAGAAGCAGGCTCCATGCAGGGAGCCCAACATGGGACTCGATCCCAGATCTCCAGGTTCACACCCCAGGCTGAAGGCAGCACTAAACCGCTAAGCCACTGGGGCTGCCCCTCTCTAACTCTTAATATTTTCATCTTCTCATCTATACACATCTCAAATTTAGAACACCCAAAATTATCTTTCTTGTACCCTTTCTGCCTCAAAGAGAACATTCTCCACCCATATGCTCCTCCCTTTCTCCAGGTTCATGGCTTACCACCAAACCACCACAGACAGTGAGACAGAGGCTGAGCCTAAGCCTCTAATTCAATCAGCCTTCTTCTGTTGACTCTACTTAAGAAATCTACTCTCCAACTTCTATTCCTACAGCTTGAGTCTTGGTCATTTATATTCCTCACTTGGACTTACTTTATTTACACCGCTACCGAAGAGCTTAATAAAGCTCATAGGATGCTTAGGCCAATCTCCATCACTGAAAGGCAAGGATTAATGTAGTGCTCTAGTGACCACTTGGTCCCAGATTTTGAAAAACAATATGTGCTTACCATTGCCTAGAATACTGACAGGCTTAATGAGCAACTTAAGTTTGCTTTTAACTCTGGTATTTAACTGTGGCTCTAAAAGACCAGAAAAATGCACCAATAGGATTTATAAAATTCCTTGTGGGTAGAAAAAGAGTTGTGGTTTAGCAATTAGTTGTGGTTTACTGGCCGAACTAGTGCAGACAGAACCATACTTTTCTCTTTTCTGCTTCTAGTCGTTGAATGGGAAATGATGCGGAAACCCTGAACTCTCAGACTACTAATCTAAAATTCAATGAATGTTCTCAAACACTGTTTACTGCAGTGGTGTAAAAAAATTTTCATTTCCAGGTGATAATCTTTCCTTGGGAGATTTTAGTAACCAATAAAAATGTTAAATGTGAGTCAGCTATTGTTCTACTCAAATTCTTTTTTCTTTCTTTCTTTCTTTCTTTCTTTCTTTCTTTCTTTTTTTTTTTTTTTTTTTTTTTGGTTCTACTCAAATTCTAAGGAAGAACAGTGATCATTCTGGTTGATGAGAAATAGAAAAAAATCAAATTTAAACTCTTATTCCAAACTGCTTCCATTCTTCCAAACGTTATAGTAATAATTACTATTAGTCACGTATTACTGATTTTTAATGGTTTTATAACTAAAAGACATAATTGACTAGGAAAAAAATATACCAATAATGGCCTCAGATAACTTTGAAAAAACTAGTTTTCCAAAAAGAAGATGATGATGCCAAAGAGCCACTAACAGCTCATGTGCCCAACTGCATACATATCTTAAGAAAAGAAAGGTCAAAAAAGCTAGGAATAACCCTAAAATACTCCAGGATGATATAGACATTATACATGAAAAACAAAAACTTAAATTTCACAAATGGATAATTTTTTCCATCAATCATGCAATTTAGAAGACTTGTACATCAACTAAATGTGGAAAAAAGACAATCTTGTTGGAAGCATAACTAATATGCATTTAAAACCTTCAGTTATTAATGGTCACAGTCAGCAATCACTGCAACACAGGAAACTTAGTAAAAGACCAATATATCCCAAATAAAAATGAAGTATCTCAGTTCTTAAAAAGTATAATCTTTCCTGTAATAGTAAAAATTTCCCAAACTTCTAAAAAAATATTAAAACAATTAAAATTTTCTCAAATAAATATGACTGCTCTATCACCAAGTAATATAAGACATGTACAGAAAAAATAGTGACCACTTCTACTTGAAAGTTGACGCTTCCTGGTTAGATCCAAATCAACTTTTAATGACTTATTACAAGTTCAACTGTTTTAACAAATTTTAAAAATCTGTATTATTTCGGTAACTACACAGCATTTAGCATACATCAGATGCCCAATATTAGTCTGCTGAGTGAATTTTGCTTCTAAATATATTTCTAATCAAAAACTGCCATATATCAACCTAAATATATTCTCTGTTAAGTCACTTTTGAAAAAAATCAAAGAAGAAAGTGAAGACTAATATTGTATACAATTGAAAGACAGCAAGTAAACTCTTCTGAAAAAAGACTAGTTCTATTTCCCAGCTGTCACTATTTGGACAGATGGCAAAGACTAAAGGTAATTTAGTCAGAATTAAGTGAGTATAATTAGGCAAATTGATAGTGATATAAAAGATTAAGACTGACATTTGATCTGGGAAGAGTCAAAGAAGCCATGTGTTTTCTTCTTTCAAAAATAATGGAGTCCTATCTTTATAACAGGAGAACTACAGTGGGTAATTTATCTCCAGCCAACAAAGGAATCTACAACTAGGCCATATATTAGAATAAAACCTCATACATGCCCAATGAATAATTATAATTAAAACATACTAGCCAAGTATCCATCTGACCAATGTGGTATAAACCCTAACTGACATTAAAAGGACTTTCTTTCATTTCTTAATATTCTGATTTTTTTAAGCAAGTTATCTAGAATTTAATGAAATACTGGAACTATGTAGGCTCTATTTCCAGTGTTCTGGAAATTTTCTCAGATAACTGCTTTCTATTTTAATTGACATTTCTTTGTCATCAAAGTTTTTATTTCAATATATATTCTTTATAAGTTATCTTAATTTTTTTGCAGAACAATGTGGAAAGTGAATTAACTGAAATATCTGTAGACGTATACCAAAGACAAGAAATCAAAATCCCAAATAACTAGTGTTTTTTGAAACAATCAAATTGGACATTTTTAAGTCGGAAAGATATTAGATGATGCTCTAAATTCATTATTTCATTCCACAAATGTTTATTAAGTGTTTACTAGGTACCATGCATGTTCTAAGCTCTGGAGTTAGAGCACTAAACTAGAAAAGATGCCTTATCTTCAGGGAGGTCACACTCTATTCAACAGGCTAAGATCAAATAAGATTTCCTGTTAAAAATTTCAAGCTTCACAAAGTCAAAAAGCAGCATGTAAAGCAATTATTCCACAAAAACCTAAGTCATATGTAAAATACTTACATAAATTCTATCTTTACTGTATCGAACTTTGATATTATGAAGAAGAGTGGCTTCATTTAAATACATTAGTGAACCTGAAACATAAAATTTGCAAATCACTAAATATTTGAAGAAGAAAAGTAAAATAAAACAATACTATCTTAATCTGAATCACTTTGATCCAAGCTAAAATCCACCTGCTAGGCTAGATTTAATTCCATCTTTTAAAACCCTGGTACATGTAAAACCTCAAAAGCCAATTTAAAATATACCCAGTTTACATTTGTGTTACAGTGATATTTTTAAACAACAAATTTCCAAACAGGTGAGTATATCTAACGAGTACCAGGTGAGTACACATTAATGAAAGCTGGTTGAAAAACTGAATACAATTCAAATGGAAAGTAGTATTTCAGAGAGCACTGATTTTAATATACTTTCAATACAACAAAGTGATTATACTAATCAAATCAGATGCTCAAAATTTTACAGAAAAAACACAAACGAGGGATCCCTGGGTGGCGCAGCGGTTTGGCGCCTGACTTTGGCCCAGGGCGCGGTCCTGGAGACCCAGGATCGAATCCCACGTCGGGCTCCCGGTGCATGGAGCCTGCTTCTCCCTCTGCCTGTGTCTCAGCCTCTCTCTCTCTCTGTTTGTGACTATCATAAATAAATAAAAATTTAAAAAAAAACACAAACGATAAAATTTTAGAATGAGAAGGGACCATGAGATCATTCAGTCCGTGCTCACAGCTGATATGAAATAAGAGTCCCAGAAAAATTTTATGTGTTAACCCAGGACATGCAGCTAATAACAAGACAATCAGGGTAGAAATCTTGTTCTTCTGAGATCTATTCTACTAACGTGTCAGAGTATACTGTATATACGTTATTGTTAATGTGCATTGTATTATACATAATATTATCATAATATTATGATACTCTTATTCTATTCTCCCAGCCTAATATATACTCTCTCAGTCCTCCAATCTCTTGAGTTTCATTTCCCCATTTCTACCACAAGCTACTATAGAAAAAAAAAAAACACTCTTTCCCCAACCACTTTGTTTCTATTATTAGCATTCTCGCTCTTCTCTAATCCATTTAGACTACTCAGCACATAAGTCTAAACCAGAACACTAGTTAAATCTCTCTCTTCCTCAAAAAAACATCAGTGGGTCTCTATCAACTATTGAAATCCATATTCAAGTGTGATATTCAAGGCCCTTATTAACCTTGCATTCAAGGCATTATATGACCTTTTCATATAATTTTCCACAACTCCCTTTACTATGGTCTAACTTGCAGGCACACTAAAGGACTTAACCAAATCCAAATATATTCATGAATTGGACTATATCTCTGTATCTCTAGGTATCAAAAATCTACCTATGCTGTAAGGTCAGTTCAAAAATTATCTCATAAATGATAATTCTCCATTCTCACTACCACCACCATGACTAGAACTACTTTCCTCTTTGTACTTTCTTTACGGTGCTTACCACAGACCAGTTTTGTCAGAGTCTCTTGCAGTATATCAATAAAGACTGTCTATGCCTCTATAGTCATATAATGTAGCCAGTTCATTTTCCAGGTACATGTGGTACTGGTTTTTTTGTTGTTGTTTGGTTTTGGTTTTTGGTTTTTGGGTTTTTTTGTTTTTTTGTTTTTTTTTTTTTTTTTTTTTTTTTTTTTAGAGAGAATGAAAGAAGGGACAGGAGAGGCAGAGGGGGAGAGAGAGAATCCCAAGCAGGCTCCACACAGGGTTCAATTTCATAACGCCAAGAACATGACCTGATCTGAAATCAAGAGTCAGACACTTAACTGACTGAGACACCCAGGCACCCATCTCACTGTTTTCTAATGCCACTTATAGCAGAATAAAACAAGAAGTAAGTTAGTCAGTGAAGCCTCCTAAGAGTTGAATGGCATCTTTCCCTTGAATTGAGAAAGATTTGGAGAAGGTAGGAGGCAGAGGTGTATCTAGTTTGGCTACTGGTCACTAATTTTCTATATCCCTGCACTTCTCCCACCCTCATCCCCCAGGAACCTGATCTACATGTCACCTTTTCTTATCCAAAGCACAATGCTGACCCACTCCCCCTTCTCTCACCTTCCTCTGAACTACCATTCTGAAACATCATTTCCATGTCTTAAGGAAATGGAATAGTCTGAATAGTACAATTTAAGAGGAAGACCCTTGTATCCACTGGCAGAGATTTCACCACTTAGGGATTCATTTAGTTTCATTAACAGATATTCCTAAAAAGACTGGGAGTGTGTGTGGAAGAAGTAAAGAAATGAGAGCAGGTGGTCATTCACATGTCAGTATATGTTTATATTATTAGCTTTTTCAGAGGATTAGGAATTCTAACTTAAAGGAAGCAGAGAGAATATCATAAAACCATGTTTTAAAATATTAAAAAATTAATTAAAAATAATTCAAAACCACTTATTATGTTTAGCTGTATGTGTATATATAAACAAAAAAACATTATTTTAATATATGAAAAGGAGTAATTCGTAGTTCTGAATATCTCAACAAGTCTAAGCAGAAAAGAATCATTTCTCTGATTTTGAATACAATAGAATTTTGCTTTTATTTATTTCCTTTTTTTTGGTTCTGAATGCTGTTCAGAAAAATATCCCATGAGACAAATTCTCCAGCAATTCTGGAAAGAAACTCTACATTTGTTTTCTCAATCTCCTACACCTAATAACAGTTACCATTTGAAAGACTGTTAGAGGTCAGGCACTGCACCACATAATTTAAATATATCATCTCTAAACATGCAACATACACATTATCACTCTCATTTTACAGATGCAGAAGCTCTAAGAGGAGAGATAAATTGTCTACAGGTACACAGCTTCCAAACAGCACAGTCAGAATCTGAACTCAGGTTCTCCCTGAGTCCCTGGCTCTCTCATTACTCCACTATTCCCCATTGTCCTACTCATGTATGAGGACCTTACAGGATTATTCAAAGGTGAACTCCAAAAGAAAAATCAACAAGGACAGAATATATTCCTTTCTCTTTTTTTTTTTCCTTAAGATTTTAAGAAATCTCTATATCCAATGTGGGGCTCAGACCCACAACCCCAAGATCAAGAAATGCATGCTCTACTGACTAAACCAGCCAGGAGTCCCTTTTTTCTTTAAATGGAGAGTTTTTAATGTCAGATTATCATTAATGATACTCAAGCAACTGGACAGGATCCTTAAATATTGCCAAATAGGGGAGCAAGGATAGCTCAGTTGGTTGTGTCCAACTCTTGACTTCAGCTCAGGTCATGATCCCAGGGTCCTGAGATTGAGCCCCGTGTGGAGTCCCACATTGGGTTACACACTCAGCAGGGAGTCTGCTTCTCTCCCTCTCTCTTTCCCTGCTCCCGCTTGTGTGTTCTCTCTCTAAAATAAATAAATTCTTAAAAAATATATTGCCAAATAAAAAATGAAACTGCTTAACCTTGAAAATGTTATAAACCTTGAAAATAAACATGGCCTGGTCAACTGGATAGTTTTTTCCACCAAATACGCTAAGATAAAATACAATGTTCTAAAATCAATTTTGCAATTAGTACTTATACTTTTGTTACATGTTTGTTTCCTTTAAACAGTGATATTAAATGGGTCCTCCTGACTCAATTTCCAAATTACAGAACTACATATACAACTACAAAAGTGATCTGATTCTAGATGAGCTTCAAAATAACTCTCTCAAAACTGTTAACAAGAGATATTTAGTTCAGGCCTCATAGTAAATTATAACCATTGCCCACATTTACACAACTGAGATAACACTAAAAGGACATTCAAGAGATTCTTTCACCAAACTGCAAATGTGAAACAATAATGAATTCAGGTCTTTTGAGCTCCTCCATTCACATGAACTTCATATCAAAAGGCTACATTTCTTCTGAACCAATGTAGTATACCTAGTAATATAACCACTAGTTTATTTTTTGGAAGGGAAGTTTCCTTTTCTGTCCTGAGAACTATTTTTTAACCTGATACTTACAATTATCTTCCACATCTTTTTTGCTGTCTTCTTCTGCAGGGAACACTTGGTTTATGAGAGCCAAAAATGTCTAACAAACAAAACAAAAGCTCATTAAACTAGAAGCTTATAAATAGTAAGAAAAATAAAGGAGCTTAATTGGCTGCATACCTTGGAATACTGGCAAAAGTATGCTCTTCATTAAAATACAATATAAGATCCTTCTGTTTAATAAGTCACTAACCCAAAAAGAGAATAATAACTTTACTCAAATATTACCCACTTTTATTTACATGAACGTGAAATCAATAATGGAAATCAATTAAAAACATCCTATGCTCTAATGCCTTAGAACGAGACCAAACAAGAAGTATGTTAATATTAAATTTACATGGTATGTTCTTTAACAACTTTTTTTAATAACATTTTTAATGTTTGCATTAAAAGCAATTTTATTGTTTAAAAAAAAGATAACATTGAATCAGATATAACAACAGAACAGATTAGTACTTAATGCTACTCTTTCAGTAAAACATATTAGACCCAAATTCCTGTATAGAAATGTATCGGGGGGATCCCTGGCTGGCTCAGCGGTTTGGAGCCTGCCTTCGGCCCAGGGCATGATCCTGGAGTCCCAGGATCGAGTCCCACATCGGGCTCCCTGCATGGAGTCTGCTTCTCCCTCTGCCTGTGTCTCTGCCTCTCTCTCTCTCTCTGTCTGTGTCTCTTGTGAATAAAAATAAATAAAATCTTTTTAAAATTTTTAAAAAAGAAGGAATGTATCAGAAATATAAACAGTACCCAAAACTATCTGGTCCATAATATTATAGATATCAATGAATAAGTCTGTATTTATTATGTTACTTAAATGTTATGGCAGAAACTCTAGAATTAAGATAGTATCTTGCAAGAGAGAATAAGTGATCTCAAATTACAAGCTAAAGAGTGTTAAATTTTATTCATGTCATTCTAACAGTAGCCTATAAATTTATACTTCTCAAACAATTACAATTACTTTTGTGGTTGAAGTTTCCATCCATACCAAATAAAACTCTAAGGAAAAATGTTCAATTATTTTAAAATAATATCTATAGATCTACATATGTATATATATGCAAGAGTATAAAATAAGACTACTGCTATAGTTTTCAGAGTAAAATCCAAGCTGCTGGTACTACTTTAATTCAAAGTCACACGCAAGAGATCCCTGGGTGGCGCAGCGGTTTGGCGCCTGCCTTTGGCCCAGGGCGCGATCCTGGAGACCCGGGATCGAGTCCCACGTCGGGCTCCCAGTGCATGGAGCCTGCTTCTCCCTCTGCCTGTGTCTCTGCCTCTCTCTCTCTCTCACTGTATGACTATCATAAATAAATAAATAAATTAATTAATTAATTAATTAATTAAAAAAAAGTCACACGCAAATTAGAAAACTGTTATGCTTAAAAACTCTGGAAGTTATTTAGAACCCAGCCCAAATGTCCTTAATGTTATAAATGTGCAGAGGTTTATAATGTCACAGACGTCAGCCTTCTTTCACAGCTATGGCAAAGGGGGTAAGGACTCCCCAGACCTCAGGTTTGGGTTTTATCTTGTTAAGAGCCATGTCAAATATAAGAGGTTCCAGAAAGTCAGAAAATGGGGTAGCAGAAGACAACAAATTCCTAATATGGGAAGATTAGGAGCAGGAGTAAAAGGCCAGTAGTGAATCCTAAAAGACAGTTTCTATCCCTCCTTCAATCCACAATTATCACCAGCCCTCATCATTCTCTCCCCTTTACTGCCTACTCAGTGGGAAAAAAAATTTGTTTCATTAAAGCAATTGTTTTCTCTTAGAGGGAGGATGTTTTTTCTCCTATCAAGAGAAGATCACATAACAAAGCACACACTGATCACCAGCAGTAAACATCTACCACACATCAAACACAGGACATCAAGCTCCAATGACAAAATGGACAAATAAAAGTCTCTGCATTTGAGAAGATTACAGACTAGCAGGGAGGGAGAGAGAAATGTAAACAAGTATCTCTGATAAAATATTACAGGAAGCTAAGAATTTTTACCACTCCTCCAAAAAAGTAATCAACAGTAAATTCTACTACATGGGAGGAAGAGGAAGAGATTGGGTATCTGTGGAAAAATTCATAAAGGAGGTGACCTCAATAAGTCTTAAGAGATAAATAGTATTTGCTAAGCAAAAAGCTATGGAGAGTAGCAAATGGAACACTGTGAGCAAGGAACACTGTGAACAAAGCACCCAAAACCACCTGGCTCATGGTGAGTGCTTGATAAATACTGGAGAGGAAGAATGGTAGAAAAGGAGAAACAGACACATGAGAATAAGTATATGGTAGGAGTATGAGGAGGAGATTGTTTATTGATAAAAGATAAGACTAGCAAAATAGAGAGGAAAAGAAAATGTAGACCCCTAAAATGCCATATATTTAGGGCTGTAGCCTGAAGTCCAGTCTGCTGCAAATATGGAACATGAAATCAATTTAAGGCTCAAGACTGCATTTTTAACAGCATAAAAGATAAAATAGAATGCCATCACATGAGGTAAGGATGTTTCATTTATGAATATACGTACACACAATGCACATACTTGTTAAAATATATAATCTATTTTTATAAATACACATATACAATACGCATATCAAATGCAGTATAAAATCCATTTCTTACTATTGGTCATAATCAAAAAAATTTTTAAACCATTACTATCATCAAAGACATGTTCTTCGGGCAGCCCCGGTGGCGCAGCGGTTTAGCGCCGCCTGCAGCCCACGGCATGATCTGGAGACCCTGGATAGAGTCCCATGTCAGGCTCTCTGCATGGAGCCTGCTTCTCCCTCTGCCTGTGTCTCTGCCTCTCTCTTTCTCTCTCTCTCTCTCTCTCTGCATCTCTATGAATAAATAAATCTTTAAAAAAAAAAAAAAAGACATGTTCCTCACTAGAGCTAATAATTCCTTCTTCCACACTTCTCCTATATCAGCAAACAGATCTACTTGACTTGTCCATCACTTTATGCACTTAATTCCTTAATATTTAAAAGATGATGATCTCTCTAACATGAATTACCTTAGCAAAACTGCTACTCTTATGGATCTTCTCAACTACATGGTTATTATGATGTTATAATTTATTAAGACCCTGATCAGACAGTGGGAGAAAAATTAAAATTAGAAGCAATTCCTGAGAACTTAACTTCCAAAACATTTTTATGGAAAGAAGTTTCTTAGTTTACAGAATTACCTACAAATCCATGAAGTTTTCATAACTCCACAAGTTAAATCCGAAGTGTTTTTATTGTTTCTATGTATGTACCTGATTAATACTAATAAGGCATAGTTGAAAGCACATTAAATATTTAAAATATGAAAAAGCATACACTCATAAATCAAGCTTCCTCTATGCCTGAATTGAATTATTTTGTCACCTGTGGATATAACAAAATATATTCAACAGAATATACCTAGAAAATAATACTTTTAATTTCACTGCAGCCTTCTGATTTACTGTGCTTATAAAATATGTTACACAAAAATGAAAAAAGACTTTGAAGGATAATGAAAGGCTCACTATATTTTTATCATCCCTAAATATGCTACTTTGGCATATTGATTATTTTGAATTAAATGCTCTTGAGAAACAGCAGGTACAAGAAAGCCATTCTCATCCTCCTTTTTATCCCTGAAATCAGGAGATAAAATTCCTATGTGAAAAGTGCCCTCCCTGTACCAGGAAGAAAGAAGACATTCTTATCACCAGAGAAAGGCAATCAAGGCCAAGAGAAATCTATACAAACTCTGTCATACTAATCTTATCTTCCTAATTATTTCACTACAATGTACTGACTCTAACCCAAACCCCTCTGTCTTATCAATTCTTCACAAATTTATTATTTCTTTGTCAAAAAGGTATAAAAGCTTTTTGCTCGGGTAACCTCTTCAAAACTTCATTCTCTTGTGAAGGCTCCCATGTACACACACACAAAAAAATGTAATAAAAATGGTATGCTCTTCTACTGTGAATCTGTCTTGTATCAGTTTTATTCTTAAATCCAGCCAGAGACCTGTAAGGACAGAGGAAAATTTTCCCTCCCCTATAACTTTAAATATATAAAATAATTGAGCTTATTTCTTAATTATGTCATTCTTTGAACATGTACAGCGTTGTAAGTACAAATAGGTACTTGTTAATAAGAGGAAAAACTAGAAACAGTTTGTGTTTTCTTTCCTGAGAGTATCTTTAATTGGCCTTCTCTAGCACAGCATGTTATATATTATGCATTTAGGTTCCTGGGTTGTTTACAGTAACAGAATAGTTTTCTCTGTGAAAAGACCTCATGAGAGATCCACCTTGTTTTTCTAAGGTTCCCAGAAGGATGGCAGTCATATGGCATTAGTTAACCATGTATCAGTAGAATATAAATTATTCACGAACATTCTCAGAGTCTAAAGTAAACAGAAATGACATCAACAAATTTAATTTAGTCAGAAGATCTGCTTAACAGGAGTATTTATTAAACTGAAAACTGTTAAGTTCTCCCACAAAAACAGACCTTATAGTCTCCATAAAGACTCAAAGAAACTCCTGATCACATTTCCCCCAAGCTCCCATTTTGTAATACTGTCTAGTCTAAGCATAAAAAGAAATAGATGCTATGTGTACAAAATTAAAGTATGCTTTTATGTTTTAAAAACTATTATAAAAAACCTATCATTATAATGAAAACAATAATATAATAGTATAATAATAATAGATTGGTTTGTTAGACTTAAGTATATTTTTTAAAAAGACTTAATTACCTTTATTTAATAGAAATATATTTATTCCAATCCTATGCTAATAAACTTAATAAAAAGCTTAAAAATCATCTAGATGCTTAAGTAAAAAGCAAAATTTGATAAAATAATCCCATTCAACTTTTCATATTTTTGTTTTAAAACATGTTGACTACATCACAAATATATTAATTTTAACAATACAGTATAAGGAATAAAAATGTTAGTGTTCATACTTTATCATATAACTACTTCCTAAGAATGAGATAATAGAAGGCTCACTAGATTTCTGTCTAATTTTATGATAAGTACACCATTTTTTCTCTAGGATACAACATACTTAAACAATAAATAACTCACTAGGAAACTAAGATTCACTTACCAGAAAATTGCTTTCCCTTATACTGTGCTAGGAATATCTATTCCATTAAGAAGGGAGACATTTATAGAAAAAAATTAAATTTTGAAATCTTTCTGAGAAACTCACCTTGCCTTTTTGGTTCAAGGGTTCAATTGTTAAGCTGTCAGGGCCAATATCTACAATATTGCCCATTTGAAATCCATCTGTAGGGTGTGGCGCCCAAACTGGTTTCCCATCCTCCATTTTTGAAGGGAGTGCCCACTATCTCCTGTTTGAAAGGAACAAAATAACATGAATAACTTTGGAAATAAAAAATAAATAACATCATTTTAGAAAGCTACCATGTAAATGGCAATTCATAGAAACACATGTCTGTCCCTGCAATAAGTATCTCCACTTCCTTTCATCTTGCTACACCCTGACCCTTTTATCAACCTTCAGATAAGTACCAAGCAGACTATACCTTCAGGTAACACCTGCTCTGCTACAGCCTTTCTTCAACTGTGATTGCAGTGGAGTACTTCACTTTGAGCAATACAGAAATAGGGAGAAACAGTTACAGTTTTTACTTATTGCCCCAATGTTACTGATAACAACACTTCCTTTTACTATATAAAGTATTCTGGATCACACCACAAATGAAACAGTTATCCAAGGAATAGATATTATTGTGTGGAGTTAACTAAGAGTTTAAAAAAAGTCATCTTAGACCTGAAGGGATAAAAACAAGAGATGTGAAAGATTACTCCCCCACCCCCAGGAAACTTTCCCTGACAATCTGAGACTATAGAGATGTCTCACTCATGTGACTCCCTATATGCATCTTCACAGAACCATTTAGCTTATTGTTTTTGTTTATTTTTTAACTGAAGTAAAACTTAAACACAATGTAATGTACAAATCCTATATACAAGTTGGTGAGTTTCAACAAATAGATATAGCCATTTAACAAACACCACAATCAATATATAGAACATTGCCATCACCTCTGGAAGTTCCTTTATGGTCAATCTCTAACTCCCATAGGTATCTAATGTTCTGGTTTATCTCATCATAGATTCATTTTTGCCTTTTCTTGAACTTCATATAAATGGAATCTTACAGCGTTTATGTGTGGCTTCTTTCACTCAACAAAATGTTTTTGATATTCAATCATGTTGTATATACTAGCCCACTGGCCAATTATACAATTGTTTACCTATTGTCCTATTAATGGACACTGACATTATTTCCAGTTTTTGCCTATTATGAATTCTAATTTTTCAAGTGTTCTTATTAAGCTTCTTTCATGCTTGGCATGGCCATATCTAACATTTATAATTCATCCCAAAGGGTTCATGACAAAATATTTAATTTTCATGAGCTTGGATTCTATGAGACTACTGTGAAATGGTGAATTGGCTTGTGAGTGATCCCAGATGTTCTTGTTTCAGTATCTCAATGGGAACTTATTTTTCATTACTTATCTATACTTAAAGAGTTCCCATATGGATGCTCTCAGGTCTATTTTCTTATGAAAGTCAAGGATGTGTGGTATACAGTTCAATCAAAAAGCTGCTAACTTGGGATGCCTGGGTGGCTCAGCAGTTTAGCACCTGACTTCCACCCAGGGTGTGATCCTGGAGTCCTGGGATCAAGTCCACATCGGGCTCCCTGCATGGAGCCTGCTTCTCCCTCTGCTTGTGTCTCTGCCTCTCTCTGTGTCTCTCATGAATAAATAAATAAAATCTTTAAAAAAAAAGGTTCTAACTATTGGCAATGTGCTTGTTGGTTAGTCTTTTATGTCACGACTATACAGTGGGATTGGGATTTGCTTTCCCCAAGCAGTAAGAGCTGTTAGGTTTACATGCAATTCCAAGTTAAGAAACTAAATGAATATTCTCCATAGAAGTGAATCTGTTAACACTGCTTTAGACTTACCACATCTATATCTCGACACTTTATCTAAATAATTCTATCTAGTTCCATGGCTTTAAGTACCATCTTTAGGTGACTGATGTCCAAATTTATTGCACTAGCCCGGAATATATCACTCAGTTGAGTTCCCAGATGTTTATGTGCCTACTGGACATCTTCCCATGGGTATATTCAAAAGATATAACATTGTTATTATTATATTATTACCCTGTTCCATCACCCCAGCCTGTTCTTCCTTATATCAGTAAAGGCACCAACAATACTCAATTCAAATCAGACATGGAGTTATCCTCAATTCTTCCAACTCCCTGCAAATTCATATCACTCCCCTAAACCTATCCGCTCTACTTCTAACAGGAATCTCATTTTCACCCACTTCTCTATATTGCTTCTGCCATCCTAGTTAAAACCAACATGGCCTTTTACCAGGACTTCTCTAATTAATTTAGGCCGTCTGCTGCTGCTACCCTTACCAATCTGCATGGATCACCAGAAATCCTACTGAAAGATAAGTCTGATCATGTTATCCCTTTTCCATCAGGGCATGATCCAGTCCCTTCTGTGTTCCCAAGGCCCAACACAGAGCAGGCAACTGAATATTCACTGAGTGAGTGAATGAATTGTGTACACAGTTTGGGAAGAGTAAAAAGAAATGGTGAGGGCAGCCTGGGTGGCTCAGAGGTTTAGCACCCCTTCAGCCCAGGGCCTGATCCTGGAGACCCAGGATCAAGTCCCACATTGGGTTCCCTGCATGGAGCCTGCTTCTCCCTCTGCCTGTGTCTGTGTCTCAAATAAATAAATAAAATCTTGAAAGAGAAAAGAAAAGAAAAGAAAAGAAAAGAAAAGAAAAGAAAAGAAAAGAAAAGAAAAGAAAAGAAAAGAAAAGAAAAGAAAGAAAAATGGTGAGCTAGAAAGAGTTGAAAGGTCTTAAAAACCTAAGCTTAAACTAAGCTCCACCACTGTCTGACTAGCTCTTAAGCAAGTTACTTAATCTCTCTGATCATTATCTTTATCCTTATGCATTAAATGATATCACTTACCTTACAGAATTGCTATGAGGATTAAGTGACATAAAATTGAGATCATCATCCTAATGGTACTCAATAGGTACTACTCATACTGCTCCCACTTATTTTCCCAAGTATCTGTTGTTTGAAGCCACCAGTAAATTTAACAAAAAATATCTTATTATACTTCTAAATAGAAATTACAGAATAGTCATGAAATATCATTTAGGAATAATTAAATATCTGAAAAAAAATCACAGCAAAGAAAATCCTCAGTCTTTTAAAAAATGGCAAATTTCCTTGAACTATTCAAACTGCTTTCCCATTCTGAACCATTTGCAGCAACTTAAGACAACAGATTTAAAGGCATGCATCTAATTTTGCCCCTTCATCAGACCCCTAAATCTAAACAAAGTGATTCTTTAAAAAGAAATTAGTCCACAACGATGGGAAAAAACAAAAAGGAGCCAATAGCAACAGTATTTTGGAAGCTGGAAAGCAAATGGTTGAGAGGCAACTGACTCAGCAAATCTGAGAGAGGTTACTCTCAAGTCAGGAATAGGGAAAGATGAAAGACAACCCAAATTATACCACTGAATCTCAAAAAGACATAATAACTATACTGCAAAGATACTTCTAGAAACAAGAGTGAAAAGAGAGAGTCTAACATCAGAAAGACTAGGTAAAAGTTGTTTAAGAAAGAGATTTCCTGGGGCACCTGGGTAGCTCAGTCAGTTAAGCATCTGCCTTCACTCAGGTCATGATCTCAGGCTCGTGGGATTGATCCCTGGGTCAGGCTCCCTGCTCAGTGGGCAGTCTGCTTCTCCCTCTCCCTTGATATCTGATCAAGTTTTTCATCCCCTACCTTTTATGTATAAATCCCTGAACTGCTTTCAAGAGTCTCCTATCCTTGCAGTTTCCTCTTAGTTATTTATAACCATTGACCTCCTCACTCTGGTTATTGGCTATAATCCCCAGCTGTCTTTGCTGTATTCAAAGTTGAGCCCCATCTCTCCCCCCTACTGTAATACCCTTTGTTATAGATTTAATGTATCTGCTATAGACTTAATTTTGTTGTTCCCTCTACAAAATTTGTATTTTTTTTAATATGTGAACACTAACTCCCAATATGACTATATTTGGAGACAGAGCTCTTAGGAGGTAATTAGGTTAGTGACATCATAAGTATGAGATCCTGATCCATTACAACTGGTGGTCTTATAAAAAGAGGAAAAGAGATCTCAGATCGCTCATCCCCACCAATGGCTGTGTGAATGTACAGCCAGGTAGTGGCCATCTAAAAGCCAAAAAGAGAGTCCTCACTGGAACTCAACCATGCTGGTACCCTGATCTCAGGCTTCCAAGCCCCTAAAACTGTGAGAACATAAATATCTGTTGTTTAGGATAGCCAATCTACGGCATTTTGTTATGGCAGACCAAGCAAATACAAATGCAAATATACACCTATTGCAATAATTTTGAATGGTCTTTCTTGTCATTTTAACAAGTGCTGAAATAGTTTTCTTTTAATGATATAACAGCAGAAATGAAATATTAACTAGACAGTATAAAAAATAAATTTGAGGTGATTTTTCAGAAAACCAAGAAGAAAGGAGGAGAGAAGAGATATGAAAATGAGACTAATAAAAAGATTCAGTGTCAAAATACCAGGAACAACAGACATCCTGCCACCCTCAAAAAATAGAAGGGAGAAAAACTAAAATGTCCAAAGAAAAGTCACCAGAACTGAAAGGCATGATTTTCTAGAGTCTAGCCAAAATGCTCATTAAGTCTTCAGTACAATAACTGGGGGGAAAAACCACACACACAAAAAGACACTACATCAAATATCACACACCAGAAGTAAAGAGAAGATGCTACATATATCTAGATAAATCAAGAAAAAAACATGGGTCATATCCAAGGATCATGAATCGAAATGACTTCAGCAATACTGAAGCAGGAAGTCGACAAAGTAATCGTCAAAGGAAAATAATTTCCAACTTAGAGCCCTGTACTTAGGCAAACAACCAGCCCAAACTGGAGCAGTATGACCCAAAAGATGCCACAATGAGCACTATTATCAAAGACATCCACTGACCTTGGACCTCATGAAGGTGACTTAGATTCTTATCTGAACTTGTCTATTCTAACTCTATACTGACAATGTACTTGTGCCTAAACAAATTATGGACACCTAATACCCTCCCCTATTAAAGTAAATATTAATTTCTACCTAGTGCATGGTTTATATTAGAATAAACCTCTTTTTAAAATAAGGTTTCACTTAATTGTTAGAATCAATCCTAAATACTTTTAACAAATTATCCTTCAATAATGAAGT